TTTTAGAAATAAATAGCCAAAGAGGTGTGTCTATTAGATGTATTATTAGTTACAGACTGCATCCAACAGTTTAACTACGCTTTTACTTGTATAAAAAGATGATTATAAGCTTTTTTAATAAAGAAAAAAGAATGAAATGATAGTGAAATGAGTGATTTCTTAGCTAAAATAGTGCCCTTTTTATAATGAAATTCATAATGTTGTCAGTAGCACAAAAAAACAAGTAGTATCCATGGATGTATTCAGAAGAATGAACATGTATTTATTCTCATTAGCTAATTGATGCGAAGCCTTTAGACATGGTTAAAGCTAAACTGTACAAAGAATGTGAAGTATACCTCTTGAAATCTCAGTTTATTATTGTAAAATGAGACTGAGAGCAGTAGCTTGAATATATTACGGTCAAGCACATCGCATAATTTAACCATAGTTCATCATTCCATGAATCGTTTTTAGAACGAGAATCTAAGAAACACTTCTCTCATATGACTAAAAGTTAAACCATATGTGGTATTGCATGCAACTTCAAGAGGCGCAATATATGATTTTAAAGTGTGTAAAAAAAATTCTTGATATCTCTTTGTCGTTCAAGATGTGCTTGGATTATCAAATAGAGAGAGAAATGGCTCATTGTTAAGGTATTTACCAGTGCGATTACTATCATCTGATGGATAATTTTAATAACTTTTAGTTTCTTTAGCTAAAAGATTGTTATTTCTTTTGATTACAAAAAAAAAGGAGAAAATAAGAATACTTTTACTTGTAGTACATAACATTATAGTAATCACAACATATCGCCTGGATAATCAAATATTTTCTCATCAATCTATGCTTGCTTCTATTTCTATCTTGTTCCTAAACTTAAATATATAGAATATTCCTTTTTTCTTTTTTGAATCGCAAGTGAACAAACAAGTATCAAACATGTTCCTGATCTGGTCCTCTTTTTGGATAATCATACAAAATTTGAAATGTGGAATTAATACGCAAGGAAAGGCAGGCGTGCGTCTGTCATATTTTAGCATTGATATGATATTCACTTAAAAAGAGTATTCAAAGAGCATATTTACCTTTCCAAATGTACTGTATAAGAGAGTCTGTCCTACGGTGCGGCGTATATTGTTGGAGTGTATAATTCTCCACGTCTTATTTTACACAAAAGTAAAAAGATGCCATTGAAAGTTATCGTTTATATCTAATACATTCCTAAGTCAGATTATCAACTAACTCTTCGGATATGCGTAATACTATTGAATTCAGGGGCGTTTATATACACAACATGTATTATGTTAAATGGCTAAATATTATTGTATAAAAGAAGTATAAATGCATTGAAAATACGGTAAACAGGTTCTATGAATAAGGCTAAGATGAGTCATATAACTGAGGTATAAATGCGTACGCTTTAAGACAGATTTAAAGATGTTCTCTGTTGCGGCATTTGGCCAAACATTTATATGAATGTCGAACAAAGCCTTTGAAGTCACTTACTTTTAAGCTATTGGACGCCTCACTAATTCTCGTCATCAGCGTCTCTTTTTTCAATAACGTATTGCGCTTTACTTTGCTCTTAACAACTGACCAGAATTGCTCAATTGGATTAAGTTCAGGAGAGTATGACGGTAAATAAGCATAACGGTAACCGCGGGATAAAATATATTTAGCAATATCTCCAGATTTATGGATAGGAGCGTTATCCATAATAAGATAGTGTCCTTTCATATGTGGGTGCCGAACCATTTCATCCATCGTGGCCTTCAGAAAGCTAAAATAATGACCAGTTACTGTCCCTGTGCTCGTTAACTCAGCATAACCTTCTCTCTTTCTTTTCTTGGCTGGCGGCTGCGGTAATCTCAGGCTACGCTTTATTAATTCTGAAGCAGAGATCGCACCTAAAATCGTTGTTGTTTGTGCTCGGGTTTTGGGCACTGTGACCACAGCAGGCAATCCTTTTTTTGACCAGGCCATACTACGTTTTAAATTAATGTGAAATGCAGACTCATCGAGAAAGACGCAATTAGTTCTAAAGTCCATGTCTGTACGCTCCCACTTATGAACCCAGTCAAAACGCTCTTGAATTTTTTCTTCACTGTTCCTATCTACAGGCTGGAATTGGGCTTTTTTGAGTGACAAATTACATTCAGTTCTTACAAAATTGTAGACAGTGTTTTTAGAGACCTTGAGATCCTGAAGCTTTTGAAGTATTCGCTCCATTACTTGCTCCAAGACGGCTGAAGGATTCTCATCTATATACCCCAAGACCACTTGCTTGTGTTCTTCTTGAAGTATACGCGAGCGACCGGTTTTCTTATGCTTTATAAAAACACTATCAGCATCCGTTTTGTACATTTGAGCCCATCTTTGAGCTGTGCGAACATCAATACCTAATTGTTTTGCAGCAGCTGAGACACTCATAATTTTCTCAAACATCAGTTTAAAAAATCTAACTTTGTCTTGATCCGTACAGAGTGTGTACGCTCGCTTACTCGACGCCTCCTTCATGCAAACATCTGGGTCATCTTTTGCATTTTCATCTGCCACAGAGCCTACATCGAAATTATTCTCCTGAGGCTGATTATACAAATACTGAGTGTGTGAACTAACTGTTTCTAAAGCATATCGCTCTTCGTCAATGATATAGTCCATAGGCTCAGGTCTACCGTATTCATCAACTGCATTACCGTGCCCGTCTTCGTAGAAAATTTGAAAGCTCATATTGTAATACTCGGTTTTTAATGAAAAAGAGAGCTGACGGTGCTTTCATGCCTAATATACTCATATTTTGTACGACAGGGCTCCTACATATACGACATTCAATTTGTCAGCAAGCGAAATCAGCCAATGGTTTACGTGACAATAGAATTTAACAAACGCGAATTTTACTCTTGGCATCAGTGTCAATAATTTTTGGAAATACTGTATAACTTTATTTACTACTTTCATCCTTTTCGTTCTCTTGGGCAAGCTTGGTCATCATTGCTCGGTATATCATCTTTTCCTTTTCTTCTCTTTGCTTGTTAGCCACTGCGATTTTTGATAGTTCCTGCTTTACGAGCGCGTCTAATGATAACAATGGTTGTTGTTGTTGTAGCAGTAGTAGTAAACATGATGTTTATATAGGCGTACCTCCAGGGTTTTCAGCAAGAACTTGTTCTAATAGCGTCTTGGCTTCATCAATATTCTCTAGCCTTAGATAGGCTTGCCCCATGCGAAATTTTGTCTTTGTGTTTTTAGGATCTAGCTCAGCAGCTTTCTTTGCATAAAACAGAACACGGTCCCAACGTTCCTGTTTTGCAAAAACTGCAGTCATATTGTTGTAAATCATGACTAATTGTGTCTCAGAGGCTTCCTTATACTTTTCTTTTTCTTTAGTGCCTCCTAAAGCCTTTAAATGAAGTAGGGCATTATAGTAATTTTGTAATGCTAAAGTATAAAAAGAGTCATTATCAAGGAACAGACTATTTCGTCGTCAGTGAATTAACTTGCCTTGTTTGTAATCTTGCTTTTTAAACGCTTCGTTGCCTGCAAGACGATATTCGACGCCTTTATCATAGTTTTCGTCTGGTGTTCCCATTTACACAAAAAGAACAAAGAAACTGCGAGATTGTGCCTCAAAGAACATTCGAAAATGTACTTGTCTGGGTTTAGAATGAGCCAAGCACGACAAATAGAAGACAATGAAAAAGAAGCAAGCTTTTGTTCCTTTTTTTTTATTAAAGGCATATGTTTTATACACATTGCAAAAGGTCTCTTTTCTTATTTTTAGAATCCAGAACGTATACGCATATCTTCGATCTTCTTTTGAACATCGGCCACTGATCGATCAAGTTCCTCAGCAATCATACGCTTCTTTTCTGCAGGCAGTGAATTGAATTGTTCACACAAGTCACCATCGATAACAGACTTGACAGGTATGTAGAAACTTCTATAAAGCAGATGGTCTCGTCCAGCAAGTGGAGGCGCTTCTGCTCTCATATGCACTTCAAGCATCTGAAAGAATTCGATATCTTCTTTTGATAAGAATGGAACGTAAATAGAGATTGCTCCTGAGAATGATGTAGTCAATAAGACTTCTCTACCTCCTGCCAAGAGGGTTGTCTTGTGAATGGATGTAATGATATCTCCAGTAAAATATTCACATAAGCTTTCGACCTATACATACTGTCATTAAAAAGCTATAAAGTCATATAGTCTTGTTTTACCTTATTAGGGGCACCATGGAGATACCCTTTTTCATGATAGATTCTATTACCAGTCGTATCTTCATCTATTTCATGAGAAACAATTGAAGGCAGACGATCGACAAAGAAATTGCCAAATTTATCTCCTCCAGCTACTGTCTCATAATCCACCATGGTGGTTGCTGTTATCCATCTTGGAACGGTATCGTCTGCAAACACGACCAACCGATTGTCTGCATGCTTATATATAACATAGTGCACAGATTCTTGCACATCTGTAGCTATAATTCTGTGACCTTGTGTATGTAATGAAACAATGGCATTGGGGATACTCTTTGTTTCACACTTTCGCAGCATCTTCTTCTTACCAATGTCGTATATACGAAGCGCCTTTCCTGCACCAACCAAAAGTCGTCCTTGGAAAGCTAATAGGGCATTAGGCACGTCATCAATAGGTGTCTTGTGTATGAAATGAAGACGTAATTGTCCATTTTCTGCTTGTACCACTCGATAGACGTGCAAATATCCGGTTGTGCATGAACGAGGTGACAAGTTCACATTCTGTCCTGTACCAACAACAACGAATTGCTCGGAGGGATCAGACGCATGAGGGTTGTGACGGAACTGTACCATGGCAACGCTGAAGGCCGCTTCGTTTTCCTCCAATTCAATCAAGTCTAATGTCTTGCCTTCAAATGGCTCTATCAGACGAATGCAACTTGCCCACTTGCCGGGGGCGTTACGAACATGACCAAATTGAAGAGGGTCAAGGTTGATGATATCTTCGTCAATCTCATATCCTTCATTCTCTTTTTCTATAATTCCTTTTGCCTTTTCTGCAGGAGAAAACGTTGCGTGATCACTTTCCACAATAACAAATGTACGTGTTGGAGGGTGAAGAGCAAATTTTCTAGGCGTGTACTTTAATGGAATAGAAAATTGATTGAATATACTGCCTAATTTCTCTACTGTAAAGATTCTATTGAAAGATGTTAGTCAAAAGAGTATAATAGTTTTTTTTTTCCCTACCTTAGTGTGTTTCCTGCTACAGCTACAACACCTTCAGGACATTGTTCACTAACAAATGCGCTACCATGTTCCAGCATTTCATAACTGAGAGGTGTGAGATAGAGTCTATTTTGAAAAGTATAGCTAACCCATGGCTTAGTAGATAAAGCCAAAACAGCAGGATGTCCTTGAATAGAGATCTTGAACAGCTTGACACTCTTTGCTCCAATAAATCGAGCACGAGTGTCTGACAGTTGACCAGTGATAGTGTCAAGGATGGTTCGAAGAAAGATACCATTGCTGAGACCAATGTTAAGATATTGTGTACCATGACCTTGATCGGTATCCATCATTTCAATCATACACAAACTAGAAGGGACACCTTGAACAGCTTGCATCGAAACAGGTTCCAAGCATGAGTCAGGATCAAGATTCAAAATACGAACAGTCTGATCATCACAACCGACAGCGACATAGCGTGATCTTACACGGCCTTCGGGCACCTCACCTAAGGCTAAACTGGTAATATGTGAAGACATTTGCTTACGCTCCTGGTGTTCATTCAATTGTCCCATGTTGTCCATTTCAAAGTAAACGATTTGTCCATTTGATAACGCAATTGCCACCTGTCGACTATTAGTAGCCGCCTCAACAATCGTCTGTCCTTGAGGTGCTCTCCATTCGTTCACACGACGATCGGCACGAATATGACGGATACCGTGTGGATGAACCTGGACCAGTGCATCTTCTCCCAACTGTTGAACAGCCAATGTTGGTGCGTCGGTCAAGAAGCCGGTATCTGTTACTTCCTCCACTGTTTCACCAATAGATAGAACGAGTGTAGCATTGGCGAATGAAACGACGATATAAGCGTCATATGGATCATCAGCTCGAAGCTTGGTTGTCCACACAGCGCTTGGGTTACCTGGCAGCTCACTTACAGCCAACTCTGCGGCTTCCACGCCTTGATTGAGGATACGGAAAGTGGACAATGGACCTTTTCCACAAATGGCATATATACGAGGTGTTTCTTCGTCTGCCAAATTCAATATCTTGGATTCCATCATGGGCGCTAATGATTCCAATTCATCAACAAGTGTCAAATTCTTCAAAGGTCGAGGCTTAAAATAAACAAGAGGTATTTCATCTGAGCTTGCCTCTTGCTCCATATAAACCGTGGCTGATATTTCTGGGTCATCAGCATCATCTCCAAGTCCTTCAAAGAAATAGTGGCGACTATAATGAAAAATGGAGGAGTGAGAATGATTGTACGCTTTGACAATTGCGATTGTGAACTTACTGGTTTCCAAACTCATTTGCTGCAAAAAGGAAACCACTCTTCAAGATGCATAATGAAGTTGCAGTTGGAATAGTGTCAAAGTATTTGATGGTCAAATCGTGAACCGTCCCATCTGCATGATCCATGGTGACCTTGTACAGGTCACCTTCTTCTGATTGCAATAAAAAGAAGAATTGTGTCTTCTTTTCAACACGCATCTTATGAACTGCTGCTGCGATGATGATGATACCTCTCTTTGGATCTTCTAATGGCTGAGCACGACGAGGAATAGGAATTCGAAGCTCTTCTGCGTCTGGGTGTTTGTAGGCAATAAAGTTTTCTGTACAGACCAAAACACCTGAAGGGCCGTCGTTCCCACCAGGGACTATATGGAAGAGAATGAGTATTACATCTTTTTAACAGCATTCAAACTAACCTGGAATGAGCATATTAGCTTTGCGATCTACAACTTCGCTCCATTTTCTTACAACATGGTTCAAGCCAAGATCTAGTTCGTAATAAGTCAAACTCTTCTCGGCGCTTTCCGCAGCTTGACCTGATGGATCGGTGTCAGCATCTGAATAGTCCACTTCAAGACAGGCAAATGTTGGATTTTCAAAACCGACGTCAACAGCAGTAATGTGATGAATAATAGTGTGACTCTTGTGAGCTTCCAAGGGAGAAGAGATGGTTAAATTGGCAGCTGAATCGCGATTAAGAATATAAACAAGCTTTTGCTTTTCAACAGCGCCAATCATAACTGCTCGACCTTTGGGATCGGCAGTCAGATATTGACCTGGTACGATACGACGACAGCCTGTCTTTCCATAAGTTTCTTGGTGCACTTTTTCAAATATGTTTTTTGTTGGGTTGTATTCTAAAATGACAATACGACCCGAGTCAGAACCAACGACAATGAAATCTAAAAAGAATGAGTCCATGTAAAGCAGTTCGTTAGCAATATCTACCTTTGTTGCCACCAGTGAGCCTGAATGGAGCAATACTGCGAACTAGCCCAAAGCATTCATGTGAAAGAATCGTGTGTATCTTTCCTGAAGTTGGGTCAGGCTTTAGTAATTCTAAGCGTGTTTGCCGTGCCACGATGATTTCCTGTTGCTTAGTGCCAGAGAAATTACCGTGGATTGCCTGGTTAATGGCTGTTGTTGGGCTGATGGTTAGATTGTATAAAAACATGATTATAAATTCCTCTCTTCTCTCTCCCCAACTTTATTTTTTATAGATGAGAGAAAAAGAAAGAGAGAGACATAAAGTGACGTGAAGTATAGCTACCTTACTGAGATTTAATTTGTGGCTTATCAATGCCAGCAAAGTAGCAAACGAAGGGAAGCCTTTTAAACAGAATGTCAAATATTAAAGTGTAAAGTTCAATCTAAACACGTGAATGTTTATTAATTTGCTTCCAAAGTCTTGTTACTGGATCAACCAACGGTCAATTCCGAGAGTTATTTGCAAAAGCACAACAGATTAACGAAAAGTATGGCCCCTTTGACATGCATTTATGCGTTGGCAACTTCTTTGCTTCGAATACAGCTGATGAAGCCATTGGAGACTTGATCAATAACAAGATCGAAGGTAACTTTAGCTTTTTCTTGCTATAAGATAGTGTATTCATATAGGATATAGTTCCCTTGTCAACCTACTTTCTCATGGGAGAAACACCTTTCCCGCCAGGTGTTCAACAACGTATTGATTCGGCTGACGGTGAAGTTTGCTCTAATCTTTATTATCTGGGAGACCGAGGTATCTTGACAACATCACAGGGTATCAAAATAGCTTTTTTATCTGGTGTTCAGCCAAAGGAAGAGCAAGAAGATAGCAAGGATAATGATACACACTACACCAAGGACATGGTTGATAAGTTATGCCAGACAAAATTACCTGCTACTTTACCTCCAGGCGTAGATATACTCATGACCTGCGAATGGCCCAAAAATATCAAAGAATTATCTGCAATGTCAGTGGATATGGATGACAGTAAAGCATCACTGTACGTATCTCAGGTGGCTGCAGCATTAAAGCCAAGATATCATTTTGCAGCATCCCAGAACGTCTTTTATGAAAGAGAACCTTATAAGAACATTGTGAGTGGACTTGGAGGACGAGATGAGAGACTAGCAAAGCATGCCACAAGATTCATTGGGCTTGGTGATGCATTTAATACTGAAAAGCAGAGAGTAAGCATATGATTGTATCAGTGAATATGTTCTTATATATAATATAGTGGTTTTATGCTTTCAATTTGGTTCCTATATCACAAGCACCTTCAGAAGCACTCGAAACTGTACCAGAGAACACAACGGAATTCCCATTCAGCTCGTTATTCACTAATAAGAGAAGACACGAGGACGATCATAATGGTGCATTCTTTTGGGGAGAGGAACCAAAACGACCAAAGATGGGTACAGAAGTGCCAAAGGGTAACTATGTGTGTAGACGATGCAATGTACCTGGACACTATATTCAAGACTGTCCAATGTCTGCACCTAAGCAACCACCTGAAGGATATGTCTGCAATATATGTAAAGAGCCAGGGCACTTTATTGCTCAATGTCCTCAAAGACAACAACGACCTCCACCTGGTGAGCAGCCTTCACGTAAGTATATTATCCACCTGGTCTATTCTCCATTTTCAACTGACTTCTTTTGTAACTAGTTGATTCCTGCTGGTTCTGTTTATCAAACCCAAAGGCTGAGAAGCATCTTGTGTTATCAATTGGTGATGAACTTTATGCTGCGTCGGCTAAAGGTCCCTTAATTTCCTCCAGAGATAATGAATGCCGTGTACCAGGCACAGGGCATGTTTTAATTATACCAGTAACACATTATCCTACGTTTGGAAAGATCCCTCTTGATTCACAAGTGGAAGTGATTGCGGAATTAGAGAAATACAAGAGTGCGTTAAGAAGAATGTTTGAAAAGTACGATCATGATATGATTACATTTGAGATATCGAGGGAATCATTTAGAGGAATGAGTCATGCTCATGTTCAGGTTATTGCTATTCCCAAAGGCAAGTGCGATCTTGTTGAACAAGTGGCTAGAGAGCAAGGACAAGCTTTTGGAATGGATTTTATAGAACAATTGCCTGTAAGCTACTCATTATTATTATCTTTTATGGTCACTAACTTATATTGTTTAGGATAACCCAACCATCCCTTATTTTAAATTAGAATTACCAGATGGAAGAACGTTGGTACATGTTATCAAGCCAAAAGAACGATTCAACTTACAATTTGGCAGGTAAAGAAAAAAGAAAAAGAATACATAAAAGATATTAACATCAATAGATTGGTTGTATCTCATGTTTTGGGAAAACCTGAAAGGGAAGACTGGAAAGCCTGTCAACAGACTGAAGAAGAAGAGAAGAAGGAGTCTGATTCATTTAAAGCTGCCTTCAAGCCATTTGATTTTACTTTGCAATAAATGGCAAAATCGCTCTTACTGTTTAATCTCCTTTATTCTTGTTTCTTTTCTCTTGTTTTAAATATTTTAAAGCACTGCTTGATACTGTGCCCTTAATTTGATTGTTCTGCTTGATATTGTGCCTCAATTTGATTGTTCTGATTGAATTCAAACACCATTTTATTGGTAGTGACTGGGGGATTCAAGGAAAAAAGAGAGCCTTTCTCTCTTTTTTTGTTTCAATAATAATAAACACATGGTCATTCTATCAGAACCACTCTTTTCAACACAAGACAACAATGGACCTGTATATCCTATTGTATCGCATTCTAAAGAAGAACTACAAAATATATTAGATGAAGAAGCGCAACTCAAGAGAGAACTATCCAAAATGACCATAGACACTTCAAAGTCACTAAGCCTTATACCCATTATGCACGGCATGTTCAACATTTTTAAAGAGCCTCAAGAGATAGACATAGAAAATGTAAGAACAAACGAACAAGAAGATGACAACACATTACAGCTAATATCTACTGGATCACTAAGCATCCTTGACGAATCCAATCAACTAAAATTGACAGCTCCTGTGCTGCAGGTGAATGTACCAGAATATAGAGCCAAACGAAGAAAAGTGGAACAGATCTTATCTGGACTGCTCAACTCTTTCACAGAACGTACGAGCGAGAAAGAAGCAACACCAACCATGACAGACGATGGACTAGAAGAAGATGCACAACTGACAACAGCGCCCAGCTCACCCATTCAACAGACACACAAGCCCAAAGGGAACGACTGGTATCCAGACATCGAACCAGAGACAGGTGTGCAAGTTTATGAATATCCAGCGCGCATGGTTCCTGTGTTTGCCACACCAGGTCAGGTAGAGAAACTCGCAGAGATCACAGAGGCTACTAAACAGAATGATCGGTTCATTGGAACTGATTTCCGCAAAGCCATCGATTATCTCAACTTTACTCTCACTGACTATGATGCCAGTATTAAAGATGCCTGGAACGTATCAGGCAAGCTGATATTCATCAAGGACTTTTTAAACAATTTAGCAGATAAGGACATGACTATCGTCATCCTTACTGATGGCCTAGGTGAAGAGACTAGCATGTATGAGCTGATACGTGAATGTTTGGGGTTTGCCTGTACCCGTGTAGGCAATGTCTTGGACGATGACTGGAATGGCGAGTATGGTGTGTTTGTCAAGACAAGGAAGAGCGACGAGATACTAAGAGCACCAGAACAACAACTCTTTACGCGTGAGGCAGACCTGATCATCTGTCTGGACATCCTTATTGAAGATAATGCTGAGTCGTTTTCACTCATCAACAACAGCAACCAGAAAAAGCGACCCTATATCGTCTGGTTAGTTACTGTTGGTTCATTGGAGGAAAGAATCTTTCGATTGATGGAGGAGAAAAATATCACTTTTTCTCAGTGCAACTCTCAATTGTCGGAGCTTTCGATGGCCACAAATAATTGGCCTCAGGGCTCACTTGAAGATGGCATGACTCGTAACATGCTGGCTGCACTCAATTTGACCTCGTGGTTGGTTAATTATAAGGGCAAATGTGAATATCAATACAGATCAAAGATTGAACTACCCAATAGCTTATTACGAACAGCACCTGAGACATCTGCTGTCGCAGGCTCCGTTGTAACAACAACAGCAACAATAGCAGCAGATGAGGAAGCTTCTGACATGGAGCTTAGCTCCGATATTGATACTGAAGAAGCCAATAGACGACTCAATACAGAAGACACTAGACCTGTTTTATCTTCTCAACTATTAAGCTTCTTGGAAAACGTAAGAATGATCTTCTTATATGTTTATCCTTTTGTGGTGTGATTTAACATTTTTTTTTTTTTTTTTTACTTTATTAGTCCATCTTTCCTACATGCGATTTTGTTGTGAATAAGAAAACAACGCCTGAGGGACTAGGTAAAGTTTATGGTGGCATTAAGAATAACTTATTGATATATGATATAGATTCAGGCGATGTCGAGTTGGCTACAACCATATTGCATACTACAGGATCAAGTTATATAGATGAACTAAAAATTTTAAAACTCGAATTTGAACAAAAGTTCAATACAATTCGCGAGAAATATCTTGAAGAGACAAAGCAAAGGTTTTTTAGAACAGAATAAAATATATATAAAAGCAATTGCTTTAATCATGTAAATCAACAAGAACAACAGAGAGAAAGAAGAAAGTGTAAAGGGTGAAGAGGCAATAAAGGGAGTGAAAGAGTAAGGAGGCATAAATATTCACAGTAAATATAAATGTGTATAGGTGTTTTTTTTTTCTTTTGTAAGGGAATGTATAAATATATAAAAAAGGTTATAAGAAATAGGCATTCTTTTGCTTGTTAGTTTCTGTTTCATGCTCTAGTAATAAACTACGTGCATTCTTTTTTTCAATGGGAAGTGCTTGGCCGTGTTGATGCTGGCGTTTTTTCATAATGTTGATTCTATTTTGTAAATGATGATGATATTGTTGCTGTGTAACTGTAGACATATTCCGAGCCGATGCTGAAGATGTCGCCGCTGAAGCAGTGTTGGAAGGAGTGGAGTGTGCTATGGTCTTGCTTGTAGCGTGCGTTGTTTTCGAATTTTTCATATGTGAAGATTTGATGTGTTTCCTTAGGGATCTAGAATGATAATAGGCTTTATCACAGCCGGGCATAGAGCATAAATAAGGACGACTATCGGAATGAGTCTTGATGTGTGTGCTGAGAGAATCAGGTCTTGAAAAGGTCTTGTTGCAGCCTATCACGGTACATACAAAAGGTCTTTCTCCGGTATGAGTTCTCATGTGATTGTGCATTTTGTGTCTTTTCATAAATGGTTTCTTGTTTCTAGGGCAATCTTTCCATTCACAGTAGTAAGTAGCCTACATACAAAATGAGTCATTTCTTCTTCGATTAGATATGTATATATATTACCTTTCCACTGCCAATGTGACTATTGCATATATGGGTCATAAGCTTATCTAAGGTAGGAGCTTGAGCATCACAAGATGCCCATTGACAGGAATACATCTTGGTAGACTTGTCATCATGTTCAGTGACAATTGGCTTTGCGATCGCAATAGAGGATACTCTACTGACAGAGGGTTGAGCATCTAGAATAAAAAGAATAAGTTATACAATAAACAGAATGTGTAGGTGTTACTTTACTTGATACAGTTCGAGTTGTTGTAGCCATGGCACAGGCAGGTGGAGGTAATTTCATATTGCTGGATGATCTGGATGACTTTTCCATTTCTAACTGAACCACGCGTTCGATCAACTGTTCCTTAGATAATTGGCTGAGGGAAGATGTTTGATGACAATGAGTATAGTGCTGTTGTTGTAAAGCGGCTGCAAAGTATCCAGGATGATCGGAATAACTCTTTTGTAACAGCATCATATGATCTTCATTCTAAAGTATTACACAAACCCATCTTTTTTGTCAGTGCGTTACAACCCCAATAAAATAATAAGAAACTTACGGAAAGGGAAGGAATAAGCTGACCAGAAGCATCATCATTAACGTAATTTGGAAAATAAATGGAAGGTGACGAAAAGGAATGGTTGTTGTCTGGTTCATTCTTGGATGTGACTGAATCGTCCATCAATGAAGCATGATCCAAGGAAAGTGGTGGAGAGTAAGATAAGATAGGCGATTGTTGTAATAGTGAAACGTATTCAAAGGAAGGACGGTGAGATAGCATAAAGGAAGGAGAGTTGTTATTGTTGGTTATATCGAATATTCCAATATCAGGCGTACGAACACCCAAAGAAGAAGTGGAGCTGACTGAGGCTTCCGAAGTTTCGCCAAAGTATCTTTGGAAATGATTGGCATCGCAAAAGGGATGATGATCTAAAGGAGTGCTTGCCATCGTCCACTCTTTGTTGCTCAATTCATCTTGATGGATGGTATCTTGTGGTAATACGCTAAAGACTACGTTGTAATATTTGAATAAGTACGAGAACAAATGGCTACAATGTATACATACCTTGTTCGGCACAAGTGTCGTCACTGGGTGAGTGAGGTGAAGGGTAAAAGGTGTTGACCTGTTGAAAGGTGGGTGTTTGAATTTTTAATTCAGAGTGTTTGCTGTCAAGTAAGGACATTGTTGATTTTATAAAGGGAGAGTGTTAATAATAAATAAAAGGGAGTTATTTTTTGTTTGTTGAACTATGGTTTATAGGTTGCTATATAATTTATATATAATAAAGAAAGAGAACAGAACTGTTTCTCTTTAAATAAATAAATAAGGACAAAGAAAGGAAAACAAAAAAGTAGAAGAGAGAAGAGAGGAATGGAAGAAATAAAGAGTAGTTTAAATAGTCTGTCCACTTGTCAGTCTGTCACTTTTTTTTCTCTGTCTCGCGTGGGCTGAGGATTTATTATCAGCTTAACAAATTCAGAAATTCTTAAAGCATTGATCACTCTACTTTTTTTTAAGTTCATCCTTCAACTTTACAAAATTCAACTTTACGTTACTTTGGTGTTTTATTTTATCGCTATGGTGATTTTACTGTTGCTATGGAAACGTAACCTTTGCTCTATTCTCTTCCTTAACCTTTTCTCTTATCATCTTACCATTATGCAAATCATTTAAAGAACACATGTAAGAGAGTACAAAAAAGTAGCGTGTGACAGAATATGAATAAAATGGTCAGAGAGTTAAATTTATTAAATGTTCGGATAACATCGGTTTTCACAGCATTAAACTCGTATGATCCCTTGGGGCCACCGTTTACTATACTCCTCACTTGTGTTTTTTAAAAAAGATATGGGACAGTGCCTTACCTTCAGGGTACCAACCATACTCCTGTCCCCTTCCCTTTCTTTTTTTTTTCTCTTTCTTTCTTTTTTCCTTCTTCCCTTTCATTACTTTACGTTGTTATTTTTTTTTCCCCTTTTACTTTACTTATTTCTTTACTACTTTTTACTGTGAGTTTATCATGATGATTATCAGCTAATTTTGTGAGGTGAGAACGTGTTATTACCTAATAGAAATAGGGAAGCTGGTAAATGCAAAAAAAAGAAAAAAAGATGCCAATGGGCCAATCATCGTATTAATTAAGAATACAAAAAGATCACTCCATTCTTTTATCCCTCTCACTTTTCTTTTTCCCTTCTTAGTATCAGTGCGCCCACAATAATCACATTACTGCATATGAGCCGTTATAAAGAAATGAATGACAATAGTCACGTGTGGTTGATGACTTCAACATCACATTCCTCAAGTTATTAGATTTCATATTTGGCAAAGAGCCGACTTTCATTGTTTGATTGGTTTACTCTAAACCATTCTACTTTCTATCCTTGTGCCTGAAAAAACATATGACACTCTTTTAGTATGACTGTACTACTTTAATATGTATGTCATTATATCCTAAAATTAGACTTTGCAAATGATTTCAATTAATTTCAAACATACACTAATGATGTAGACATGATTAAAAATACAAATAGGCATCTTGATTGTAAATATCCAAAGTATTAAAAAAAGGGGGGGGGGCATCTCGTGTTTGATAAAGTGATGGGATGGTGGAATACAACATACCATTGGACACGGAAAGTCTTCCGTCATCATGTTGACTGTAGCGGGAAGTTAGCACGCTGCCATGTGTGAAAGTAAGGACACAATGATTACACGCTGACTTTATCCCTAGTATAGTAGTGGCTGTAAATCTTGGGAAGTCAGATATTCGCCTCTTCTATTATTGAATGCCAAGCTACTTTACTTCTTTTTAGCGCACGGTGCAAGATATCCATTGTTTCGTATTTGAAGCCTTTCAACTTTATTCTATCTTTCTCAAGCATACCCATCCCAAAGACTACCAAAAGTATCTTATCGTTAAATTCTTTAAATAGAACTGGTTTCCACTTCTTGCATCTACGAAGTCTCATAAAAATTAAAAGAGAGATTAAAAGAGAGATACATATCAATATAAATTATATCAACTTGCTTCCTTGGCAGTTCCAATAGCTTTGAATATTGCCTAAAGCCAGTAGCATGAGAGTATTCTGATCTCAAGAGCCCCATTATTTAGGTCCATTGTCTTTCTTTCAGGTTCAGTGTTTATCAGAATAGACGTGCTTTTTTTTTACTTATTCAAATCGTTCAATAGCGAATCAGAAATTACATAGCAGGACTCATTGGACAAACATTGCATTTTTGTGCAAATTAACAAGTTTTCTGCAAAATAAGGCATTGATTAGCCAAGACAGGATCGTTCATGGCTTCTTCATACTGCACTTTAAAGTTATCTCCAACTTGCAACAGGTCTTTGATAACTTTGTTTAAAAGCCTGCCGTATCAGAATGACACGTTTAAAAAGTCACCAGATAGTCAAGGCTACAAGCCATGCGCCGAATCCATAAAGAAATGAAAAGGATTAGCAACTCATGTCAAGAGAAGCACGAGTGAGCTGAGCAGGGCTTTGGCTCTATTTAATAAACATTAAAATGACGTTTCCGGTTAATCTACAATAGCCAGCTGCTCTTAGCAATCATAAATACTATATTTAAAAAAAAAGACAATAAACAATATCAGGTCTTCATTTTCAACAAAAATAGAAGTTTGGAATAAAAGAGACGTTCTTTCCTTTCCTTTCCGAAATCCGAAAGAACTGTAATACGGAGAGAACTTTCGATTTGACGTCAATTGTTCCTGATCATGTATGTACACATTGTAAATTTTATTGTGAAAATGTCCTGCTCACATATGTTCTTCAAAGATGACATAACTCTCTCCAACTCTTTCTGGTTATCTGTGAATAGATTATGTATAATGTCATTTTGAATTAAACAGTTCCAGAGCTCATGAAATAGTCATAAATTTGCATAGTAACCAAGGCAACAAGCAAGAGTGTTTTCAATTAAATATAAACAAAGTTTCTTTTATTACAAACAAGAGGAGAGTTGCTTAAGACACACATTGTCCTCTCTTTTCTTTTTCTTTTTGATTTTTTGGTTTTATTTTATGTGAAAAAAGAGTTTTTTTTTTCTCACTTGTAATAACATTATATTATTCCATTTAAAGAGCAGAAGCACCAGTAATAATATCAACTATGAAAATCATGAGCATTAGCTTCCATTTTCTTTTTCGCACACATAAAAAAATACTTACTCAATTCGTTTGTAATAACGGCTTGACGACCACGGTTGAAGGTCATAGTCAACTTGAGGATCATGTCACCAGCATTCTTTGTGGCGTTCTCCATAGCAGTACGCTTGGCAGACATTTCAGAAGCGTGACCTTCGACCATAGCCCAGTAAAGGGAGTTGGCAAAGGTGAATTCTTGAAGGTTAGCAAGAACATCATCTTCGATTTCATAAGCAGCAAAGTTAGGGGAGTTCTTGAAGGTAGCTTCAGAGAAGGCGGGGACGGTGTCAGCTTCATAAGCGATGACAGACTTGAATCTGTTGTACACAATGTTGACAGAATCGTATTCGATACCTTGGGCATTGATCACATCGACAATAGAAGAAGCTTCTTCAAAGGTAGGGATGTCCTTACCAATTTGGTTGAAAGTGACAGCAATGTTTTGACGCAAGACACGAGCTAACTGAGCCTTGGGCTTATCACCGAGAACGACAAGAGGTGCTTCAGGAGCATCGGCAATAGCTCTACGGGTAGCCTTGGAAACGCTCGAGTGAATACCACCGCAAAGACCACGATCAGAGGAAGAGGCAATGAAGAGAACCTTGGCATCATCAGCAGCCTTAGTTTCAGCACTTTCAAAGAGAGCTATCATGAATTTGTGTCAGTTCTCAATTCTCCCTCTATATAAATTGTATACTCTACAAGTAGAAGCAGCACCGAAAGCACGAGCAGCTTCCATACTACGTTGAGCCTTGTTGACCTTGGTGGAAGCAATCATCTTCATGGACTTGGTGATCTTTTCAATGTTTTTGACAGACTTCAAACGTTGTTGAACTATAAGAAAAAGAATAGTTTAATGTCGTGCGTTGATGTATAATGGGAGTATGCTGTCATTTACTTTCTTTCAAGGTGGCCATGTTACGGGCTTGGATAGCCTGGCTATACATATACATTAATCGTCGTTACTCAATGTGCTTTTATAATGCTGTACCTGACGGGAGCAGCGGTAGGGCGAGCAATGCGAGAAACAGTGAACAACATCTTGGTATTCCTCGAGTTATTAGTCTTTACTAGAGAAAAAAAAATAGAGCAAGGTCAACTTTTTTCCTAAAAAAAATTGAGGGGACTGGCAACCCCAGGGTAAAAAGTCAGCCAAGAGACACGGTTTGTTTGAGGGTGACGTAAAATGCGGCATTTTAATTAACCGAAGGCATACAAAAAAGGAGACACTTTTTGAAAAGCACTGTTTGTAGTTGAATTTTGGACTCTTTTTTTTTTACAAAAAGCAAATTACAAAATTCATCAAGTAGAGATGACAATGACTTTTGCATAGCTCACTTCTTTATTGGTTCATCTTTATTTTTTTTTTTTTAAAAAAGCTATACCAAAGAAAAAATTATCTGCTCGATAATGGAACTATCGATACCTTTTCTGAGGTTGATTTCGTTGCAGAGGTCTCTGCTTTGTTTTATTTGAATTTCAAAATATAGAATGCGTCTGTGTAAAGCAGCCCAATGTGATATATACCTGTCGGCTTGCTTTCTCTTCCTTTATCGCTGCTAGTTTATTTTGAGGGCATGTATTATATATACATCCTTATTAATTATGAAGAACTGTTCAATCCCACTTGTTTCTTTTTATTGATTGTATCACTAGGAACGCCAAGGCTTGTACGACATATCTCTTTGAGACAGACAAACAAACAAGGGAGAGTCATTACTATTTTCCTGGAAAAAAAGCTTATTCTAAATGTTCGAAAAAAGATAATAGCAGACATGTTTAATAGATATTTATTCACTTTTTAAGAATAAGTTGAGTATATAAATAAGAAATAGTGGAGAAGGGGGATATTCATAAGAAGCTGTTATTAATGAAATAATAAGGATTTACTGAGCTTGAGCTAACTTAGGAGCATGGTTCAATCCAAGGTAGTCAAATGGAAACTTGGTAGAAGCCTTTTGACGAGCGACTTCAGTATAGTGGTTCAACTGGGCTTGAATAGTTTCAAGTACAGGCAAGACTTGAGATTGAAAGCCTTGGGCGACATTTCTGGCTTTGTCAAAGGAGTTGATATCTTTACGACTATATTCATTACGAACCAATTCCACTTGCTTATTAGCAATATCAACAAGAGAGGAAATTCGGGATCGCAACCATTCAGGTGTTTCGGAAGATTGAACCTTGAGGTAGCCCATGACTTGCTGGAGTTGGGTGGAGACTTGCTGAGTCAAACCTTGAATGCGTTCCTGGGTTGTTGCATGAAGAACCAAGACACGTTCGGTGACAACGGGAGGTAAACGTTGTTGAGCAGCTTGAGCATAAACAGCTAATGTCTCTTGAAGAGATTGAATGTTGAGGGTTGCCTTTTGAATGAGGGCGGATGTTTCAGCAATACGAGCCAAATCTGAAGGTGAGCGGGGGATTTGAGCAGTGGTTGTCTTGACTTGATCCTGCACACGTTGAGTTAAGCGAAGGGTTGCCTCGTTCAACAGATAATAAGCACGTACAGCTTGATTGACTTCATCGACTGTACGGTCCTGTTGTTTGGCCTCAGCAGGAGGTAAATATCGGTTGATGACAGCTTCTACGTTATCAACAACGGAGCCAAATCGCTTATTGGCTTCCTTGACGACTTGATGAGCAGGTTGTTTAATTGAGTCAATTTTCACCTTGACGCCATCGACAATCTGATAAGAGGGAGCGGTAACAGCTCTAACGATATCTTCGGTTGGCTGACTGACCACAGGAAACTTGGTCTCAATAAAATCCAAAGAGCGACATCCAAAAGCGTCTGCTTTTTCGATTTGGGGTTGAATATAAGATTCATAATATGTTTGAACATATTTAGGTTGGGAAGTGTATTTAGATACAGTAGTGAATGTATTATTGGCTGTAGAGAGCGCCAATCGGCCCAGGGATGTCTTGCTTGCGATGGCTTGTACGGTAGATAAACTATCTTGGACAACAGGAATGGATGAAACACGTGAAACGAATCCAGATGCCGTATTTGAGGAAGGCTTTTTATTGGGGATATTCATTTCTTGCTCAACCAAGCCAATTATTTGTGGTTCTTTTTCTTCCTGAGTCACTGTTTCCTCTTTATAGTTTTCATGTGAATGATGATGATGATCTAAAAGCATATTAAAATCTGCGCGTATATACATATTTATAATAAAGGCTTACTTTGACTGTGATGCTTATGATGCCTAGCCATTTTTTATATTAAGAGAAAGAAAGAAAGAAAGAAAAAAAAAGAGGGAAAAAGTATTGTTTATCTTTAGAAAAGAGGCGTATTTATAATAACCTGATTTAATGAAACAAAAAAAAATGAGATACACAATATTCTTTACTACACACGTGAAAAAGAACAAGTCTTTTTTGCATTATTATCGTATTTTTGTTAGCTTTACTTTTTTTTTTTTGCTTTTTTCTTTCTTTTCTTTTAGTGTGGGTGCAATCGGGTGGTTATCAGATATATCTGGTTTTTTTATTAAACAGCCTTTTTCACGTGATTGGCTAGAGAGCGTATTTCTAAAAGCACAGACAGGCTATTGTCACGTGGACAGTCAAATTATGTTATATGATAACTTTTACAAATGGGCTTAAAGACTAGTGAATATATAATGTCAATTCATGTGTTACTATAAGGGTCAATGCTTCTCTCTCTCCTCTGTGTTTAAGTTCTCCTTAACATGTGAAAAGGTATTCTTACCGCGCGCGCGTGCATTGAAAATCATAATGTTGGTTAATACGTTTGGATATTGTGTCAACTAGAAAGGATATATGCCATATTGTCTTCTTTTTTTTAAACAGCGAATAACAATAATATTTCACAAATAATCAAAAGCCAGGTTTATAAAAGAGAGAAAGAGAGAAAGAGGGACCGAGAATTGATTGTGAAAATAGTAAAATTTGCAACGTCGTAAAAAAACAAGTGTACACTTGATAGTGGAGTTTAAGTGATTGATTCTAGTCAACTTAAATACCGTATGCTCTCGTATTAAACTAGGATGATTTAATCATACATTGTAAAACAGGGGACGACTTGTAAAAAAAATACAAGTATCCATAAACTTGGTTTTATAAGAATAACTCTTGATGAAACGGCAAATCATTTGAATAAAGTAAATCGGTGAATCCTTACAAATACAATTCCAATTTCTGATCTTCTCTTAGTTAAAGAGAGAGAGAATGGGGTAACTTACTGAGTTCATATTTACTACATGTGATTGTTGCAGTTGCTCAAAAACTTTACTAGAATCATTAATCATATAGTCTGTTTTTATAAAGTATTTTTTGAGCACAGACTTTCAATGACCACATCGTAGTCATAAGCCTTCTACAAAATGATGTATACATTATTAAATCCCCTCATTATATCTCTCTCTTGTTGACTGTTTGAACACAAAACAGGCTACTAATTTTTAAAATGATATTAGTGCCAGTCGCAGTAATATTTGTGAACAACAGAGTGTAACACGACCAATAGTTCATAAACATCCTTCAATTAGTCTTTTGGTTTCACGACCTTTGTTATCCAAACCAAATAAAAAAAGGGAGGCTCAGAAGCTTATGACCGTACTAATTCACAATTAAATTGTGTGTACTATCATCATTGTAGTAAAACGACCTGGACAAACATTTGATGTTCTAGTTCTTGAATTATTGAAGGCGGACTTCAAGAATGAGCCTTTTGTGGTTTGGGCAGTTGGTTACAGACAGCATCAAGTAAGCGCCGTGTTAATCTGTGATTATATATGTATAAAAAACCAGAAGTCAAGATGAGCTCTATGACTTGTAGTCCAATCCAATACATCATTGTTACTTGGCATTCTTTCCATAAAGCTCTTTAGACTTATATAACCACTAAAATTAAATGAATGACGATAGCCTCTGTGTGTGTATAACTTTAGTAAAGTATATACGATATATAAGTGAACAGATCAAGTATTGCACTATTCATCTTTACTGACAGAAAAAAAAAAAAGAGTATAAATAGCTATTGCTATACTTGTCAACGCATTGAGAACATCGTTTGAAATTATTTCAATGCTTAAATTACCATTTATGCCCTATTTTATGATCATTTCCATTCAAGGTTTGACCGTTTTTTTATCCCCGTTTTATGGAAAGGTCACTCAGACTCACTTTGGTGTTACGATAGGGTCAATGCTTTCTTTCTTTCTTGTGTCCCTTACATGTGAAAAATATATTCTTACTGCGCGCACACACGCATGAAAAGAGAATAAAGAAATTGAAAATTATAGTGTGTTTATTATTATAAAGTGAGAATTTACTAAAGAAAAAGAGTTCTATATAATATTTGGTTATGATGGGTTTGAGTTATTTTGGAAGGCTGCAATAATCTGATGTGCTTCAACAGGACTACATGCACAAAAATGAAGAGATGTTAGCCTAATTTATATATAAAATCATCTAAAACTTACTTTAATAATTTCTTCCAAGCTGCATCTACAAATGTCTTCTTTTCTAGTAATTCTTTTCGTGTATGTAATTTGTTCTTGCGTCCTCTTGTTGGTACCATCTTGGCTGTCATTTCAAAGCTCCATTTACGGAAGATTTGCACCTTGACAACATCCAAAAGCATAAAATAAACCAAGGAAACACCAAGTACAGATAGACCCCAGCCGTACCCACAAGGTGCAACGCCTTCATGTTCACCAAAGACACCATAAACAGAAAAGAAGAGCGCAACGATTTGTGTACCAATGATGCAAACAGTGAATATCCAATTAGGCATATTCTTCCACCAATAGCCAGGAACACGAGTTGAGAATATGACAAAGTGTGGAGCTATGTTGTGTGTATGTAAGACACATATTTAAAATTTATAGCATTTTTCGCTTTTTTTAGCTTTTTACCTGAGGAAATATGAAGATACATGATGGAATGCAACTCATTATCGGTGACATGAAAGACATCTCGAGCAATGTAAAAGTGAGCAAAGGAAAGTGCAGCAAGTAAGGCAGCCAAGACGAACGAGAGTGTCAATAATTGTCCGATACGCCATTTATCGGGCCTTTCGGAAATTTCTGTGTTATCAACAGAAATAACCAAGGTAGCAGCATCATTCTATATATATATAATAAGTATCATCGGCTCATCAATCAATTTAACTTACCAAGACACAGATCATGATAAGCAAGACAGCAGGCATAGTCCAATCTTCAATCAAGGTGATGATGAACATAAACATCAAAAAGTGAATGGTGGAAGTGATACGGTAAAGAGCATAGGATCGAAGACGTTGGAAGATAGCACGGGAGGTGATGATACCATCTGTAATGGTAGAAAGACCAGGAGCAAGCAAGACAATGTCAGCAGCAGAACGTGCAGCATCAGTACAACCTTCAACAGCGATACCCACATCAGCCTTCTTGAGAGCAGGCGCATCATTTACACCATCACCAGTCATGCCAACCAAGAGACCCTTGTTCTGGAGTAATTCGACAACACGATACTTGTGTTCAGGAATTACTTGGGCAAAACCATCGGCGCGTACACAGTGTTCAGTTACATCTTCCTCGCTCTTTGAGGGATCTACAAGATGATTGGCGTCCAAAATAACACGACCCATACCAAGACGAGCAGCAACTTCTTTAGCAATGATCAATTGATCACCAGTGATCATCTTGACGTCGACACCCAAGGCATTACATTCAGCAATGGTCTGGAGAGAATCAGGGCGAGGGGGATCTAGGAGAGAGATCATGCCGACAAGTTCGAACTTGTCTTCACTACCAGGAACAGTCTTGGCAACACCAAGAGCTCTTAAACCACGGCGAGCAAGGGAATTCACAGCATGAACAGCTTCATTGTCGCCACCAACAAGCTTGGTAATGACTTGAGGAGCACCTTTAGCCACGCTGAAGGTTTCGTTGGTGTTTACGTTCATGACGGTAGCACGGGTCATCTTGGTAGTGGGATTGAAGGGTTCGAACTGAATGACCTTGAATCCAGGAATTTCACGATTGTTGGGACGGTTCTTGAGCAAGTCTACTTGGCTTTCAGCAGCACGACGCACAGCAGATTCAATGGGGTCATTAGCACCCTGTTCAGCGGCCAGATACGAGTAGAACAAAATGTCTTCTTCGGAGTAACCATTCGTCAACCATGGCTTGTCAAAGGTCAGTTCGTTCAAGGTCAATGTACCAGTTTTATCGGAGCAGAGCACAGATACGGAGGCAAGTTCTTCTACAGCAGTCAATCGTTTGACAATGACTTGCTTGGCAGCCAGTTGTTTAGCACCCACGGCCATGGTAACCGACATGACAGTGGGAAGACCAACGGGAATAGCAGCGACAGTTAAGACCAAACAGTTTTCAAGGACAATCTTCCAATTGCCCTGGGGAGTACCACGGAAACGAACCATCTGATAGATAAAGACGATCATGACAAGGACCACAGTAGACCAGATTAAAACGTTACCGATTTTGGTGATGATCTTTTGGAAATGTCCTTCATCAGCAGTGATAGCAATCAGGTTCGCAGCACGACCAATAAAAGTATCTGTACCAGTCTTGGTGACAATAGCCAGCTGTTGTCCTTGTTTAATAATACTTGATGAATAAACAGTGCTACCTTTCTTCTTAGCCACGAGCAAGGATTCACCAGTCAGTCCAGATTGATCAATCATAAGTTCTGAGTCATTTTTTTCTCCGTTGACGCCCAAACCCAAGAGGCGAGCATCAGCAGGGACGATATCACCAATACGTAAGACAATAATGTCACCGGGGACCAGTTCCTTTACGTCTACTTCCTTCAATTCATTATCACGGTAACAGCGGGTCTTGAGGGCCAAAGTATGGCGCAAGGCGTCCAATGCGGATTCCGCCTTGGCTTCTTCGACGTAGCCAATGATTGCATTGATAATTAAAAGAGCCAAGATGATGCCAAAGTCAATCCAGTCACCGACAATGCCAGCAATGATACAGGAAATTTCGATCAAGTAAGAGATGGGTCCAGTAAAGTAGCCAAAGAATTTCAAAAAGGGATTCGTCTTTTTCTCCGGAAGTTCGTTCATGCCAAATCGCGCTTGACGTTCGGCGACTTCTTGGGAGGACAAGCCGTGGCTAGGATCAGTGTGCAATAAGAGTTCTAACTCGGGAGATATTTCGTCTTCATGTTCAATATGTTGATGTTCTTCGAATTCAACTGCCTCTTTCTTTTCGTCAGAAGATGGCGGTTCCGAATGAGGTGTAGTCATTGATGTTGTTTAAAGCAATACTCTGATAGTAATAGATTTTTCGCTTGATGTATTCTAATGAATAGTTAGCATAGGCAAAAAAGTAATAGAATCAATATTTACTCTAGTTGTTATTTCTGCTCACTTTTGATAATACGGAGATTATTAAGATAGGAAATTAAAAGAAATGCAAAAGAAAAAGAGAGGGAAAACAAAATAGAACTGGTCAATTTATTTATATTTAGTGTAAATGTAAATGTGAAAGATCTGTCGATTTGTTTATCATGTAGGGGATTTATGACACAAACGCTTTTCTGCATGAATGACCACATACTGCACCAGTTAGTTTAGTGATCCTGTCGTCTTTTTATTCAGTGACTGGTTCAAAAGCAACGGACAGTTAATATGTCTTGTAGTTTGTATCTTAATGTCCTGCTTTCTGCTGTCTTTTTGTAATATGATGAAACTTATAAAGTAAAGAAAAAAAGAAAAGGCATCACTTTCTTTCTCTCTCTTAATGCATCTCTTCTTTGCTCCCCCTTACTTATTTGTTTTACGCTAAGAAAAACGATGCTTTATATATATATTAATCTTCATTAGAAACATTTGACTTCTAGGGATATATCACGCCCATTTACACTTTCCATATCCCTTGCATCCCCCCTCCTTTTTTTTTCTCTCCCCCTTTCTATATCCTTTCTTTCTATGAAAAAAGAAAATGCTAAAATAATAATACCAAAAGAGAAATAAAAGGTAGAAAGGGGGAAGGCGATATATCAAATGAGGGAATCGAAAGCATAAGCATTTTCAGTGTATTGTTTATATAGTAATTTATACTTTACTCTTAAAATCAAAAATACCCGACTTATTCTTTTAAACGCGCCTCTTTACCTCCCCTTACATTCGATCATCCTCTTACTTAGAGTTTTCCCTCTATTTGTTATTTCTTTCTCTTTCTCATTTTAGCTTTATTTCTTCTGGAGAGGCTCCTTGATTTTTACATATTACCTTTTATATATATGTCTTCGGCACATTCCAGAAATTTTTTTTTTTTTTTCACGTTATTTTAATACTTTATTACTGTCCATAACCCCACACGCACAACTCCTTGAAACATAAATGAAGTTTATTATTATGGTTTATTATTTAAAGACGATTCAGATGAAGGCAATCGTGGTAATGAATGAGTCGCCGGCGTTTCGTCCATTTTAACCGTGTGATGAGGTGCAGGATCTGCCCAGTTTTGATTATTGCTATTGTTATCTTGACTGTGGATCCAGCCCAACTCGTGATTCTCCTCTAAAGACGGCTTCATAATCTCCTCAATTTCAAATGTTGACTTTCCTACTGCTTCATCACGTAGTTCGAATCGTTTGGGAGCGGGGTTGGACGAGACGATGCCCAAGGGACTCGAATTTGTACCTTGGTAGTCCATTTGAGTTAAAGGCACACGACCGCTCTCAGACGAGAGATCACTGTATCTTCGAGGGTTTGGATCATATTGGGTTTCTTTAAAGATATCCAAATTAGCTTGACGTTGAGCGAATCGTGGGACAGGCAAATTGTTCTCTTTAGCTAACTTAGTGCGTCGATCCATTTCGAACTCGCTCCATTTCTTCATCGTGATCATGCTGCTGTCAAATTCACCGCCCTCATCGCCGTGTCCCTTATCCTTCTTGATGCCTTCAACCTTACGTGTGTCACCCCAGGAGAAATCATCAAAGTGCCAGTAGGCGTACATGGGCAAGACAAAGTTCCAGATGATAAGACTGATTAGATAAATAAGCATCCATCCGACATAGACTAGTTTACAGCTTGTCATGCCAATCAGAACAGCAGGGAGACCAAGGACAAGGGCAAGTAAGATCAGAGGCAAGATCGCAGGTTTACCAAGAATGGCAGATATAACAAGATAGAGTGTAAAACTGATAGCGGCGGGTAAAGCCAAGGTACCGACCAGTTCCATAAAGACAACGAATTGCATTGAGAAACAGAACGTACCACAGAGGTCATTGACGAGCAAGAGTTCAAAGAGGTTATGAATTGTTGAATTGATCCATCGACGACGCTGCGAGAGAAGCACCTTGAAAGTGTCGGGCACAACTGTCTTGCACACAGCCTGAGGAACAAACATCATCTTACGATTAGGAAAGGTACGCAGCATGAGCGTTGTCAAGTAACGGTCTTCACCTAGCAGGAGCAAATTCTTACGGTGTAACGTGTCAACCACGTTTTCAGAGTAATGTTCAACGATATCTGGGTTAGCTAAAATGGGTACCCAGTAGCCATTAGGCCCCTTGGGTGCTTTAATACGATACATACAGAAGCAGCCTGGAAGACAAGTGACACCACCAAAGATACTTTCAAACGCTTTTGACTGGTGATGTGAGATATAGTATTCAAATACTTGGATCATTGTCACCCAGCTATCAGTCTTGTTCGCAATCTTGGTTTCACCACAAAGACCAGATATCTCAGGGTCCTTGACAGCAGCTGAGATCATACGGGATAGTGCATCAGGATATAATTTGGTATCAGCGTCAACCATGAGACAGATCTCATAATGGTCTGCAGACACGCCTGTAATACGCCAGATGGCATTGAAAAACTCATATTCCATCATGGTCATGCGTTCATCGAACATGACTTTCTGAAGAAATTGCATCAGGATGATTTGAGAGTCTCGTTTGCCGCGGTTACCAGGTTTTGGTGCATTCGCTTCTTCCGGTCCACCACACTTGACAATCGTAATCATAGGCACACGGGATTGTTGTTCCAAAGGCACCGTTTTGTCATCAAACTTGTAAAATCCTGCATACACTTTGGCACAGTTGTTACGTCGAGACCCATCTGCGATGGCCACATAAGGCTGAGCTTCTACTTGGTCCACGGGTACGATCAAGTCACGCATCATGCCAACACAAATATCGGGTGTGGATCGGGATTCACCACTGCCTGTGATCAGACCATCACAAATAACTACCAAAAGTGTGTGACTTTTGGGATAGTCGCTCATACAAATAGAATCTAATGTCGTACGGATACCTTCTTCGCCTTCAGAGTAGCAGGTGACAAGGCACATGGTATGGGCTAGAGGGTAATTGAAGGGCATGTAGTCGGATGGTGGCTGTGGAACGACGTAGGGAGACAGAGGAAAGGGACATACAGGTCCACTTTGGCTAGTGTTGCTCGTCGAATATTGACTACGACTGTCCCAAGAAAAGGAAGGCGTCGTCATGTTGTTGTGACCAAAGGAAATGGCAGAGTAGCGTTGACTGGCAGGTGCATTGAATCCAGAAAAGTTGGTCGACAGAACCGAATTGGGTCTGCTTCCGGCAAGGCTGTTTTGCATATACATTATTAATTTTTCATCATAAAGTATTTAAAAAAAAATTACCTTGCATTTTTCCAAGCAGGCATCGGTGGTTTTTCTGAATCAAAACGAGTCGAGCCATGTTCCACAGGTGTAAATCGAGAGGTGACAGGAAAGAAACTCTTGCGGTGTTTATGATGTTGTGGAGGAGGTGGGGGAGGAGGTACGTGGGTGACAGGGCCATTCGTATCAAGGTTTCTTGCCCAATTCTCAATTTCTTCCTCACGTCTCATTCTGGCAGCGTATGATTTCTCTTCTTTAAAGTTACCAAGTTTCCATGACAGAAACCAACCAAAGATGACGGCCAGGATGAATTTGGCACCAATGACGGCGAGAATGACGACAAGAGAAACGTAGAGCACGATTTCTGAAATCATGCAGCCTACAGACATTGTATCTACTTGTCCCACACGGATCGTCTTGACAAGACATTCCGCTTCGTCCTGCCATCTTATTCCAGGTGCTCGATAAGATTGAATCGTGTATGTCAAGTCTTTTCCACCAAACTCGTCCATGTTGTCGAGGATGTTGAGAATAAGACCATTCTCAGGCGGCTTGAAGTAATCACGGGGTAGGGCCTTTAGTAAGTTAAGATTGAGAACGTTGCTAATAAAGAGGAGATGAGTTTGAACTGTTTGGTAAAAGTACAAGGGATTTTACTTGTTATACACCATGAGATGATTTGTTGCATTGATATCCTCATAATTATAATATACGCGTGATACTTTATCGTATTGACCCTTTTTGTTTGGAACGCCTTCTGTTGTAAATTGATTTAGTAAATTAGTGGCTGAAGAAGAGGTATGGCAATAGGTTCTGTTGGTATATTGAGCGACATCAGGGATATCAGTTGTATTTGGATTGAAGAGTTGACAAGGAAAGTAGTTGGGCTGTTCTCCTTTCAGAGGTACAAACACATTGTCGCATTCAGGATAACGTTGAGGAAAGAGTAAGGTGGCATCCATACCAGCCCCATTCATGGGAGGATAGAGCACGTTGGTCGTCCCGTTCGAGCTTGGATGACCATCCCAATCGGCCAGCATATAAGCCCAGCCTCTGATAACCAAGTATCCTGGGGTGACAGCATTACCATGAATGGAAATGCCTGATGGAGGACAGGTTGCTTGTGTAAAACCAAACGTCAAGAAACCGACAGCAGCCATGATGCAAACAATAACACCTACAAGTCCAATCTTTTCTCTCCAAGCGGTTTGTGCAGGACCTCTTGGGATGCCTATAACAAGAAGGATTAGGATGAATGACGTATTTACAAAAATAAAAAGTCTAACCGGCTAAACTTAAAAGTTGAGGTGGTATACAGCAAGTCAATATGTAACAATATGTCATCCAAGGACCAGGTAATCCAGAAAACCAACCGTGCTTTTTTTCCTCAGGAGTATAAACAAATGAATCAGCGTCTTCCTTTTCTTCACGGCCGAGGACGCTTTTGCCGCGTCTTACGGTGACTGTTCCGGATCTACTGACTAAGCCTTGCGGTAGATTGCCCGTTCGACTGGGTTGGATTGTTTCTGGAGCAGCATTGCTTGCTGCTTGTCTATAGTGGTATTGTCTATGGTTTGGATTTACCCTTTCTCTTTCAGGTCGTACAAGCGACTTTCCTCTTTTGACAGTTACATTATTATTTTTCGTAAAGGCTTGTGCATCTGATGACATGTTGATATCAGTCCCTGATACTTTGCTGCTTGTAGAGAATTCTCTGCTTAACGTGGGTGTATATGGTTTGATCTTTTCATTAGGATTCATGCTGGTGATATATACTTTATATTATTGGTATATTCATGTATAAACTGATAAATTACAAAAAAAGGAATAAAAAGGAAAAAAGTAGTGTACGTGATAAGCTTCTTTTGTCTTGTAAAATTAAAATCAAAAAAAAAAAAAAAAAAGAGAGAGAAAGAGAGGAAAAAAAAGATCGGTGTTGACTTAAAATTTTTAGAAAAGGAATACGATTCCACTTCTTTGGTGATTCTGTTGTTAAAAGGAGAAAGAGAAAGAAAAAGTCAACCTTGGCATTTTGAACTAAAAATATACGTAAATAAAAATAACCAGAAAGTTTTTTTTTTGTCAATCATAACGTAATAATTGAATACGCTTGGCTAAAAAAACTCAGTGGATCTGCCTTTTATTTTTATTTTTGAATCCTTTTTTTATATGCTTTTTTGTTATTCTAGAAGAGAAATCCTTTTGGAGAAGGTCGTGTGACAACTTTAGATCCCAGCGGGTAACTTAGCCTTGTGTTACCTTTCATTTTGAATGGCTATGTCGTGGATAGATACGGTTACAATGGTGTTGATATAATCAGGAACCAGAAACAGATGAAGTGAAAAAGGGAGATATTGTTAATAAATGTATGTGATCTAGTTGAAGAGGATGATACCATCTTTGACTATAATGATTTCATTCATTTCGTTACTGTTACGTAAGAATATACAACCTTAACGCTAATATAAGCCGATAACTAGTATATCTTTCTACATATTACGCAAATTTAAAGATACGCCTGATATTACCATGTCAATGAATTCACGGGAAAAGAATTCGTCTTGCTACATTGAATGTACCTATGCAAAAGCCTCCTCTACTTGGTTTAAAACCCAGAGCACTTTGTCTACAATTTCCTTTTCTTATGTCAATTCCAGAAAAGCTCATTGTAACATTCGTTGTCATACTCATAACCTACTTACAAACCACAACAAGTTTTGTTATTCTTGGACCAGCATTAGGAGGATGGACAAGTCTACATGTACAAAAGATTCTTTTGCCGTTAAACATTTTTATCATTTCAATTTATTATAATTACTACTTGGCGTGTAAGACAGATCCAGGCCATGTACCTGAGGGCTGGGTAAAAAGATTATTATGATAACTTGTGTGAGAAACAAAACTGATTTTTAATCAGGAACCACCATCCGAAGTACTTTCCTCAGATCCTCCACTCAACTTGGGATTAACAGGCCCAAGATACTGTAAAAAGTGTGAAGCCTTTAAACCACCGAGGTGTCATCACTGTAAGCAATGTGGAAAGTGCATTCTTAAAATGGATCATCACTGTCCATGGATAGGCAATTGCGTGGGGTTCGGTAACTATGGTTATTTTGTACGCTTTGTCTTTTCAGTCATGATTGGTTGTACATATGGATGTTATCTACTCTTGTGGAGACTTCAACGCATATTTGATGCAAGAAAGAACACATGGGTAAATGATGACAGATTATGAAAACAACTTTTTTATTTAGTTAATATTTTATAGAATCCAAACACACCAACGACGACAGAATTGCTACTCGTCTTACTCAACATAGTCATTCTCAGCTTTGTTATTCTTCTAGTCGGTGTGTTAGCCGTGTATCACAGTTATTGTTTATTAAAAGGACAAACAACCATTGAAGGATCAGAGAGACAAAAGACTAGACGATTGATCAAGAGGCGCAGAATCGATTTTGTAAGGAAACAAGAACGGTATTGTCATACTGTCTTTTTCACACTGGATTGTCACAGGTGGAATTTCCATTCGATGTAGGATTTTATAGAAACATTTGCTACGTTTTAGGCAATAATCCGATACTGTGGCTTTGGCCACTCCCAAGCCCAGGCAATGGAATTGACTTTGCCATTCGGCGAAATATAGGTAACATGATTCATATTACCATTTTCAAAGACTAACTTTGCAGAATAGACCCGCGGGTGGCCTACTACTGGCCACCGAAAAGTCCGGACGAGGCTAATCAAGTAACTGAGGACTCGACGGAGCGAGGTGATTACAGATTAGTACGTAGGGATTCTGAAGGATACCTTGTAAAAGAAATCACTTGGGAAGATAGAATGAGAATGCTTCAGGACGAACAACCAGATGAACAGCAAAATGAACAACACGATGGGCCTATGGAAAGATTAGATTTAGAACTAGCAGATGATGATTATGAGGATGATGTTACTGACTATGAGGTAGATTTTGATGAGGAAGAGGATGGAAATGATAGCTCATGATATCCCCTTTATTTATCAATCACATCTTCGCATGAGCATAAATAAATAGTTCTTTTTAATGAGCCAATCAAATTATCAATTGAATATAGCTTATTTGTCTCTCATTATTTCTTTTTTTTTTTTTTGGTTTCTAGAGTAGAATGAACGGAAATAGAACAGTGGGCTCGACCGCTTTAAAACGTCTCATGACGGAATATAGAGGCAAATAGAAAAAGAAAGCAAGATATACATATATGCTTTATGCTAATTATGAAATAGAATTAACACTGAATGCACCCGAAGGTATTACTGCAGGTAAGACAAGTAGATCTCTTTCTTTTTATGTTTGACTTATACACGTACATCTAGGTCCCATTGATGAAAACAACTTTTTTGAATGGGAAGCCTTGATTGCGTAAGTTGTAGCAACACCTTTACATAAAATGTGTTTAACTCTTTCATATGACAAATAGAGGACCTGAAGGCACACCTTTTGAAGGTGGATTATTTCCTGCTACGCTCACTTTTCCTAAAGATTATCCTCTAAGCCCGCCTACGATGAAATTCACTTGTGATTTCTTTCATCCTAATGTATATCCCAATGGAACTGTCTGTATTTCTATATTACATCCGCCAGGAGATGATCCCAATATGTATGAAAGCAGCTCAGAACGATGGAGTCCTGTTCAAAGCGTCGAAAAGATTTTGTTGAGCGTGGTCAGTATGCTGGCAGGTAATTATATTATTTGTAAGTAATGCTCTGATACATCATTTAATCTCTCCTTATAGAACCTAATGATGAAAGTGGAGCTAATGTTGATGCCTGTGTAAGTAAATACATACTCCCTACCATTCTTTGTTATTGATGACTTTATAGAAAATATGGAGAACAAACAGAGAACTCTATAACCAAATTGTAAGAGAAAATGCAATGAAGACATTAGGTTTGCAGTAACAAACGATGAATAATTTAATAAAATTGGAGGATATACAAATATATATATGTACAATATATATTCATACGAAAGAAGGAAAGAAAAAGAAATGCTAAACAGAGAAAAGGAAAAAGAGAAAGAGAAGGAAGGTGGGAGAGAGAAAGAAAGGGTTTTCTAGTAGATGAATGGATTATCAAGGGTATTATTGCTATTATTATTGTTATCTAATTCTTTTTTGATGATGGCTTGATTATCTGTAAATGCTTGCTTGTTTTCAGGTATTTGATACACATTGGTGAGTAAATCATAGGTTGTTGGGTTAGATCGACGATACATAAACAACGAATTATTAAATTGACGTGCGGCAACTGCTGCACAATGTACCCAATTTAATTCATCGACATACTGTATTGTTGACTTGTGTTGCAAACTATTTTTGCCCATGACAGCAGCTGGAAATGACTGTGCGCCACTATTCATTGTTCCCCATGCTGATCCAGTAGACATTGATTTGTTATAATTGTTGCTATTGTTATTGTTATTGCCATAATTCATGTCATTCAAATCCTTCATGCCATCATCAGACAGTGCATCATCATCGCCTTCATCGACTTCTTCTGTATAAAAATAGTCATCTCTTCCTTTACGTCCCTTTCGTATGACACGATGCCCAAACTGTTTAAATACTGATCTAGCTGTCACAACTGATATTTCACGCGTACGAAATGTAGATCGCAACAGTCTCGAATCCACTAAATACCCTTTCTCAGCGTTATCAATATGCACTTTTACCAAATTGACATTCTTCTTCAAAAATACAAAACTGTCACGAAATCCAAGTAATGCTGCTGGGTCTTTGGAAAACATAAATAATGTTTCTCCTCGCGTTGGCAACGTAAATGTAGGCACTCTATATTCGCGACCTATAAATATATTGTATTTAGTAAAGCTTTTTTATTTTATTTTTTGTATACACCATACCTCCGAGTAATCTACCATTCTTGTCTACTTTTGTTTCACCTATTTCGTCAATCTCACTGGCATATCCACTTGACGTATTTACAGGTGGGGGCACATAGCTTTGTGATGATTCTCTCGTCGTTGGCGTTTTTTCTTTTCCTTGCACTTTAGGCCTTCCTCTCTTTCTGGGTGTATGTACAACGGGCTCTTGCGACAGGTCCAAGTCGCTTGAGCTTATTTCTCCAGAAGACAGCTCGCTTTCTTCATCTACATAATTTAAATCTTCTCTTGTTTCCATGCCACGGCTACCACTTCTCGATCGTTTCCTTTTTGGTCCTTCTTTATGTAACATGATTAAATCAAAAGAAAAGAGCAACAGAATGAAATTACAACCATTCCGTTCAGTCTAATTGATCACGTGATGAATGCGTCATCACAAAAAAAATTTTTAGATAGGACAGCGAATAAAACGAGGAATCGACGAAAATATTTTCACACTTTCACTTTTACTTCAACAGATAGTGAGGAAGGTTAGTTTGTCAAATCAGCGCAACTTTTACAAGTGGTTCAAATGCTAATAACTCTTATAATAGATTCTTTTCTACACTACAGAAAGCCCCTTAGTTACTAGTTGTTGAAAATAATCGAGTTATCTGACCATGCAAGTTTTCGTAAAGTCTCTTCAAGGTAACACCTTTGCCTTAGATGTCTCTTCCAACACTTCCGTTGCTGCTGTCAAGTCCATGATTGAAGCACGTGAAGGTCTTCCTGTCAACGCCCAATGCTTGTCCTATGCTGGTAAGTCCCTTGTTGAAGGTGAACTCGCTCTTTATGGTATTGCCGACAACAACACTTTGCACTTGAATGCCGAGTTATTGGGTGGTGGTAAGAAGAGAAAGAAGAAGACTTACACCACTCCCAAGAAGATCAAGCATAAGCGCAAGAAGGTCAAGATGGCCGTCTTGAAGTATTACAAGGTTGATGAATCTGGCAAGATCACTCGTCTTCGTCGTGAATGTCCTAATGCCACTTGTGGTGCTGGTGTCTTTATGGCCAAGCACAAAGACCGTCAATACTGTGGTAAATGCCACTTGACTTATGTCTTCCAAAAGGGTGAAAGCGCTTAAGCGTTTTATTGTGTAATAAATAAAAATTTTTTATTTACTGCTCCTTCGACACTGGTTCGCTTGAAGGTTGATTTGATACTGTCTGTGTCTTGAGTAAGGCTTCATGTAATTCCTGTTGCTCTTTTAGTTCTTTCATATTGAGTGCCTGCTGTTGCTTCTTTTTTCTTCTCTCTTCGTCTTGTAAGACACCTGCTCGTAAATTCTATAGAAAGGCATTTAATTCTTCTTCATTGTCGACATTATATGCTTTTACTTCTTTTTCTGTATTTTGTATATAATGAACGCCTACAACAGAGGCAGCACAAAAGGCTATTGAGGATGCAAGTGTCGCTTTTGCTTTTGTTGACATGGGCCCAAAGAATATAGTAAAATGAAGGAGAGAGAGGCTTACTGTTTTTTCCTTGAATTTTATTGGCTGATTTAGAAATTACTGGTTTTGACAGCCAGTAAAAGTTCCTTGATCCTATTTTTTGGACTCACTGCTTTACTGAGTATCTTTAACAGCTGCATATACAAACATTCAATGTTAAGCTCAAAAAGTACATTACTGTTCCCTTTTTTTTCGAATAATCTGTAGTTAAAGGGAGACAATCCAGTGAAATTATGAGTCAACCAGATAGTCGACAGTGTATGTAGACTATCCCGGGTACCTGACAAAGTTACAGTCAGGCTTATGAAAACTGGCGTTTTCTCAAAAATAATTGACAAAAGGAGCTCTTTCGCGAACCTATACATTACACGCACTACGAAAAAAACCGAAAAGTTGCCTTTTTTTAGGCCCTAAAAAAGGACAATTTAGAGAAGAAGTAATGGTGTATTTATAAAAAATGAGAAAAAGGATTGTATTCGTGTTCGGTTACTGCGTACGATGACAATAAACGCATATCTAGGTTGAATTCATGGTAGTACTATCATTATATTGAATTGCAAAACATGATAGCACCTCAGCATTCTTGCTGAGACACATAAAGTTTTAACCAAAACTAGTAACTAGGAGAAGATGGCATTAGATACGTCCTCGTTTATGAGGTTTTTAGATTTCCTTTGGAACAAAATACTGTTTTAAAAGATTTTAATTGGGCCCCTACTGATGTGTACCTGTTTATTGGAAAGAAATTCAAGTTCGTTTATGCTCCAAAAAAAGTGATCTTACCCTCCTGGTATTCCTTTTTCGTTGTTGAGTTGTTATAAAAATATTCACTCGAATGATCAGCACTCATATCCAAAATATGTGTAATAAACTACTTACCCGCTACCAATCTGACTGCAGGGGCCATGTTGCTTGACAAGGAAAAGGGATACACTCGTACACATTTACTATTCATGCATCACACCCTCTTGTATTTTGGTTTTCTAAAGGTTTTTAATTGATTCCCTTACTGCTGATATTGATTAACAATAAGGCGACCCTCTCTCTCCACTCCTTTTCCATCTTGCTACAAAACCATCCCTTTGTCATATCCACTTTAATTGTAATTTTAAGCGGTATAGATTATGTCCACTTGCTCGGAAAACATTTATATTGACCCTCATTCCATTTGACAAGTTGTTAACTTACGTTGATAATGCATTATAAATTGCTAAATCAGTATTTATTTCTATATAGTAATTTCTAGCTCCAAAATTAATATGGATGAAAATGAAGCAATGTTACTTAATCTAACTGGTATGTATTCTCCCTCCAGCGCCGTTACGCTACCTTCATTTCTTCCTTAAAACAGTGTACCGTTTTGGAAGAGAAGCGTTTTGCTCAACTCCAATCTCGATGACTTATGCTCATTCAACGTAAGCTACTCCTTCGTGACAAACCTATGCTTATCAATTCTCTTGCTCTTTCCACCCTTTGTTATGCTTTATAAGTGATTTTTCTTTTTCATTATTGGTAAACTTTTTCAATAGAGATGTCAAATCACCTATTGCGTATACTCAGCTCTACTGCTCAATTTCTGATGATAGCCTTGGCATCCCTAATCCTCAAGTAAAATAACGCTGTTTATCAACTTCCTGATCTACTGTACTGACTTCAGCTGTGGATCTTTTCTTTCCATTATTAGCTTTTGTCTTTTTTTTTTTTTGGTGGGGGCCTCCTAATGGTAACATGAGTGACATTTGACGAGTGAATAGCACCAATAATTGTGTGAGATACAGTGTTTCTAAAAATTAATGTCGCGCCAAGATGTCGTATTCCTATATATTTTGTATTGTAAAAATTGAATTTTTGCGACGCTACTTTCTGGAAATACTGTATAGCTCTGGTTTTTGGTTGCTTTACTACTGCAGCGCTACCTTTCTTTGACCTCAGTCAGTTCTTCCTCATGTTAATATGAAAGCCTGCCTCATCAATGAAGATACAATTTCTTGTAAAACCCATATCAGAATCTCCCCATTTCATGAACCACGTATGTCTTGTCTGTAGATTTTTCATTGAGTTTCTAACTTCAGGCTCGAACATTGGCTTTTTATGGTTATGAGCATTATGTTTCGCAAGTGGATATTCATTTGCGCTTTTGAAAAGGTAAATCCTCCAAATCGATCAGTCAAGCTTTTTATAAGATCATCCGAATATAACTGAGAGTCGTTATCAAGATGCTTGTTGATATATTTATTGTGTTCTGCTGTGAAAGAGCTCTTTGGCCCAAGGTTTTGTCCACTCTTTTTATATACTATTTCTTCTGTTTCTTCATAGTAATGCCTCCATCTTAATGCAGTACGATATTTAATATTTAAATCTCGTGCATGCTGAGCGATTATCCCATGTTCTCAAGGGCTTTCAAGCATACGGTAGTTGAACGATTCCCGGGTGAAATCGTTGTAATTATTGTATGGTTTTACTGGTAGGTTCATCTCGCTTGATCTTGACTGCTTTTTAGACAAAGTCTCATCAGACGTTTTCTCAGGACGCTTAGCGTTCAAGTAGGTTTCCCGATTAGTAATTGTTTCTAGAACTATGTTAGGAACATTGGCTTGCATTAAAACATCCTTCATTGGGTCGCAAGCTTTCTTGTTTTGTTCATTTAAAATATTCTCTTGTCCATCTTCATAGAAAAAAGTATTCATCATCATAGTTTTGCAGGTAAAATAAGATAGTATAAAATAAAAGAATAATAAATTGTGAAAACTAAGTAGGTAATAAGACCTTTAAACTAAATACAAATCGAGCGTGTAATAGCTTTTTAAAAAACTAGAAATTAATCTTTAATCTCCGGATCGAGACCTTATTGCCAATACAACGCCCTTTTGTCGAATTTGGACATTTTGTCTGAATATTTTCCTAAAAGACAGGTGGTAATATGCCATTTCAAAAAAAAAAAAATCTATTTCTCAGCAGTCAATTTGACACTTAAAAAAAGAGAGGAGATAGATTAGCTGTTCCGGACTCCTAGATGTCCATTCTACAACTGGGCCAGCTGTCACATTTTCCACTTGTAGATGAAACTCCTCTTTTTGGAGAGTTACATTCGGTCTTGTCTCTCTACTTTATAATTTCCTCGAGCATTATTATGGTTCCCTGACTGTTCTCCCAGCTGACAACTTTTAAATATAGTCTTTGCCTTTTTAATACTCGAAAAGAGAATCGCTTTACTAAAAAAGCAAGGCACATTGACATGCAATTTGTTTCTTTATTCTCTGTAAAATCTAAGCCCTTGGTAAAATCAAGTTACGCGTATTATGTCAGTAATTAAAAGAATTTAAATATATTTTATGACATTCCTTTTTTTTTAATGAATAAATATATATAAAAAGAGAAGCTGGGTTATATCTTTTAAGCAATTCTACATGTGCTGATGTTGATGGACGTCTATCATCCTAATCTTGTATAATAAGGGGCTTTTATGTTTATTTCGTCTATAGAATGTGTTCTCGATACAATGGTATTAATACACGTATATCTTTAGCCTTGTATAGTTTGTATCTGAAAATAGTCATAAAATAAAAAAGAGATTGTGTTAACAAGAGAAGGAGGAAAAAGGGAAGCTAGAATGATCTGTGGCCCCTTACAAACTTAAATGATGCAACCAGAAAAAACCTTGTTTTTATTATTATTATTCTTTAGGAGCATGTCTGTATGCGTAAATGTAAATGTATGTAGCACAATCCTTATATGATCAATAATTGGGTTTTTAATATGAATAATGGAAGCAAACACTGTTGAATGATCGGTTTGTCTGAACAAAAATTCTGATGAGTGGCAAATAGTATAACTATAAGCATTCTTTTATCTTTTTTATTTTCAGCCATTTTGTTTAAATTATGATACTTATACATTTTCTATATCACCTTAACATAAACAAATGCGATATGTAGCACCAATGGCTGATTGCTTCCAAAAACACTGAAAAGACCGAAAGATGATATGAGCAGACACTTTATGCGGCGATTGCAATAAATGCTATTAATATACTTGCCTTATTGAAAAAAAAAAAAAAAAAACTAAAAAGGAAGGGGAGAGAGAGAAAAGGTACTTGGGCCAAACTCCCTAATACTTACTGTCTTTTTTGACAGAAAGCGGAAATCACAATGCACAAAACCAACTGGTATACTTGTCATTCACAGTCAAAGTGGCTGCGGGTGTCGGAGAAGATCGCGCCATACACTTCAAAGTACGTTTTGTTTCCATTCAATGCATGTTTCATTTAATACTCCAAACATTTTACGTATGCAGCTTGAACGTCATCAACAGCAAGTTGCTCGATACATTTCAACTCTTTTTGAATGCCTTTTTCGATCGATATCCATTCTTTTCGTTTATTCCATAAACTATTCAACTCTGTCCACTAGTCTTCCGTGAAAAGTTTACGCTGGCTATCTTCCTTATCATCATTTCCGCCAAGTCAAGGATACTATTGAGACCGTTGCTTATGAATTTTTTTGGGTAATGCTTAGTGGGAAACAGTACATTCACCAAAAAATGCACCAGAAGTTAGACTAATTCTACGGACGCTATTATTACCCACTGTCTATGATGAAGTCCAACAAAACTCTTCAATGTGTAGCATTTAAGCTAAACATGAATTTATAAAGTCGCCAGCTTGATTTGTTTCTTTTCGAGAAGAAGGATGTAAAAAAGAAATGTTGTTATTTGTCAATTGATCAACTATGATCACTTAGCTCACATGTAATTGTACTAAATTCGTATTTTATATCAATGATATTCCACTGAACAGCCTTAGGTTAGGCAGAGAACTTAGGGGGTTTGCTATTTGCATAGCACATCTGCACAGCATTTCCACAATAAGTGATGTAAGCAATTTGTTTTGCACTAGACAAACCAAACCCATGCAACGCTATGTACAACACTAATGTATAAGAGAAACATGTGTCGATGAGTCTGTAATAATCTCATTTTTACGTTGAAACGAGGGAGGGCTTGTTTTTACAAACAATATCATTTATAAGAAAAAAAGATTATTGCATGAATTTATTACGGCCAATGGGGGCTGGACATCACACGTCTATAAGAATAATGCATTTTGTGGATAGTCATTTCTTTTTGTTTTTCTTTCTTCAACTAATGCTTTACAAGATGGACTAATTCTAAGGCAAACATGATAGATATGCTGCTTTCTGTGCAAAGTGAATTTATTATCTCACTAATTGCAAAAATGCTGTACAGATGTGCTGTACAAATAGCAAAAGCTGGATTTAGACGCGGGGAAGCGACATTATAATCGATGGCCAAGCAACTCAAAATCCTTGAGTTACATAAGGAAGAAAACCATAGCTATTTAGCTGATGGCATAGTTAAGCTATATGGACCAAAGGATCTTGAAGTTCTGTTGTTGGAGACTTCCAGCAGCTTTGCGAGTATCGATCGAGCAAAATACTTATTTGATCATCATAAGGGCTTCTTCGGAACCCTTTCAATGCTAAAACTCACCGCCGATAAATTTCATAAGGCATCTATCGAGACATTTTGCAAAAGCAAGGTGTTATTTGTCCATGCAGCAGGTAACATACGTTTTCTTTATGACTTTTTATCTCATCCAATTTTTTAGGTGAAAATATTTATTTTCAAACGCAAATCACTGTATCGCTTAACTGAAATGGAAAAAGGAGCTTGTCCCAGATTTAGTAAGAAAATCGTCTGAAATAAAAAATGACTTTTTCCAAAAAAAGAAAGAATTTGTCTGAAAGTAAAACTGACTTGTCCGAAAAAAAGTATTTATAGAAACAGAATCTGGAAGCCATATAAAAGAACCCTTTTTCTTTCTTTGCCCCCCTTCCCCTTTCTTCTTCTTTTTTTTTTCTCGTTCTTATATCATCATGTCTTTAGCAAGTGAACATCAGGATATCATCCAGTTTTCAAATAGGAAATCAAGTTACCCAATGACCAGTAATTTCATCTCACACTTTGCTTCTTGGGCAAAATTTTGGCTGACAGTCAATGATAAGACGATTCCTCATAAACGAAAACTCTTCCACAGGTCAGAACATAAGACTCCTCATGCCTCAGCAGAAAACAATTCTATTATTCCAGTTACCCAACGAGCGCATTTATATCGAGCCACATGCCATAAACTCCGGCCTAACCAAAGCAACAGTAAAAAGTCATTTACATTAGGTGATATCCTACATATTCGAAAGTTTTGGGAGAATCTAGAAAATCTGATTTATCAGAATGAAAGAGATTATATACCATCTGTTAAGAGAATACCTTTTAATCCTGATATACCGGGTTCTGTTTATTTGCCTAAAAAATCAAGAAAGCAGATTGTGACAAACAAGAATAGACAGCCCTATGCATGCTCCAATATTGTATATACATTTAAACACGACATTAATACTATAGAATCTCAGCCTATCACTTCTACTTACACCCATAACCCTAATAACATATGTGATGATGATGATGATGATGTTCCTCTTGCCATCCTTCACCTCTCAAAACCATTTATCCAATGTAAATAAACGCAATTCATTTTAATCTCATTTTTTGTTCATAAAACAATACTCTCTTTCCTTATTTCTTTTTATAGAAAGAAAAAAAAAGATGCACTTTACAAAACGTGGAATATTATTGTTTAAAGGAGTCATGAAAAAAAAAAGAAAGAGAAATATATATAAATGTATATGCATATAATTTAATATGTGTACAAAGGATGCATTAGTTGAAGAAATGTTTATACAAGGTATACAATTCATCCTCATGGTGCAGCTGACACAGACATATCTGTTGCGCCTGTTGATGTTAAAACTGAAAAGGTAACCACGAGTAAGATGGTTCCAATGACATCAATACATGCCGTACTTGATAAACATGTTAATACACTGCAATGACTATTCATATATCACTTACAGGTAGGGTATCACATAATTATCAGGGTCATAGCCCATCTTCCAAAATACAATCGTCATAAACTTGCCGATCTTTAATGAAATCCAAGCCTAATTTGATATTATTATGTGTATTGACGCATGTGGTTTAACTTACAGAAAGCATGGATACAATAAAATATGTGATGAAAAACCAAAAGTTATACTGTAGTCTACCCAAACCAAAGATCCAAATTATAAACATGTATATAGCTTGAACCGGTAAATTCATGATCAATAAGGTATATTCAACCGTCTTGTAGCTTTCTTTTGTTTCAGCGTGAAGACAAGTGCTGATTCGAGATGCATAAATAGATCCAAGATTTCCCGCTAACCCAATCAATACTGGTGTTAATAGGGCAATGCCTTTATATTCCTCTACATATTCTTCCAAGAGTATTCCTGCTAGACTATACAACAAATGAGTCAAAGTTTCCGTTAGATGGACCTTTGATCAAACCTTGAAATTACCATGGCCAATATGATTGGTGTCCATCCTGCAAACAGTAAATCCTTGACGTGTTTGTTTCTCCAAACAATGATGCTAAATAATGGTATCATGGCCAACATGCCAACGACAATTACTGTGCTGAGGATAGTCTCTATACATATATCACCATCATCAGTTTACTTCTTTCTCTCTTTTTCACTTTTACATACCCATTTGATGCTGGAGTAAGGATGCACACACTGCCAGTAATACTAGTGTAACGATGTCTCCTGTTGAAGACGCCATGGGGCAAGCGATATTATCAGGATCAATATTTAATTTCCGGCAGAGCACGATCAGGGCACACATGAATATACCCAGGATAGCTGCAGAAAAAGAAGCAGAGACCATAGCACTGGCTGTCATAAACATCATTTCGTAATAACTTGGATAATTACTTCCTGGTCTTGTTATCAGCCCAAGTGCAAATGAAGCTAGACCAGCGATGGCACCAGCCACAAGTGATTGTACTTGTAACAAAGAAAGATTTCCCAGAATGAGTGACCGACGAGTCGTTCCATAATCCAGTTCACCAAGGTTAGACTAGATTTATAGTTGGTAAAATATAGATTTAATATAAAAATGACCTTTACCGAAGTTGAAAAACGAGCAGCCAAGTTCATTTCCAAGTTTCCTTTGAGATTTAATAGAATAGGCAACAAGATAAATAATTCTGGGGTCTTTAAAAATACATCCGAACTCTATCCGCACAAAAAAATAGAAATAATTAATATAATGACAACACTGATTTTTTTTATTTTTGGTACCTGAAACTCATCCATAAGATCACCAGCAAATATAAGCCCAACCATTGAAATGATTAAAGAAGGAAATGCCTAAAGGGGAAGGGAACTGTACGTCAGCCCTTTTCATAAACAGAATCTCTTTGTTATATATACTTGTATCGCAAGTGAATTCTCATTTGAATCTTCTTTTTTATCTGTTTCTTCATAATACAAGAATGTATCAGAACTACTACTACCATTTTCTTGGTAATTCTGTGGTTCTTCCTTTGTTAATAAAGCTTCTGTCTGTTGGTTCTTCTCATCTGTCTCTTCGTGATCAGGAGGTTCGTCTTCGTCGTTCTTTATGGATAGCTCGATATAGTCTTTGTGTTGGTGTCTTTGTTCATTCTTTAACATATTTAAAGTAAAAAGAGAAATTGGGAAAGAAAGAAAGAAAGAAAGAGAAAAAGAATATGCAAGTTAGTTTATATATGAAGAACTGGACTCTAATTGTGTATATTTACCTAAATAAGTTACTAAGCTTTCGGAAGTAAAATGGTGAGGCAATTATACATCGTTTTTCTGAGATAAGCTTCGTGCATAAAAAAAAGAGAAAGTATCTATGCAAGCTAAAAACGCACACTAATTCACGCCAAGTCAAAATAAGAATTCTATTGTAAAAACTACCTTGGCAGAAAATGTAAATTATAGAGAGAACAACGAATGATTTTAATATGTGTTAATACTCCATCTGATGTTGATATGGAATATCATAGAGAACAAAGATCTCTCTTCATGGATCACTTCTATTTGAGTAATGAATGACAGAAGAGAAAATAAAAAGTGACGATTGTTCAGAGTCCAAATTGAAAGGTTCTTACCAGAAAAATATACTTCTACACAGCATAGAGCAATAGCTTTGTAGAAAGTAATTATACAGGCAATTTTCATAGCATAAAAATTTTTAAAATAACAATGTCTTGTTGATGAAGTTGGCTGCAATTCGCATAATAAGAGACGTTTTGATTGACTGACGGATATCATATTTGTGAAACGGTTGGAAAACTAAAAAAGAGAGATTACGAAGGCTGAGTTTGACACTTGACGCTACAATCACAATCAGAAACTAGAAGTGATAAACCAAAAAGTACATATGATATATATGCAGGGTAAATTAGATATTGCAGACAGATACGACAGCCTTGAACCATTTATTTTATTAGGAATAACGCGCCTATCCATTCTATCAAATGAAAATAGACGATATGATAAAGAATGCAGGAATAGGGATTACAAGTGCACTTATTTCCTCTCCCTTATGACAAGGTTGCTGCTAACTGGAGCAATCAAACACCTCAGTGCATGCACTAGCTTTATTTTGGAATAAAGTGAAGAAACAGTTCTTTCAACACATGCAGTGTGTCTCTCTCAATATTCAGTCCTAGCTCCAGTATAACTTGTACAAGCTCATTGATTATTGAAGAAATAGACGGAGCACTTACTAAATAGTTTTCCTACATTAATTACTCTCATTCACCGCCCTATGGCCAATGTATTCCTACTTGTATCAATTCAAAGGCTGTACAACCTTTGTTTTTCTAAAAAGACAAAACTAAACTCCGCATAATTTTCATAAAACCCTTAATTTGGCAGTGGAGCGATTGTATTATTCAGCAACTCTTCATGTCTGACATTAATCTATCCAACATCAAGCACATCGTTCTTATACTTTCTGGAAAAGGCGGCGTAGGAAAGTCCTCAGTGACGACGCAGTTAGCTCTTGGATTAGTGCAACAGGGCAAAAAAGTGGGAGTATTGGATATTGATCTGACAGGTCCTAGTATTCCTCGAATGTTGGGCTTGGACGGTAAAAAAGTACACCAAGCTTCACAAGGGTACGATTGTTGTCATAATGAAATGATATTAACTCATGATATTTTTTGCTTAGCTGGATTCCTGTTTACGCAGATGAGAATCAAAGATTATCTTGTATGTCCATTGGCTTTCTTTTAGAGAGTAAGAATAGTTCGGTTGTCTGGAGAGGACCCAAGAAGAATGGTAAGCTTGGAGAGCTTGGCACGATATGAGGGCATTAATTATTTTATATTAGCCATGATAAAGCAGTTCTTACAGGATGTCTATTGGGGAGAACTAGACTATTTATTAATTGATACACCTCCAGGCACTTCTGATGAACATATCAGTATAGTAGAGTACTTAAAGACATGCAATCCAGATGGTGCTGTTATTGTCACAACTCCTCAGGCTGTTGCTATTGCTGATGTTCGTAAAGAACTTTCATTCTGTAAAAAAGTAGGCTTGCCTATCTTGGGTGTCATTGAAAACATGAGTGGATATATTTGTCCTCATTGTGCGGTAAAAAAAAAAAAAAAGAAGAAGAGATTTTGACCTTGATGGAGACTTTAGTTGTGCTTATATAGTTTTATAGGAATGTACAAACATCTTTTCTTCGGGAGGCGGTGAAGCTATGGCAAAAGAACAAGGTATTGAATTTTTGGGCAGAATTCCTATTGACCCAAAGTTTACAACCATGGTCGATACAGAAGGTGCAGGATCTTATGTTCATATGTTCAAGGAATCTGGTCTGTTTTCGATCTTTCAGCAAGTTTGTGAGAAAGTAGACGGCCTGGTCTCAGCCAAATAGTGAGTTTGTATATATATATATATATATTTGATGTGAATGAATCACTCTGTTGATGCTCTTGAATCAAATTGTTTGTGATAAATATTGTAATATTTGTATTGTAATAACATGACGGTACTTTTTTGGTGTTTGAAAGGGCATTTCACACATGTTACCGTCTGAAATAACTACTTGTCTAAGTATTATAAAGATCTCTCTTGTCAGCAATATATGCTATTAGTATCTTTTTTTTTTTTCTCATTTCAATGAACAGAGCAACCATACAAGGCGTTTTTATTTGCATTATACTTTTTAATTAAATAATTGGGAGATATATCAGAGTTATTTACATAATTGAAACTTATACGAGTTTACTGACATCCAATCCCCAATTTTCTTCTAAATGATCCAAAATAGCTGGTATACTTGACAATGTATTGAATGTTTTCCTTTCTGCATTGCACATAATGTCCTCAAACATAAACATCAAATGATGATGAAATATAAACGTGTTTGTACCATATCCAAGTGCAAGACGTACATATTCCTAGAGCCTCATGGTCAGCACTTTTTAATGTTATATCCTGTTGACTTCTAACCTCTATACACTCCCATGGTGTGGTTTCATATCCTGCAAATAGCGCTGGATTCTGTAGTAATCCTCTGGCTGACATAACACCATCCACACCCGTCTTTTCGTACATTTCATCAGCATCCTTCAATGAGAAAATACTACCATTTGCTATAACTGGTACATTGATTGACTCCTTTACAAGCTTTATCCCTTCAAAATTAACAGGCTCCGTGGATTTTTGTAACCTTGTGCGCCCATGAACCGTTAAAAAGTCTACGCCCACAGCTTCAGCTCTTTTGACAAACTCATAGGTTGTTCTGTATTTAATCATGTCAGCATTCAAACCCTCACTTCACACATTGTCTTTAAATACCTCAAGTCCTTATGTACGCGAATTTTAATACTGCATGGTATGTCAACACGGCCCTTGACAGTTCGAATCATGTCTCTCACATTCTCTGGATCCTCCATAAGATACGCACCAATTCTTTCTTGATAAGCCCATTTTTGTGGACATCCACAGTTCAGATCTATTATGTTGTTTATATTTTGCTTATATATTCTTTTTTTTTTTTTGTCTATTACCTATGCCGCCTGCAAAGGGAGCAACAAGTTCAGCTGCATCAGCAAGATCAACTGCCTTGTTTGCTGCAAACTGAACAACAACCGGATCGTCTAGGTGATTAGTAGAGAAATCGGTGTTGCGTGCAAATTCAGAGCTTTTGAAGACATCAGCAAGGATCATGGGTGTGTAAACAATATCTGTGTTGTATCTAATGAAGGTTGAGTATTCTTTTCTGTAGTCTTAAAGTTTCTCTTTATTACTTGCGAACAAGCTCTCGAAAAGGTAATTTGCTGTATCTCACCATCGGTGCACATACATTGATCCTCTTTTTACGTTGCAGGACATCCAAAGGTGTTGTCTTTTTTCTATCTGTCATTTTGTAAAGAAAGAGAAAAAAGGGATCCGCTCCGTGGCTTGTGCATGAAGAAATGAAAAGAGCTGAAGTTCATTTGTAGGATGATAGTAAGCAAATACTTTCTTCCCTTTTCTTCAAAGCTATAAAAGACGAAAAGGAAAGGGGAGGAATTATAAGAGAGAAAAGAGAGTGAGAGCTATGGTCCATATCACTATCAGCATAAGGCTGTGTTACTATATTTTTATTGGTTCCTTGAAAGCTCCTTGATTTGTTATTCTGTTCCCGCGCTCTTTTTTTTCTTCATAATGTCAACAAGACTAGAAAGATTAGCCAATAAAGAAGCGAACGAGAAGCATGCTAAGATATTAACTGAACTGCTTCAAAAGGCTCACAATAAACATTGCGCTGACTGTAGAAGAAAAGGTTTAGTTTTTGCTTAAAACATAAAGACAGACCAATCTGATCTCATCTATGCAACAGATCCTCGATGGGCTTCTTGGAACTTGGGCATCTTTATTTGCATACGATGTTCAGGCATTCATAGGTCTTTAGGGACACATATTAGTAAAGGTAAATAAGAAAGAGAAGTGACTGATTAGAACACGCTGATAACACGCTACCAAAGTAAAGTCGGTTGATTTAGATACTTGGGCTCCTGATCAGATTGAAAGTATGGTTCATTGGGGAAATCAACGCGCGAACGCGTAGGTCTTTATTAGCTGAAAATTCACGAGGGAAATGGTTGTGACAATTTCTTTAGTTATTGGGAAGCAAACCTTGGAGACAGGCGACCTGAGGACCAATTAATGGATAAATGGATAAGGGCAAAGTATGAACAAAAGAAGTGGGTAGAAAGCAATCAAGTGCCTGATCCTTCAGTCATTAAAGTGAATGACACAGTAAGATGTCAAGAATAATAGATGCCAGCAGTAAAGTAACGTTTCTGCTAGAGTGCTGACACTGAGATGAAACAGACAGAGAGAGTTGAGAAACGCAGCTCAATACGTCTTGATTACGATCATTATAACAAGACTAACTACACTCAGGATAAACGTGCATCCTTGAATATAGAATCAAATGTCTCTGCCAGCAGCACTGCAAAGACTGATCCAATCTCAACAACATTAACACCAAGCTCAAAGCCAGCCACTTTCAACAGTAGCAGCAATAAAAGCGATAAACCTTTTAAAGTTGACATGGTCTCCTTTCAAGAGCAACTATCCAAGTTGGCGCTGGGTCGGCCGTCTACAGGCTTAATTCCCAAAGCACCAGAGGGTAGCGAAAAAGCATGGGCAAATCTCATCATGTCTTCTAGAGAGTCGACCACTACTTCTAAAGATTACTAAAGTGAAACACAAGTAACCACATAAACCATGATTTTGCTATATTCCTAAAAATAATACACTTGTCTTAATTACAATAAAATTATAAACAACATCCTTCAAATGGTCCGCCTTTAATTTTCTATATACTTTTCTGTAGGACAAGTGTATAAATAACACAATTCTTCACATACCAAAGTTGCCCATGCATGTTCATAAGAAGCTGTCTATTATTGATCATCCTTAAAGGAGACATCGTATAGACCCTGATAACCAAACGTATCATAATTTTGTGACCAAAATACGAAGGGAGTAGTGCATTAGTTAGAATATAGAGAGCTGGGGGGGGAGTGATTATGCCTTTCGTGGTCATATTGCTTTACCTGTCACTACAGTCATAATAGTTGTATTGACTAAGGAGCACTCATCTGTGTATCAAAACCACGCAGTTTCTTCTAAAAGCCTAGATTAAAACTATAAAAATCTGGCAGCATCAGTATCACTCGTAGCATCATTGGTAGCAACAGTAGCTGATCATTTTAAATAAACGTGGCCCTATTCCAAAAGCAGGCCCTCCTATTCGGAATCGGGCCTAAAGGGAAGAGACATTTTCCGGGACTGGCGCTCACAGAATAAGAAAAGACAGTGGCAAATCCAGGAGCAAAATTCTTGGAAAATCTCTACATGTCGTAAATGGATACTGAGAACATTTTACAGTAAAGGTTGGACGAGAAGTTGAAGAAAGGAGTAAACTTAGCGACTATTTATAATACGGTTTCTATCATACATGTACCCATTCGTACGATCTTAATAAGGCTATTTTAACGGCTAGGGGAAGGGGTTAAGTGACAGCTCACACATCATTGTACGTAAATCAAACGCAACATAATACTATGTTCTAAAAATCAGGCAATATTGTATAGTAAAAGATTTGGAAAGGGATCTATAATTTAAGATCTTGTATTACAGGTGAATAATATGCTGGTTTAGACAACGGTTTTTTATTGCAGGTAACTTAGTATTCATTTAGATGTCGCAGTAGTGACAAGACATCTATATTAAACTTTGGATCTCTGCACACTGTTCTTATTACAGAAAGCTTGCTCGTTCTCTTAATGTATCTCAAAATCTATTATCTATCTACATAATTTTGAAGTAACTGGTTTGAATATATGAAGGCAACAAGTACATTAACCATAAAAAGTTAAGATAGTAACATATCCTCTGTTAATGTGAAGCATAACGTAATGAGACGAAAACATGACCATAGAGCGCACCTATGTGACATATTTGTTCATTGGAATTGATAATGAGACATTATGTAATACCTTGCAGGTTCTAAGCATCTATATACCTCATTTGGAGCTACGCCAAGTCACCGGGCAAAAACCGATATGTTTATAGTTTGTAGCGATGGGAATTGAAAATGAAAACGCAGAATTGAACCATGCAAAAAGCAGCCAAGTTTCTGAAGATGCAGCTCCTTCATGGAAGGAATTGACAGTTGTAGATTATTAAACTTTTATCGTTAGGAGACTTTTCTATCGAGTACATTTTTTCTTGGTTAAATAGGGAGTAAACCTTTCTATACAGTCCAGAATTTACTAAACGAAAGTTGAAACAGAATACAGTAACCATTAGCCTCTAACTGTTATTATGTCATATGTACGATTAAAGGCTACGAGAAAGTAAATGCGAAGGCTGATTACAAAGTTGCAGCGCAGTACACAGATTTCTTATGCATCATAGTATTACTTCAAAAGCTCGAGTTTTTTTTTCTTGGCGAAGCATTTACTTCATCCCGTGACAAGTAATGACAGCCATAGACTCAATTCATAGTTTTTATAGTTTCATTGATAAACTGCTTTTTTATGAGTTTCCTTAAGAGTAGCATATAAAGATACTTTAGTTGGCATGAATTTCTCTCTCTCTCTCTTTCTTTTATTGCCTCTTATTAGCATTAAATAGACTACTCCGAGGTTAAAGAAAGCATGTTACAAACGGATGGATAATCCTAGGGGTTAAATATAATTCATGGTCAGCACAGTTTTTCCGACCGACCGACAGGTTTTTTCCAACTCCTTTACTGTTCCTGTATGACGGATGATTGGCCTGTGTATGCTTTCACAAAATCATGGTAGTAAGAGAAGAAAAAAAGGAAGCACCAATTCGCAGATTAAGATTCTCAATGGCTCAAAGCCCAAGCACAAATAGAGAAAAATGAAGCTCAGCTTGCATCATCTAGCTTCCTTCTTTTATTCTCCTAGAAAAAAAGAGACACAGATTAGGCTGAAGAAGGAGTACATGAAGATTTATTGTTTATCTTGGATCATTTGACATGTTTATGCTTATTCCCATTCCTCTGGCAACTATGTAAACAACATACAGCATAGTTTATACAGAGATGGTCATCAATCTGTGTATGTGTTCGAGTTACTGCACCTTCTGGATGTCTGGATCATGATGGGTCCAGCGATAAACGTTAATGCCAACCTTCTTATTTTAGATAGAAACAGGTTCAGATTGTAACAGAACAAGGAAGCTGTTATGTCTCATTCAAGTTTTTTTTCTACCTCTCTTTTGGGTAAATCATATAAACAATGGCTCAAAGGCAATGTTATTGTTTTTTCTCTAACTCTTTTTTTTCTCATCCAAATTTTATTATTAAAAAAGGAAAATAACAAACCTTTGAGACATGCAGTGAGGCTTTGAATTACAGGTTTAAATTTGTGTTTGTATGAGAGTCAATTCAAGCATGCGAATACGGATTATCTTTTTATATACAAATCTTTATTGACACATGATGATCAAAGACACAGAACGCGCGTAATTGAAAGCTTTTTTTGTGCGGAGGGTATTACGATGGGACAAAAGGGTAATTATAGCACCACATGATCTATATACAGTATACAAGTTTGTTTACTCACTAGCCTAAGTGTACAATCTTTAGAATGACTGGATCAATCATGAGTACTGACTGCGATCGAGGTCTAGTATGTCTAGAGAAAGCTGTCATGCATGCTGGGAGCCAATTAAAGTGATACAATCTGCAGCGTGTCACCTACGCAAGGCAAAACGCTGCAGTGACCTTTTATTTTCACAAAGGTAACTATCAAGAAAATGATATATTAAAGATGAGTACTCCAAAAGTAAAAATAGAAAAATAGATAGAGAAAGACGTTCTTTAAGGTTTAATCAGTATGCTTAGCATCAAGGGATAGATTGGCTTTATTGAGTCGAGTGATTTTCTGCAGGCTGCGAGACACTCAGGTTTATCTGCGATAAGCATGATATCAATTTATGCGCTTCGATCGAAAATCAGTATTTTTACTACTAAAGTCACGGAAGAGTAAAAAAACAAAAAACAAAAACAAAAATATAACAAACGTCTGTGTGAGATTATATAATCTAATAACAGTTATATAGGGAAATTATGTCAATAGCGCATTCTGATATTCTCAATAGCTTATAATAATAAAGTAGAATCTCGTACACTTTGAAAATCGATTTGGGCTGTGTTCTTTAGGTTCTATGTCCTATCCTCCCACATATTTGTTGTTGTTCTTTTAGAGTATACAAACGGTTACTGTGTGGCACAAGTATTACTATCTATTCATGGATTAGACTGAGACTATATCTATCCTAAACGATATTATGTTCAGAGATCTTACCCTACTGTTGCTATCCGGCCTTTTCCCTTGGTATCGTTAGGCTTTTTACTTATAGTAAAAAAAGGATGTATATCACTGCATCTAAGATCAACCGTATGCATGTATTACTGTTTTGCATTGTAAATATATATAAGCTTTCTACGAGTGACAAGGAAAAAATTAGCCTCGAATACAAAAAGAGTGGCAACCGTTGCCACGTTGTAGGCACAAATGTCAATTGTTTTCATAATCATTTCTCCCTCTTCTTGACTACAGCCACTCTTGACAAAAAAAAGTTGTAGGGCAGATCCTTGAAATGCTAGTTCAAAATAGGAGAAACATATTTCCTTATGTCCGCTCACGGGAAATCGTGGACAAGTTAGCCCTCATGAGATCCTGCAGTTGACACAGTTTTTTTTTTCTATCTTTTTGCATTTCTGCGCACCCAGCCACTCATCATTTGATGTAATCAAGTGCCAATGAACGTGTCCAATGCGCTCTTACTTCTCACCCACTAAACAAACAAACAAACAAAAACAAAAGCCAAAAAAACTCATTGGGTGGCAACATTTAGAGCACAGATAGAATTCAGGAACACAAAAAACTATCTGTCAACTTGGATTTTGAGAACGGGAGAGAAAGCAATCATCATGATATCAAGTACTAAACTATATGTTAAGAGAAAGGGAGTTAGATGTAAAGAACAAAGGGATAAAATGATAAAAGGTCGAATAGTTGACAAAGTAGTGGCAAATAGAGAACGAAAAAGGGGGAAAAATGGAAGGGAGAATGTAAGAAAGAAATGCATATTTGGTACTCATGAAGCAAATGAAAAGTGATATCGGCAGTAGCACTTCTTTATGCTACTTTTTAATGAAAATTATAGTTTTATTGTCGAATGTACAAAGGGTGCAATGAGAGTGTACATTGCTCAAATATTAACAGTGCATACAGAAGAGTGACTCAATTGAGAAGCAACAGAAACAGGTTTGAATGGTTCTATGCATTAGTGATGCAGAGTTCACAGTATATCTAAATTTGTCATCTTGCAAACTATAAATTACATTCAGAGGGACAAGAGGGGGGGACAATCGTTGTTGTATGCCACAAAAAAGTAAGGAGATATTATTCAAAACATAGATGACAAGAAAACTTGGTTAACGTAATACAATTGACGACCCAACCAAAAAGATAAAAATCTGAATTCATACCTCACTCAAGAATATTTGTTCCTTTTGGAAATCTAAGGGAGGTTCTTCTCAATATCTTAATAAGACCAAATTAACCAGTTTACATGGCCACATTGCTAATGACAAAAAATTTTAAAGTTAAGTTACTAAACTATATTAGTTCTTGTGTAATCCAAAAAGAAAAAAGGGGGTACAAGCGGACAAAGATAGTGACAGAGTAAGAGAAACTAAAGAGAGAAAGAAAGGGGAGGGTACTAGTGTGTCAAAAAGATGAAAGGAGAGTTTGTGCTTTGTTTCTTTTTGGGGGTGTAGAACCCAAGCTGAAAATCCTATATAAATAGCCACCATTCTTCGCCCTTTTCGTTTTTTATTTACTTTTCTTTTATTTGACAATCAAGTCCTTTGTTTTTATAAATCACAAAATGTCTACGCTCTTCAATTCATTCATCACTGCTTTATTCATCTTTTCTATATATCGACCATTTATAAGCAAACTTGACAAGGTCAAATATATCACACTTGGCTCTATTTCATTCTTAATACCCTTTACTCTACATCAACACACTCAATCAAGAAATACACACAGTATCAATGGAACATTTACAAGTGATAGCATTTTAAAATTAAGGTCATGGAATGATCTTACTGTCCAGCTACATGATAACGATAACACCTTATTATTAAACGACTCATTCACCCTTTTATACATCACCATATTTACAGTCTCACTCTGTGGATTGCTCACTAGATGGCATTTCCCAATTACATTTGTTAAGCCTAATTCTAATATTTATATTTCCGGTTTAATGCGTCATGGAATATCAATTTGTCTCGTTGTACTTGCTATATTAAGGTAATGATTCTATTATAATACCTCATTGTATCCCTCGCTCACCCACATGGCTACTCCTTAATAGAAACTCCTCTAATTACATACTTTCATTTACCTTGGCTTCTATTGGTGGCCTCTGGTACTTGTCAGGCCCTTACCTTATTAGAAGATGGAAGGCCATCTCTGCATCTTTATTTATCTCTTCTACTGCTGCATACCTCATTTGTAACTCCTCAAAGCATGGCTTCTTCCACGCTTTGTCCTATCAACACGCTTTGGCCTTTACTGCTCTCTTGGTCATCGTCTGTAACGTCATGGATCATCTCGACGCCATCTTGAACACATATCCTCACTTGATTACCTGCGACAAAGATAAGCAAGCCAAGCTTCAAAACCCTTTAACCACTATCTACTGGGTGGCCATCTTTAGACTCGTCTTGAACATGCCCTCTGAATCCGACCTTCACACAGGCCCTATTGAGGATTTAAACACCGCTATTCGCGCTCTTGGTCCTGCATCCCGCTCATGGAAGACCATGGCTGCCCTGTTCCCTGCTAACCTTCGTCAAGACCTCTGTCTCCTTTACTCCTTCTTCCGTACTGCCGATGATTTGGTTGATGATGCTCCTACTCCTGAACAGTGTGAGCAAAACCTGGTAACCATCCGAAAGTTCCTTCGTGATGTCTTTACCGAAGCATCCGAAAAGGAAGACCGTGTTGTAGCCACCACAAGTGATGACTTATCTGTACCTTCACATGTTAACTGGGATTACTACGCCTCAATGCTTCCTAATGATGATGTATTGGCCATCTTTAGAAATTTTGCTCGTATCTCTCATTACCTTTGTCCTCGTGCCATGTTTGAACTCACAGAAGCCTGGGAGCTCGATCTTCGTGGAAAGCCTATCAAAAAGCAATCAGACTTACTTCGTTATGCTGCTTTAATCTCTGGTACCTTTGGTGAGCTCTGCACTTGTGTCATTATGTACAAGACTGGTCGCGGTAACTGGGGTGGTCGAGATAAGACTGCTCGTAACGAAGACGTCTTGTCTAGAGCAAGAGCTACTGGTCAATGCCTGCAACTGATCAATATTGCTCGTGATATCATTGCTGACAGTCTCGTGGGTCGCTGCTACGTACCTCTTCAATACATGCCTCATCCTCCTCAAGCTATCTATCAACTTTTGAAATTCGCTAGAAATCCTATGCAAGTAGGAGAAGGCACACTCAAATCATTTGCTATCCGTATCCTGAACTTGGCCGATCAAATCTCTGACAAGGCTCAAAGGGGAATCGATGGCTTACCTGAGGAAGTGCAAGATAGTATCCGTGCTGCTTTTGAAATTTATACTGCCATTGGTCCCACTCTCCGTAATGATCCTGGCTTTCCTATTCGCGCCAAGGTTCCCAAGCGTCAACAACAATGGATCGCACTTCGTTGTATCTACGGTTTCCGTGGCCCTGTCGCCCGCGCAATCGCTTCTGCTTACTATCAAGCCGTATCTGCTTACTTTGGTACCTTTGATCGCCTATCCGCAGCAAGGACTGCAACCAAGTCTTACTGAATTATTTAAAAACTTTTAATATCATCATTGTACACAGTTTATAACTCTTATATTATTTTTTCTTCATTTTGTATATCCCATCTTATTTGTCTATATATTTATATATAAAGAAAGCCTATCTTTTTTTTTTTTTTTTTTTCAAGTTGGAATTTTTGTCATTAAACTAAGCCTTTATAGAGTATTTCCTAATAGTACTTGTTCTTTTTTTTTGCATTTCAAGGATGACCTTGCTCTCCTAAATGTATTCAATCCATGTAACTGCAGTAGACTTTTCTTGATGTGAGGGGGTTATAAACCAACGAATCGATCTTGAGTGTTCTAACATCTCTTTTACTCTCCTTTTTTTTCTGAGTATAATGGTATCGAACGATGCATAGTATCCCTTTCTCTTTTATAGTCATGTTTTAAGATAAATTAAAAAGATAAAGAAAAACAAATGTGATGCTGAATAAAGATAAAAAACTCTTGGAAATATATATAAAGAAACTATTGTACACTTTTTGGTTGAAAAGGTTGCCATAAAAGTCTCCTATCAACGATATTCGTAGCCTACTTTTAAACCTGTTTATCTTTTTCAGTGTTCTCGATCGAATTCATGTTGTATAGCGTCTGATATGTAGGGTGTCGAAATACTATAAACACTATACGAGCGATTCATATAGTCAACTTAAATTAAAGAAAGGTGACTCTTGGTCATAGTTCAATCCGTATTTGTCAGACTATTGACAATGTAAAAATGGCAGTTAAGAAATGCTATTGATTTTCATTAAAGGTATAACTTGGCAGCAAAGAAGCTCGTGTGCTATTTGCTTTTTTATTAACAAAAAGCTTTCCTTGTTGTTTAATCGTATCAGCAATCTTGACTGAATGTATTGACTATGTTCCATCATGATGAATACAGTAAAAACAGTTTTCACTTGGACTCAATTAGCATGAGTCAGCCTTTACTCCTTTTGAATGGCTAAAAATTTAGATTTAAATTACATCAGATGAGATTTAGAACAATATGGCCAACATACATTACCGATAGCACAATTTCTCATGCATAGTGCATATGTTCATCAAAGCATAAAGGTAAATAGAATAACTGTGGTAGAGCCTAATGCTTATAATTGTGAATTTCTTCTGAGGCTAATTTACATCTTGCAGTGTAATAAAGTTTAAAAATGACTAGAGCTAAAATTGAATGATGATCAAAACTTGTATGAAATCTCTGGATACCTATTCAATGCATATGCTGTATTTCCCCATTTGATTCATTACATTGATCATATCAACAACTGACTTCATATGAACTAATTTATCTCATGCTTACTCTATATCTTGTCTATTCTCCCAGTTACAGTAATGTAACCAACTTATTGTTGTTTACCCCAGCAGAAATAGATGAGTATACTCGCAGCTTCTTTATCGATATACTGTTGACAATACAGGATCTGTGATAATCACTTTGATTAATAAGTGGAAAGGATAGGATTATATAAGCTTGACAATATGTCCTTGGATTGATAAAATACCACAGTAATCGAGGGCTCTTTATCTTTTCGTCCTTTGATCAGTCTTTATAAATTTCTTTCTTTTTCTCTCTTTTTTTTGTGGCTTATATTCTGGTATAGTCTACTTGTTAAGAGTTAGGTTGATGACATGGTGAACTGGGAAAGGCTTTGAAAGGGAGCAGGTTCATGCGCCATGAGTTGATGGTGATGACGCAGGAGGTTGAATCAATGTACGGTAAAGCTAGAAGCTAGTATTTAACGACAAGCCCGAGTCCCTTTCAAGCATAATTAACTTCTTTTTTTTTATCAAATGAAGGTATGTAGAAAGTCACTTATAGACAAAAATAAAGGCTCTAACCACTTATTGACAAAAGAAACTCTGGTAAGCCTTGAAGCACTGCTTGTTTCATACAACAAAAAATTGAAGAAAAATCGATACGATCCAAGCCCACGATGGCTATCAAAAATCATCAAGGTAAGCATTGTAAGGCTTTTGCAGAAAAAGAGATTACAAAGGAATGGCTTCACAAGGCTCCTTTTTCGGGGTCATCTGATTCCAATTAATCGTGTTTTTATTACTTTCTACATCATTACACACTCTAGGTTTCTTTTAGAAATGTAAATATGCAATGATTTTCCTTGTATATCGTGCCATTTTTCAAACAGATGAAAGATGGTTCAATCGATTATTCTTTTACTGACAAGATGATTACTACCTTTGTCATAATTGATAGATTGCCGTACCAGTATGTAATTTGTGTTTGAAGTCATAAATAAATAGACGCGTCTTTAAAAAGTTAAATAAACGCGATTCTATTTAAACATTCAAAATAATGAGGATGATTTTATGCATACCATATGATCGTCTAAGTAAGTTATTCTGTGTACTTTTTTGTTCTTTGTTGTTCCTACAAATCTATTTACATACTGTTAGTCAAGCCTTGAAACCCCTACATCATTAGTTGTAATCCATAGTTATGAACTGATAACTGCTATTACTACATTCTATCTTAAAAACTTAAACTAATTGAAGGCTGATAACAATAATAGATAAATCTTTACTCAATTCTCTTTTGCTTACCTGTCCTTTCTTATTCATTTATCTCTTATATTCTCTACGAACATAGTCCTATGTTGGCGAAAAATATGATCCGTTTGAACTGCAATATGTTCCCATGCACTTTCAATATTCTCCAAGTAGGTATCGGATTTCCAATTCTATTTCCGATGGCTGTAAGCTTATCTCTGTTTCTTTGCATAATACTTTGTGGGGACATATCTTCTGTAGAGAGTGTTGATGACATTGGTTATTCTACGCTCATATATATTATAAGTCAAATGATTTGCTGTTACCTATTACATTCAAGAAGTACAAACGGATCAAATGGGCAAAACGGCTAATTGTACCTAATATCAACAGATTGAATAGATGACCAAAGTAATGATGTCAAATAATAATTAAATTTCCCCTCATTAAAAACAAAATAATCTAAGCTTCATTCAGCTCAATCAATTTTGTTCAAAAAATGGCTTTTTGGCTGAAAAAAGTACACTTTAGAAAGATAGAAACGAGTAAGTTTGTTACACGAACAGGTGTAACGATTGGTCTGATATAAATTGGGTAAAAAACACAGAAAAATTCTTTAAAAGGCACTGCACCTAAAAATACCCAACGTAACTCCTTTATAACTGCAGCTATTTTTCTTTTCTCTTTTCTTTTCTTTTATCCCATCCTGTTGTTAAATCATGGTAAAGTTTTTAGTTTTATTATCTACTCTGGCGATTGCTGTTAGTGCCGAGGTTCAGTCTTCGATTGGGTTATTCAATGTAAGCTCGCCAGCACCCAACGCTCCTTTTGTTGCAAGTCAAATCTTGCCGTGCGTTTATACCGTTGCAAGCAATGCTACTCCAGATAGTAATGTATATTTTAATACTTTATGCACAATCTGCTGACTTTTGCTAGATCTTCAACTCTCTATTTCACTTAATTCTGGCAATGTCACTACTGTCATCAATCCTAGTGCGGATATTTCTCAAGGGTATAGTTTCCAAAAAAGCATTGGTGGTGCAACTGTTTATGAACATCAATTTAATGTAAGTATATAATCAAATGAGAGGGAAAGAAAGGGGTGACGACGTCGATTGCATATGTGTTTAACATTGTTTATAGTATCAAATTCCCACCAATACAACAGCCGGTTCCTATCAAGTCATTTTTACTGATAATGTATCTCAAACAAATCTTTCAATTCCTATTATTATTTCTGCTGCACCACCTACGTCGTCTGTCCAAAATCCTAGTGCATCTGGCTCGAGTGCACCTTCTCAATCAAGTACATCATCTTCCATATTCAAACCCAGCTCAGCCGGTAACACTCTCGCTATACCAAAGGCACTGCTCTTCATGAGCCCTCTTCTTGTAATCTTTTAAGCCATTCAGACTGTTTTAATTTTTAATTTGTGTACAGAAGTATTTTAAAAGTAATAATAAACCCCTTCTTTGGAAAAGAACCACAGCCATTCTTTTAGTTACACAAACTGCTTGACAGATCATGGTACCTTTATTCAAAAATAAATCAATACAAATACACTTGAGAAAAAGATCAATTGCCATAGGGATGGATGGATAACAGTCATACACTGTTATCCATAGAGAGAAGCTGTAATTTACTATGGCAACTTTGCCCTGTCTTGTGCTTTTCATGCACTGGTCATGTCTCAAACTAATTTGATTGGCCCAGCTTTTTTTTCTTCTAAAAAGAATAAAATAAGCCACAGGAGTATATCTTTTTTTGTTGTTTCTTAAACTGTGTACATAAGAAAAAAATGAAATCGTCATATAAAGTAAATTCATAAACATTAAGAAATGGTGGTTATACTCACATAATCAAGTTCTCCAATCTGCTAGGTACTGTTTATACAGGCGCTAATGTGCTTTTTACACCAGACGGAAATACGATTATTAGTGTAGTTGGCAATCGAGTGTCATTCTTTGATCTTGTCAAGTAAGAGAGAGAGAATATAATAGATTATTATAAACTAAAGAGACCCTTAGTAATACCTCATATACACTTCCAATCGAAATGCGCAAGAATATAGATCATATAGTGCTCTCACCCAAAGGCAATCTTTTAGTTACCATTGATTTAGGCAAGGAGCATAGATCATCTTAAAATCTACTTGTTTTAACATATTTCTGATATAGACGGTCGAGCTTTATTGATCAGCGTCAATCGTAGAGTCATTCTTCACCACATGAACTTTAAAGGTAGAACCAAGAGCGCCAAATTCAGTCCTGACGGCAAGTACTTTGCAATTTCACTTGAAAAGAATGTGGAAATATGGAAAGCGCCAGGACATACCCGAGAATATGCACCCTTTGTACTCATAAAGACCGCAGTTGGGCATCATGATGCAGTAAACAGCATTAACTGGAGCCCTGACTCAAGGTAGGAGATAACGGATCAACATGGATGATGATTAAGGATTTATATACTTGTAGATTTTTAATTACTGCATCAAAAGATATGACAGCTCGTATTTATACTGTGGATAAAGATTTGGAAGATTTTGTTCCGTCGACTCTTTCTGGACATCGTGATTATATTATAAACGCTTGGTTCTCAGCAGACATGTCAAATGTAAGAAGAAAAACCATGAATTATATATTCTGGCTGACCATGATTATAGATATATACTGTTAGTAGAGATGGTGCTTTGTTCCAGTGGAAAAATGCAACCTATGCAGAATTACATGAGGATTCGGATACAGAAATGGTGGAAGTGGATGAAAATGGCAATGAGATTGTTCGCATAGATAAAGCCAAATGGAGAATTTTGAAAAAGAATTACTTTAATATGGCAGGTGTTAAAGTGAATGTAGCAGAGTTCTTTGCTGCGAGCAATTTAGTTGTTGTAGGATTCAACTCTGGCTTGTTTGGCCTCTATGAAGTCCCTCATTTTACTGCTATTCATACATTAAGGTAAAGCTTATTCCCCTATGCAGCGTTTTACCACTTACGCTAACATAATCGTCAGTATTTCTCAACACAAGATTGATACATGTGCCATCAACTCTACAGGAGAATGGTTAGCTTTTGGCTCTAGAGCACTTGGACAATTGTTGGTCTGGGAATGGCAGTCTGAAACCTACGTACTAAAGCAGCAAGGCCATTATTACGATATTAATGCAGTCTCTTATTCTTCTGATGGACAATATCTTGCTACTGGTGGTGATGATGGTAAAGTAAAAGTCTGGAATACAAATTCTGGATTCTGCTTTGTCACATTTAGCGAACACAAGAGTGGAGTCAAAGCAGTTGAATTTGCCAAGCAAGGTCAAGTCGTATTCTCTGCAAGCTTAGATGGCACCGTTCGTGCATTCGATCTTGTTCGTTACCGTAATTTCAGAACATTTACAAGCCCAAATCCTGTTCAATTCACCTCTCTTGCTGTGGATCCTTCTGGTGAAATTGTCTGTGCTGGTACATTGGACACATTTGAAATTTTCGTTTGGAGCGTTCAAACAGGCAAACTACTTGATATCATGGCTGGTCATACTGGGCCCATCAGCTCTCTTGCCTTTTCCCCCACTGGTATGCTACTCCTAAGTGGTAGTTGGGACCATTCTGCTCGAACATGGGATGTGTTTGGACGTGGCAAGACCATTGAACCTCTTGTTCATCAAACAGAAGTTCTAGCTGTAGCATTCAAGCCTGACGGTAAAGAAATTGCTGCGGCCACACTGGACGGACAGGTTACTTTCTGGGGTGTAGAAGAAGGTAATGTTCTTAATACAATCGATGGTCGTAAAGATATCATGGGCGGCCGTAAAAAGGACGATCGTACTTCAGCAGAGAATGCTGCCTCTGGAAAATGCTTCAACTCCCTTTGTTATACTGCCGATGGTTCAAGCATTATTGGTTCAGGCACAAGTAAATATATCTGTATTTATGATGTAGAAAGCACGTTTTTGGTGAAAAAGTTCCAAATCTCCCAGAACCTTTCGCTGGACGGTACTCAGGAATACTTAAACTCCAAATATATGACAGAGTTTGGCAGCATTGAAGAAATGGAAGAAGAGGGTTCCGATACCGAAGAACGTGTGGACAATTCTTTACCAGGCACAAGGACCGGTGATCTTTCAGTTAGAAAAGTTCGACCTGAAGTGAAATCAACAGCCGTACGATTTTCACCTACAGGCAGAGCATGGGCAGCTGCTACAACAGACGGATTATTGATCTACTCACTGGATGAAGATATACTTTTTGACCCCTTTGATTTAGAAATCGATATTACGCCTGAAACAGTCCTGGAAGCACTTTCAGAAAAGGAATACTTAAAGTCTATTTGCATGGCGTTCCGATTGAACGAAAAGCCAGTAACACATAAAGTATTTGAAGGTATTCCACCAGAGTCTGTGAGCCTCGTTTGTCAAAACATGCCAGAAAAGTATCTTTTCAAACTACTGACATTCATTGGTGTTCACATGGAAACAAGTCCTCATATAGAGTTCCACTTACTATGGGTGACAAACATCATGACCTACCACGGTAGATACCTTCGTGATCATCGTGGAGAGTTTCAACCTGTGTTTAGAGCCTTGCATAAAGGCGTGAATCGAGTGCGCGATGATATTGCTACATTGTAAGTCTTTTTTTATTATTATAATTCATGATATAATAGTTCTAACTTTTTCTATAGGTGTGATTCCAACAATTATACACTTAGATATCTCTTAACCCAGCAGTCTCTTGCTGCTAAATCATCTACATAATAAATATAATTCTTCATTTGTTGCAGTTTATAGTTTTGATACAATATACAAAGGTTTATTTTTGAAATATGGAACAATTAAAATAGTCAAATGCGATGATTTGTGATATTTCTAAAAGATGTAGACTTGTGTGTACAAAATGATGTTTGCCTATACAATTGAATCACTGTTTCTCTAGTAGAATGCTTTGTATGCTACTATTGATAAATTCTTTTTTAACATTCATGTCGATTCCGAATAGATTGGATAACCTTTCACGTACTAAATACATGTCAGACACATGTTTGCATATTAGTGTTAGTTTACCTTGTTTTTTAGTTATATGCATCAAATCTTCTGTTTCTATTATACTTTTGATCTCTTCAAAGATTCTTTCATCAGATGGGAACGGAGAAGGTTCCATCATGACTGAGAATGATTGCTGGCTTTGTGGCAGATTATCTTCATTGAAAGTGCCAAGCAGATGAGCAGCGCTCCCTTGGTCAAATGACATTGTTGTTGGCGGCCGATTAAGCATATCAGATGTATCCATTCTAGAGGAGGAGTAGCTTGTTCTATCACCATGAAGTTGAGGGGCTGATTTGTTATAATTTGTAGGAAGCTCTGTCATAGAAGGATAGAACGGTTGTCCGACGAGGCCCGGATGAGTCATTGTTGAGGTGGGTCGCATCATTTGAGGATATGGTATCATGTTTGGTGGAAAGGATAGCATCGAGATATTAGGATAACCTGCTGTTGGTGTTTTGCCCCCGCCGTATTCTGATCCTGCAACAAACGAATTACTTCCTTCCAAGTTATTGTACATAAATGACTGATGAAGGTTCATGCTTTGTGAAGCATCAGGGTAGTAACCGTAGTCCAATCCTCCATGCATGCTTGTGCTGTGTCGTAGGTAAGGATCAGGATAGGGTGATGCTAGGACATTTACCCTGTATGTGCCTCCACTCAGACCAGTCACCTTGGAATCTGCCGAACTTCGATCCACCAGCTCTTGTTCATAAACGGACCATTTCTTCATTGGAATCATCTTTTCATCAAATTCTTCCTCATCTGTCACAATGATCTTTCGTTGCTTTTCGCCTACAACGACACGAGTATTACCCCATGAGAAATCATCGAAATGCCAAAACGAATATATGGGCAGGAAGAAAGAGTAGATAGGCATGGCAAATAAGTAAAAGAACATCCATCCGATATGCTGCCACTGCCTCTTCAGAATGAAAAGAACAACTTGTAATGCGTAAATGCCACCAAGTATACTAATGGCAAGCTTAGGGAACGGACCAGAGCGCGATGCCATGACATAGACAAGGTAAACAAGGTAAGCAAATGATACAGGAAGCGTCAAAGTACCAATGAGATCAATCAGAACAACGAACCTCATTGAAAAGCAGCAGAAACCACAAAGGTCTGGCAACAAGACTACCTCTAGCAGGTTATGAATTGTAGAATTAATCCATCGACGACGTTGTGACAGCAAGACCCTCCATTTATCTGGTGCTACAGTACGACACGTAGCATGTGGAGTAAACTTCATTTTGTATTGAGGGAAATGCTTCATCATGAGCGTTGTCAAATAACGATCTTCTCCAAGAGATAGCAAGTTCTTTTTGTGAAGCGTGTCTACTCGATTTTCAGAGTAATCTCTGATGACTTTTGGTGAAATGATAAGAGGTTCATTTTTGACGGGTGTCCTGACTCTGTACATACAAAAGCAACCAGGTAGACAGGTAACAGATCCAAACAGAGATTCAAATGCTTTTGCCAAATAATGAGAAATATAGTATTCGTATACTTGAATCATTGTAGTCCACGACTGGTTCTCATTTGACAATGCAGTTTCACCACAGATACCCATAATTCGACCATCATGCAACATAGAAGAGATCAGATAACTAAGGGAATGTGGCATAACTTCTGTATCTGAATCGACCATTAAAATGTATTCATAAAATGAAGGGTTGACTCCAATAATGTTATTGATTTGATAATAAATTTCAAGTTCCAACGGTGTCATTTCTCCATCAAAGTGAACTCGGTTCAAGAAGTTCATACAAATCATTTGTGAATCATGCTTGCCTCGATTTCCTGGCTTTGCTCTTTCGGACGCTTTTCCAACTTTCACGACAACAATGTACGGTACGATATGTCCTTCACATTCATACAAGCCAGAGTATACTTTACCATAGTTGAGTTGCTTTGAACCTTCACCCACAGATTTGAACATTCGAGGTTCTGGTTCATTTGCCATATTGTAACCAAGCACATCCAACACGATCCTTGGCGTCGGACGGTCATTACCACTACCCATAATCATACCATCAGCAATAATAAAGAGTAGCTTCCTTTTATCATCATAATTCATTACTGCAAGAGAATTGATTGTCTTTCTGATCGACTCTTCACCTTCTGTATAACATGGGACTTGGCATATAACAAACTTATCGTGATCCTCTGGAATAGGAGTGCTTCCAAATTGAAGTGCAGCAAGGAATTTTACAAGAATAACAGCACACATGAGCATGGCACATGCAAGAAGCATATAATTGGTAAACATACATCGAGCCGTGTCTCTTGGATCAACATGTCCAATAAAGAAATAATTATCCAAACAGTTCATATTTTGCTGCTGTTGTTCAAGCGACATTCTGTCTTTGTACATTTCCCATTTGCTAGTCGCATCTGTTCCACTGAAATGCGTAAAGAGGTCCTTGACTACATCAGAGAGAAAGTTGTACTCATTGTCAGCTGCTCCATAATATTGAACAGTTGTAAGGTAATCTTGAATATCATATACCTTGTCATGAATGACTAATACGGCACGGCCCCAGCCATTAGCATCTGCTTCAAGATCAGATAAACGATGCACTAGCGTTCCCTTTTTAAAATCCTTGATCGCTGGTAGAAACCTGTCCCAGTACCAATGAGAATCCTTCATGTCGCTTAAAGTATCGAGCTGAAGTTGATCACCAGAATAATGTATAAATGAAGCTTGCGGATTAGCAGATGTGTTGGCCATCATACGTATGTTTGGATTCGTTACTAACCCAGCACAGGCTACAGTCAAAGGAGGCGGAATAGATGAAGACATATCATAGCCGGCCAAGTCACCCATCATAGATTGATCAGCAATTAATCCAGCCGCACCATGGCTCATTTTTGCAAATTTTGTCATGTCATATACCACCCCTCTGATACTCATATAGTTATCGTTTGGCAAGCCGTGGGCTCTTACATTGGCTATAGAATACATCGTCTGTGTTCCAGGGCATACAATTTCGCCTAGGCCAACGATCACAAAGAGTATTATTGCTGACATAAAGGCGATAATGGCGCAAAGTGCTACCTTCTCGCGCCACGCCATTTGGATATCAGGTCGATCCATCTTACCAAACCATCGTAAGAAAGGTGATGGTATCCAAAATGTCAGCAACCAAACAAATATAACCCACCACCGACGCACTTTAGTAATAGAGACATTTTCTATATGTTCGACTTGTGGCCCTGGTGTTTCTTCAACCATCTTGCTCATGTCCATATTTGGTCCAAGGCTAAGCAAATGGTATTAGTAGGTGATTTATCCATACTGTAATGACTTACCCATTAGCATGATTCCATTCCAATTCTTCTTCCCATTGACTTTCATTAGTTCCATGTATATTCTCGCTATATCCTTGACTCGATCCTTCGATACCACATTCATTAGCCACACCATTATACACATTCATACTGTCATTGTTGAGAGAATATTGGGCTATAGGTGATTCTGTGCCTGCTTCATTTTCAGCTGGTAACGTGCGATTGACTCCGCCTTTTCGAATCTCTCTTTCTTGTTTTTCCAATGCCCTCAGAGTGTCTTCTAGTACTTTCCAAAGGTCATATTTTAACCAGACCATATTACGGCCAATGGTCAATTCGCTTGCGTCCCAATCCATAATCCCACATATATGCTCCATCTTTTCCTCGTTTAATGTCTCCATATCTTCTATTGATAGCCCAGTATCCGGCAATATTCTCTCATACCGCACCATAAATTCTTCAAAGGTATATCTATATGCATAGTCTACCTGATAGCGTACGCATAATTCGGGTATAGAAAAAGCACGAATTTGGCATTTGACTTGATTGTGATCAAACTCGGTTGATGATTGTACATCGTTTGGTCGGATGTGGATAATATTATAGATCGTAGTGCCAGATATAGATGAAGTAATGTCACAAAGAGTGGTATAAAGTTGATCTATGACTGTATTCTGCTGTATTGTCTTTGGAGCTGTGTCTTGTTTTTTTTCAGATGTTGAACATTCATTCTTGTTGCTTTCACTTGCAAGAGTTTCGGCCGAATCACTTCTGGGAGACCTCTTGTTGATCGAAGGCTTTCTCAGTGGTTTACTGCTGACCTGTGCCTTAATGATAGCTCGATCGTCATTGGGGTGAGACTTGATTGTCATTGCCGAGTTCTTGAAAAGATCTGATACAAAGTTATTGGAACTACCATCCTTGAACATGCTTACAAAATCTGGAGACACATCATCAAGATTATCTTGTAAAAAGCTTTCAACATTATAATCTGCTGTTCCACAGAAATGACTGATTCCAAAAGCGAATGTTTGATGGTTTCTTGACAAAGATGGGCGAGTGAAAAACTGACGTTGTAGTGCAGCCAAGAAGTTGGCATCTGTTGCTTCAGTTGCTCCAGCCTGCAGTTTCGTTGTATCTCTGTTTAAAAGGCCAGAAATCCCATTCGAGCATGTGAACCTCTGTTGACTTTTTTGACGATGCTTGATCATATCTCTTTTAAGTTCCTGCTTGTCTTTGCCAAGAAGAAGTTCCAGACAAGTAAAACTACCAAAATTGAGAGTGATAGAGGGAAGTGTTATACCATCGCTGATCATCAGCTTATTTGATTCGCTATCTCTGTCAAATGCTTCATTCACAAAGAAGCAATTTAGGTATTCGTTTGCAATGTTTGTACAAAATTGTTCAAATCCATTAGACGCATGATTTTGAAAGCCAAACTGATCCAGTATTCCAATGATGTTTACAGAGTCATCAGAGCCCGCATAGCATATTCTTTGGTTAATTGATTCTACTATCCATAAGAATAAAACATTGTAGAGCGTGCGTGCAAGACTATCTCTTTGATCCGCGGCAGCCTCAGGATTTAGAAAGACCGTACAAAGTTCTCGTCCGATCATTTTAAGTTTGTAGGTCAGACATGTTTCCAATTTAGAAGGCGATACACCAAGCATCATTGATACTGTTTCCAAGACATCATTATTCTTCACGACACATGCCTCTTGGGCGGTGGTTAAGGAGTTGCTGTTTTCAGTAAATTGAAGGTTTCCAATATGCAAAATGGCAGCCAAGAGTTGAAATATCTGTGTAACTACTTTCACTTTGAATCCACATATTTTAAACGCCTTTTTCAAATTGTTGAATTGAATTTCATCATGCCAATGAGGCAAAGACAAGCAATTAGACTGATTCAAATAGTTGAAATGTTCCGGCTTGTAATTGATATGTAGAGCGTTCTTTTCTTCAATTGTTGTGCCTGCGAGGAGCGAATAAAACACGTGGAATGACCTTTCATTGGATGGAACATTGGTCACGCGAGTTTTATCAAATTGGTAGGTCAACATTCTCGATCCCAAGATCCGCCCACGCTTACTGAATTGAATTTCCTGAAAAATACTATATTTGGAAGCTGATATATTTTGGGCTGTAGATGCCTGACCAAATGCTTCTAGGATGATGTGCGCATGTTGTATTTTTAAGCCTAGTTTATGTTCTGCGTTATTGTGTGTTGAAAGGTATAAAAGTTCTGATAAAAGATGTGATCGAGTCGTGGTTTTGCCTGAGCCTGTGATGCCACTATATAGAAATAAGTTTAATATATGCTGTCATTGTTACTGATCTTGATGTCATAATTTTTTATACCTTAGTATCACACTTTGATCTTCACCCGTTCTTCTCATACAAAAATACATTTTGGTTGCCATCTCATAAATATGCGGTTGAAGAGGCTTTTTATCATGTATGTCTTTATATCCAACATCTGCATATAACTTGAGTGTTGCATCGTTTAATAACTCTAATGGCTGAAATGGATTGACAATAATTAAATTTGAATATCCTAACTGAGTATATGGTATATTGAGCTTATATCTAGCTTCTAGTAGACTACATATAGAATCTTCTGTCGGTGGTCGTTCTCTCCCGTTATAGAGCGTAACAAGATTTTCGCATTCATTTTGCATTTTGACCGCGGGAAGAAACAGGAGAAAAAAAAGAAGTAGGTCTCTGCTTTACGCTTTTGTTAATAAAGACAAATAAAAAAGAAGAAGGTAAAGTAGCATGAAATCATTTGTGGTTAACCTTGTTGAGTATGAATTTTTAGCTCAAGTGTCTATCGATCCTTTTGTGATTCTTTCTCCGTGTATGTTCCGGAAAAGCAATAGATTACACAGTTTTGTACAACAAACTATTTTGGGGTACGCTGAAAGGACGATGACATGTGCCCTCCTTTTTTTTTTTTTTATAAGAGTGAACCCTATGAAAGTTGTAGCAATCTCTTATTTTTGTATGCCGCGGCTCGTTTGATATAGCTGTCATGTCTTTACAATGTTGAGCATAAATTCAGAGCAGAAGAATGATCCTCTGGTCATTTTTGTGTTGAAAACAAAAAGAAAGGAACAAAAGAAGCAAACAATTGACTATTTCAAAAACAAAACTGTATTCAATGAAGTAGTGTTTGAAATATATATATATATATATAGTGCCTACCATCAATTAACGTTGGTCACAACAGTATAAGCTTTAAGTCCGAGTGGCTTTTATGGCAAGAGTTCATAAGCAAAAAGGTGCAAAAGGAACCGACAGGACGCTTCTTTAGGTATCATAACTCCTTGAAGCCACTCAGAAACTTGTTTTCTATGAATTGATCTACTATGTCTGTACACACAATTCACACTTAACTTGACCCTCTGGCTTAACATAGAAAGATGGTATAGAATACATTGGATTACGTCTTCATGCAATGTATCAATTGTAGTAATTAATCTATTCTTTAGCTAATAAGCATGGATAAAAGATATGAACCTTTAATAATAATAATAAAAAACGCCTTAAAATTAAAGTCTCGATTTGATTTGAGAGATAATTGGTGGCAATTTAACTAAAGGAAGTCCAGAAAGGTCACGATCTAAATCATAGCTTTCTTACATTAACAAATGCCACCATTCAACGTTCTCATGGTATGAGTTGCTGCTTATAAAAAAAGATAAAGTAATTTAAATGTCCCAAAACTAGGTGGCTGAAAAGCCTTCTTTGGCCGAATCTTTAAGCAAGTTACTTGCACCTGGCGGACAGGTGAGATAATAAATTAAGCTAAAAAGAATATAATAATCAACCGAACATAAAAAAGTATACAACGCATAAAAGAACAACACCTGTTCACGAATGGAGAGGCATGTTTAGAGATCAACCTGCTGAATTCCATTTCACTTCAGTTACTGGACATGTCTACAGTCTTGACTTTACTAAAGAATACAACTCTTGGGATATAGAGCCTATGAAACTATTCGATGCAAAGACGATCAAGCTAGAATCGAATCCTAAAATGAAAATAACAAACCATTTGCAGAATATGGCCAAAGGCATGGATTATTTGGTTCTATGGTTGGATTGTGATAGAGAAGGCGAAAATATTTGCTTTGAAGTTATTGAAAACTGTTTGCATTATCTAAAACAACCGCCAAGTGGAAACAAGATGGATTGTGTCCTACGAGCTCGATTTTCAGGTAAAGAAAGGAAAAAAAAGAGATAACACATGACTAATATATACATGCATTAGCTATTACAAAAGAAGACGTATCCAGGGCAATGAAGCATCTTGTTAAGCCTAATGAAAACGAGTCAAAAGGTAGATACATAGCAGACAGATAATAAAAGATAATAATACGCTTCTTTATGTAGCTGTGGATGCTCGACAGGAGCTTGATCTAAAAGTAGGCGTGGCATTTACTCGATTTCAAACAAGATTCTTTCAGGGTAAATATGGTAATTTGGATTCTACGGTTATCAGCTATGGCCCATGTCAAACGCCTACATTATCTTTTTGCGTTGAGAGACATGATCGTATTCAGGGTTTCCAGCCTGAACCTTTCTGGGCTCTTAAAGTGACTGTAAAGAAGGACAATACACCTATCAGCTTGACATGGGGTCGAGAAAGAGTGTTTGATAAGCAAGTGGGTAACTTATTCTTGAAGATGGTTGACGATGTAAAGGCAAAGGGTGCAGAGTAAGATTTCTCCCTTTTTCTTCTTCTTGTAATTCTCATAGTATATAACAGGGTTACGAGTGTTGATATACAAAAGAAATCAAAGCCAAGGCCACATGCTCTTAATACAGTACAGTATCTAAAGAAAGAATGTATGGTCTTGTATAAACATCTCATTTCTCTCTAGGTTGAACTACTTAAGCATTGTTCGTCAAGTCTTGGTATCAGTCCAAGCGAGGCAGTAAGTATTTCAAAGAAATTAACAAAATGAGATTTGTTTATCTCATGTGGTAGATGAGCATTGCAGAACGACTCTATACTCAAGGTTACATATCCTATCCGCGTACAGAAACATCAAAATATCCAGATAACTTTGATATCAATGCTGTCCTTAGAGAGCAATCTGTTCATCCTGAATGGGGAAAATTCTGCAAGGACCTTCTAGAAAGCGGATATGATAGACCATCAGGTGGCGTTGATGTCGGTGATCATCCGCCTATGTAAATAAGCATGCACTTTACTTAGATATGATTCGAACTAAACTTCTTTAATAGCACACCTACTCGGGTCGCTCTGGAAGGTGAACTACACGGTGATACTTGGCGAGTATATGACTTTGTTAGTCGTAACTTCATCGGTTCTATCAGTTCTGGGCTAAAATATGTTACCACCACCATTACCTTCTCAATTGGTCAAGAAGAGTTCCACTGTAAAGGTTCGAGAGTGACTTCATTAGGATTTGCTTCAGTCATGCACTGGTAATAGCTTTGTGCCTCATTTTACCCAATCAGCTTATTAAAATATTGTGCTTATTGTAGGATGGGTAAAACAGATGAGTATATCCCAGAGTTTAAGAAGGGAGATATTTTAGATATAGAATCTGTTAGCCTGTCAGAAGGAAAGACATCGCCACCAGATTATCTGACAGAATCAGAATTGATTGGACTTATGGAGCACCATGGCATCGGCACAGACGCCTCTATCCCTACTCATATCAATAATATTTGTCAGAGAAACTACGTTCAAGTTTCAGGGGCATCGAGAAGGCTGATTCCAACCAATCTAGGCATTGTGCTTATTCATGGGTACACCTATTTTTTCATATCATGTTTAACAATACTAATATCATTTCTATAGATATCGTAAGTGATCATTCTAATGATAGAGATATTGTATATTCATTCAATGCTTTAGAGAAAATTGATCCAGAGTTATCCTTACCCACAATGAGATCAGACATGGAACAACAGTTGAACTTGATTGCTTCTGGAAAGGCCTCTCATAAAGAAGTTCTTGTACATTTCTTAAAAATGTTTGAAAAGAAGTTTGAATACTTCATAAAGAGCGTAGTGTAGCAGTAGTATGAGCGTTTACCCTCGAATTCACACCATTGTTTTTTCTAGATCAACTCTATGGACGAATTATTTGAAGCTACATTTTCGCCTCTTGCAGCAACAGGAAGACCACTTTCCAAATGTGGTAAATGCAAAAGGTAGGTTTGGTATACACTTTGATGGTCTTTATTCTAAGCAACATTCAGGTACATGAAGTATATTGCTTTGAAGCCTAATCGACTTCATTGCAGCACATGTGATGAAACATATTCTCTTCCACTTAACGGAACTATCAAGTTGTATAAAGAGCTTCGATGCGTAAGTGTGTAAAGAGTAATGACAATGATATGTAATTGAGTAGTTCCCTTTCTAGCCGCTTGATGATTTTGAACTTGTGCTTTATTCCACAGGCTCAAAAGGAACCGGGTACCCTATTTGCCCTTACTGCTACAATCACCCACCTTTTGAGAATTTCAAAAAAGGTAAGATCTCAGCTGTATAGGGATCATAGTTTTTACTTATAATGGATAGGCATGTCTTGCAATCACTGTCCTCATCCTACGTGTCCTCATTCGATGGTTACGAATGCCATATGCCCTTGTCCTGAATCTGAAAAAGAAGATTTTCCGTGCAAAGGCTCACTTATTTTAGATGCTACGTCAGCACCCAGATGGAAGCTTAGTTGTAATGAATGTAATATTGTGTCATCATTTGTTGATATAGTCAAGAGTAAGTTTTAGAATAGCCTTGAACTTTTTCTTTTTCTTATTGATTTCACTTAGATGTCAGCATTGTAAAGAACAATTTATGTGAATGCGATTCGGTATTAGTAAAAATAGAGTTTCGAGAGAACCAAAACAAGGAACCGCTGGTTGGCTGCATTATGTGTGATAGTGAGATTGAAACCTTATTGACAACAAGGTCTGTACTTGATAATATACATGTGTGTGTTACTGATACCTTTTATATGATATAGATTTGCAAGAAAGAATGTACGTTCGAGATTTAAAGGAAGACGTAGAGGAAAAGGCCGTCGTGGAAAGAGAAGGTTTTAATTAAGTGACAGAAACAGAGAGACTTAATATGGAACGCAAAAGAAAAAAAAGGTCACCTTTATTTACAATTTGTTATTTCTCTTTATTTGTATGAAATAAAGTATCCACAATTTGAACGGAGCATGCTGTAAGCTGAACTGACAACATGATGAAAGTGTAGGTTCAGGCACCATAAATTAACGGAGACTGAATTGGTGTGATGATGCATAAATTTCTCGACTACTTCTTTCGTGTTTAAAACCACCAATGTCGTCAAACCAGTCTCTATTTCTCGGAACAATGGTACAAGTCATACTTTATTAAAAAAGAAAAAAGTATATTCAATGAAAGTGATCTAAGAGCGATCAAGGTGAAAAGCAGCTATTGGTAAGAACATATCAAAAAATAGGTATCTTGAATTAAGTACATTTCAGCAAACTGTATACTTTTAAAGAGCTAGTATCTTTTGATATACCACAAAGACAGAGAGAGACCTTTTAGGTTTAATTGACCCTATTGAAGATCTACTATTTGCCACTACTATCCTCAACTCAGTTTGTTATCCTTGCAACAACTGATTTATCCCAATACTACTACCCAACAATAACCATACTTGGTAAATAAGAACAAACAGTTGCCAGCAAGAAAGCGCTTTTTGACACTCGGTTGATAAGATCATTTGAAGTAAATACATTTTAACTATGCTTTATTCTAAATAAGTTACTTTTTTTTTTCAGTTATCTTCCGCTTGAATCCTTAGTAGTACAGACATATTCGTTTCGTTTAATTTAGGAAATCTGATATATATGTTGTATTTCTTTCTTCTAAATTTAAAGAAATGATTTTCAAGTCTATTTTGCTTAGCTTTGCCATTTTATTTTCTTCTGTTCTATGTGAACTTTCTAATGGATTTGAAATAAAGTAAAAAAAAAAGGGCCATATATCTATACATATATTCTTAATTTATTTTAGGCACATGAAGGAAATACATCAAATGGAAATATCAGATGCAGCCACATTCTTCAAGATACACGATTTAGATAAGAATGGATTTTGGGATGAGAAAGAGCTTTTAAATATTTATGGTGTAGAAAGAGATATTGATCCAGAAGCAGAGCATCTAAAGTCTATTGTTGAACACGTCTTCAGTGTGATGGATCTTAATAAAGATAGACTCATCTCTCAAGATGAGTACACGTCAAGTAAATTCTTACCATCAATCACAAAGGATCAAGAAAAGAAGGAAAAAGAGATGAAAGGTGGAAAGAATAATAATAAGAAACAGCAAAAGAAGTCATCCAGTAACAATAGTAATAATAAAAGGGGCGATGACTATGAATTTGTTGTACCAGCAAAATTCAGAGCATAAAATAAACCAATCTCTATGATACACGTCGTCATTGATAGCTGCTTACACATGAATCATTAGTGTCCTCCTTGTCGTTTCTTTTTTTAGACCTAACAATTGTGTTAAATACATTACTTATATCAATATATTCAGAAAACTTTATTAAGCATATGAAGTAATTTTGATTCTTATACAAGATGTACCGAATCCCAAAAATTAAACGTGTGATTGCATTTCAAGAACTTTTGTCAAAAATTGTGAAAATAAAAGTAACACCATGTTAAGCAATTCGGCACACATTAAAGACTTTTAAGTCTTTGAGATTAGTTGTTAAACCAGCGGAATCAAGAACGACCAAGCAAATCTTTAGACTGATTGTGACAAACTTTAAAAGTTCTATAAAAAGAGGTTACTATCTAGCAAGAAATGTAAATTTATAATAACCAAGAACATATTGTATCTTCTAACGGTGCGATCTCAATGTCATATATATATTCACAGCGTCACTTGTCTCTACGAAGAAGGGCTACCATAGCGAATTCTTTAACCCTCTCCAAGATATGGTATTGCTTGCGATCAGTCTGGGTTCCTTTGGCCTTTTTTCGACGATTACAAGTTATTGTTTGTTAGTTTGTTTGGAAAGACTGCAAGCCCAAAATTCACTATGCAACACTATGCCAGCCATTGAAAAAGGTGGTTTAGGGCTGCTGGATCCTTATGTCCAGTATGGTGTATTGCAATATAGATGGATCTTTTGATTTAAGTAGATCATCTTATTGTAGCAATTTGTTACGAATACATCTATCGCTTGTTTCTGGCTCTACAGTGACTTGGCCATTGCATATTTTCAATGCTCGTCTACGAAATAGTCTTTATTGCAAGCCACTTGATGTATTACAAGCCATTTTACGAACTTTTGTTCCTTTTTACACTGGAAATGTAGAGAGTATCAAATGCTCTATTACTACTACCTTGCTGTTGCCCTTGCATATTGCTTTTCAAAGCCTACCAGATGATTATTGGGTTAACCAGACTTGGCATCGTCAACCGCGAATTGGTCAATTCTTCAAATATGATGAAGATCTGGGCTGCCTACGTCCAATGTTGCAAACAGATAATCCTGACTTCCCTTACCTGCCTCAAAGGCTACTCAGGGACATTCAAAGACGTTAGATACATCTCAATGATTCAATTTGGCACCATATCATAAATCAAGACCATTCTTGTGATGACATTGATATGTCACCGTTATATAATCCACTTCGTTCATTGCTGACCTTTTTTTTTTTTCTTCTCTTTCAGGTTTTCTTTGCAAAACATTGGCTTTTGGGAATGATCTTTAATAAATAAATATATTTCTTGAAATGACTTTTACTATTGTCTTTATTTATATTGAGAATATATACGTTTTTTTCTAAATCACTTCAAGCTACTATATTGGAGATATGCACAGTATCAGAACTATATCAATGCCAATGAATACAGTCATACTTTTATTACGCATCGTTGATCAACTTAACAGTGAGAAGCTCACAAGGATCCAAGCTACAGTGTAATTAATGAGTGCAAAAATATTTAAACACTACAATAAAACACTCCATTGCCGGACAGCTATTGTCAATAGGTTGAGTGCAAAGTTAGAGTATATCAAAGCATTTGTTTTATGAAACAAGACGCAGTACTACGAGTAGTATGATTCTAATGATCTGGTAGAAAATATCCAAATGTTGTCATGTAAAAGAGAGATTATATATAATTGTTATACGGCCAAAGGCTCTACTTGCAATGTAAATCCAAATTTCTTACTTTTTAAAATAAAACATTCAGCATACTATGTGTACTGTATAAATATCCTGAATGCATTGCTAAACCATGATTGCTGATATAAAGCCCTAAAGAGCGATAGGGCATAAACAAAGCCATTGTTAAAAGCACATTTTATAAATCATATGCCAATTTGAGTTGTGCCATTCAAGTATAAATTGAATTATATAATGCATTTCGCTTGAACAGCCTTCAGTATCCTTTCAAAAGAGCATCTTGCAGTTTGGGGGTATTACCTTTTTTGGATTTTGCAGTGCTTCTAGTATTACCCTTTTTATTTTAACCACTTACACATTATAGCTCAATTACTTACTTGATCTTTTAAAGATCTGGTGGTCACTATCATAAACGACTTGTTAAATCAAAACCTATACTGTAAGCTCAACCAAACAAATGTCAATTCTATACCACTTCACGTTTTTCTTATTCAAATAGTACTAGACGTTGCTTTTGGTGCGCTGACATCGACGAAATCTACAGCATCTGTTCATAAAATCTCCTCAGAAATGGCAAATTCGGATGCGAGCTCTTTATGAGCACTTCTGTGACGTTATGAAGGATTGAGCTTCTCTAATGGTTTTTGGATTACCACAGTCACGGAGGCCTTCAGAGGGGCATATATGGCAAGTATTGGCTTGCGCTTTGTTACGTGTATGGCGCCATCACTGGCAGTCAATTATACACGAAAGCACGCTTAATGCCAGCAGCGCTTGTTCCTCTGTAGTTCATGCTTTGAGTTCGCTCCAAAGTAACTATACCTCTCACCAAAAATAAATAAATAACGTCATCATATATTTCAAATACAGTTTCAGGGTGCGCTTATGATTCGCCCAACCGCATCAAAACTTTACAGGGTAAAAAAATACGCTCCTGTTGTATATTGTAAGCTCTTCTTCCCTACATTACCCTGCAATGCGTTTTACTCGCTCTCTTTTCCAGGCTGTCACTAAGGTATTGATCATTTTTTATTAAAGTTAAACATGACTAACTATATTTTCTTAGCCCACCACTGGCCTTGCTGGTATCCGTGTCCACCCTAACCCTCGCCCTCATTTGATCGAAACATACAACAAAACACTCGAAGCTTTGTCTCGTCTTCCTAGCACAGCTGTTTACAGACAGGCTGCTGAATCATTAACCCAACAACGCTTGACGATTGTTCAATCTACCGAAAATGTTGATGAAATCGAATCAAAAATTGATTGTGGACAAATTGAAGAGCTTATCATTCAAGCTCAGGATGAGTTGAACTTGGTTGCAAAGATGGAAGAATGGAAAGCCTGGGAACCACTTGAAACACCTATTCCTGAAGGTCAATGGAAATATCCTTCCAAAGAATAAACTGTATATATTATACACGACATATGCATATCATCCCCTTTCTTTTTATTTCTATTTTTATACACGAATAGATTAGAGATTATATGATTAGAGATACACAGTTTAAACAAAGGATCGTACAGTGGGTATATTCGGACATGGTCGACTGTGGACTTGCTTTATAGACATCCTAGACACATTGATCTTAAACTCAGTTGAGTTGTTTTTGTTCAAAGCCCAAAGATAATATGAAGAGAACGATTTAATGTACAAGGCAGTAAAATGTCAATGGGCAAAATGAAAAGCCCAATGCGTAAATTTATTAGAAAAACCGATATATAAAATAGAGTAGATATACAAAAAAGAAAGAGAAGAAACTAGAGTTTATAGATAAATGACTTGTTTTCCTGATCTGTCAAATCATCGTTGACATCGTATTTTTCCCCCGGTGGATTACTCAATCGTTTCTTATTCTCTGATGCCATCAATTGACGTGCGACAAAAAGCATCACTAAAATAGCTGCATTACCAATGCAGTATATGATCATACCGGTCTTGTAAGCAGGAGCCTCATGTTCCAGCATGAGAAGTGGACCAACAAAGTTACCAAGTGTGAAAAAGATAATGTTCATGCCGTTATAAAAAATCTTTTTGGTGTATCCAGTTACATTGGAAGCAATGATTGTCAATAGCATGACGGCTGTGCCATTCTCTGCCCAAGCTAAAAAATAGCCCAGCAATTTGACACCTGTTAAGGGTAATACAGCGAGTAAGATGACTCCAATCATTGATATAGTTGTGCAAACGACAACTGAAAAGTAAAGCTGTCCTGTCTTTCGAGCAACCCAGACTCCCAACAGAGACAACAGAGCAGATACACAACCGCTAGGTACTTGCATAAGAATAGATTCCTGACTCTATACATAAAGAACATTAGTCTCTTTTTTCATTTATGCAAGTTAAACTTACAGTGAAGCCCACGCTGCGCACGATCAATGTACTAAATACGACTAAACCACCTGTATGAAGATTGTTGCAAAATGTAGATAAACAGACCAGCCAGAGTCGAGGCTCGCGCAAGGCCTCCCATATATGCCGCGTCTTGATTTCGTACACACGCACAACTGCATTATCCTTCGTTCGCTCTTCCACTATGCCTTTTTCTTCTTCTGTCAAGCGAAACATATACGATGTCGGTGTGTCGGGCAAAAAGAAGAAGACAATAATACCAAAAAGAACAGTCAAGGAGCCCCAGATGATATATGGCCATCGCCAAGAATGAATGCCGTTTGCATTATTGATATAAGAAATACCATAGGCGCAGGCAGCCCCAACCATCGTGCCCGAGCCGTTACTTAACCAAAGGAAGCCGTATGCAGCCGACTGCTCCGATCGACGGTAGACGCTGTTCAGAATGATAAGCAAGGAGGGATAAGTGCCAGCTTCAAATAAGCCCAAAAGGACGCGGGTGGCAGCTAGTTGGGCAAAAGTGTTGCAAAGAGCCGTGCAGCCCATAACGATACCCCAGAGAATAAGAAGTACACCAAGGTAACGGGAGATGCGGAATTTTTGTAAAAGGTAATTGTTTGGTATTTGAAAACAAATATATCCGAGATAAAAGAAGGAACCTAACCAACTATATTGTGTTCCGCTTAATTTAGTGTCTTGAATAATCCCAAGGACAGCGGCAATACTAAGTGTTGATTTATCAACAAACTAGTAAAAAGAAAATGAGAAAAGGCTTGATCTATAGACGACAGCACTATACCTGAATGAAAACGATTGCGCCAACAAAAGGTAGAAGCGTATAATTGATTTTTCGTACAAGTCTCTTCTCCGCTTCAGACTTGATCAAGATCGCTTTAGAAACCTCTTCTTCAAAATCCTTGTGTGCTTCATCGCTACCGCTGTAGTCACTACCTGCTTTGTTATCAATAAACGTTTCCACGCCTTTATTGATAGAATCCTTATTTGTAGTCATGGAAATGTAAAGATAATAGAAAAGAAAGATAAACAGCCTATCTTTTTATACTCATTTGTAGAATTCTACGCTTGAATAGAGTTTGAAACCATAGCAACTTAACATTTTACTCATGAACACAAACTACCGTGTTTGCATAATACCCTTTTGTGTTACCTTAAACCACGCTTTCTCAAAGACTAAAAAGGCCCAAGAAAAAATGATTCACAGCGATAATAATGAAATCAGTTTTACGTTTATAGACATTTTGCCACTTTGGTAATGACAGAAATTGCGGGGTAAGTGACACAGTTGGTTGTATAACACGGCAGCCAAAACCATCGTCAAGCAGCTCATATTAAATCCACACGATTTAATCAATCGACAATAACCCCAATGAAAAAGGTGAAAGGAAATAAGGGCAAAGTAGGATAACCAATGAAAGGAAAAGGAAAATATACATCTAGATTTGCTTCACACGAACCGCAATCTTCCTTGATTTCCATTTTCGTTGGACTGGTTATTATACTGACTATACACGTTTGTGGTGGGTGTCTATACAAGTTATCAGAGGTCATCAGCGCATATTACTATTTTCACTGATAAGGGGATGTATTGACATTGTTGGACTGTGTGAGAAAAAGTTGGAAAAAAGGGGAGTGCGTACCTTAAATATGATGGAAAAATTAAAGCTTTAAAAATGACTAATCAGATCGATCAATGGGAAAATTGATCACGAACTTCAATGTTGGATATTAACTGGTTTCATGCACTGTTGATCCGATTTTATGCCGCCCTCACTTTCCTTATTTTTCTTTACCAACAACAATGCCTTTTTTTTTGTTTTCTTCTAAAAATACATTGCACCTTATTAGGAAATTGATCCTCAAGATAGGTCTAGGTTATTCTTGAATTAGATTTGATGTAGTTTGCTTACGTATACAATCTTTGAGTTTTCTTTTAAAATATCAGGCATTATATACACTCATTCTTTTTACGCATACGATAGAAAGGATTTAAATAATATACAAGTAACACTGGGTACAGTGACTACGTTGCCTCCATTCCGATGTCGGATGTGGTTATGTTCTTGGTAACTTCTCCAAACACAGTGCTGACAACATTTAATCCACGTTTGTGCTGATTGCTTGGTCTATAATAATAAGCTTCAAACGTGTTACTCGTCAAATTCTAGCTCGCATACAGCTTTACTTGCTCTATGGGAACGCTCAAGAACACTGCTTTCGTACTTGCTGCTGATCGCAAAGAATGGGCCTTGAACTTCCTTGTATTGACTCCGGAACCCTTCATCATGCCTTCCAGTCGCCTGCTGAAAATCTTGGGCTGAGTAGATCTTATGGATGTACGGCCACTGCCTAAGCAGGCTAGTTACACTATAGCCTCAAAAAGTGAATGGATGGGGCTAGGTGTAGTGTTGTTTATACAGTCAAAGGCAAACAAACAGCAACAATGGCCAACACTAAGTGCACCATAAAATAGGCCAATGCTATGGGAGTTTCTTCTAGGTACTGCATGTAAGACTCGAATGAAATACTCTTTAATGTGAAATAGGTGTTCATCATAGTTGCACGTGAGATAAGTGGTCTCTGTTTATCAAACTGACAACATAGAATTAGTAGAAAGAGATAAAAAAAATTCTTTTTATTTCTTTCTTGAAAAGAAACACAAGCTAAGGTGGCGACTTTACAAAGTCATGTTTAACTTGACTCTATACATTGAAGGTTTTGTTGTGCGACATCATATGTAATGGATAGATGCAGCGCACGTAGTATTGGTCTAACTTCTGGTGTATATAGTGTTTCCCGCAATAAAATAATCTATTATTATTGAATTCCAGGAAAGCGTCGGTCGTAGCTTCATGGGCAGAGTTATAAACTATTCGCTCTTTGCTTACCATCGTTATAAAGTTTATCCAATCGTACTCATCTTTGCTATCTAAGGATTTTCAAGTGCTGATGTAGAGAAATAGTTTATTTTCGCTAGTGAAAAACCGTTTCTGAAAATCGATTCAAAATGCTAGACAAAGGAATGCCTTTTGCTATCGCCAAAGCCTATACTTGGCCACTTAGGACAGTCTCCAATGGACCCAATCGTCGCTATGGAGTATTTTCTCACTATAGTGCTGTGTTTTTGGCTTCATTGGAATATTAATTGGATCTTACAGTAAGATTCCTTTATCAAAGTTCTAAGGAGTTAATGATGAAGGAGTCGGATACGAATGACAAATCTGTAGATCTATGGAATGGTTTCTTGAAAAAGTAAAAAGACGGATCGAAATCGTTGCAGATGAAGATGAGAATACACGAGAATCAACTATCAAGTAAATAAAAGACTGTGTCAGCGAAAGTTTGAGATTAATAAGCGAACAAAGCAAACTTCTGGAGCGTAAAAAGACAGCAGATTCAAACCAAAACAGCATCAATGACAATAAATATACTGAGAGTGATATTTATTTATTGAATTTAAGAGCAAGATTGGCAAAAATAAAAAGTGGAAACACATATATGGTAAAGGAAAAGCACAAGGGCTTTTCAAGTCATACTCATCATCTCACAACCTCAAAGCATCATATTATCATAAAACATTTCATTTTCAAAATAAATGCTGTTTTTCTTTAACATTACTTTTACTTTGCAAGTTAAGCAAATAGTATTGTCCGAATTGAGAAGCCACTTTTTATCACCGTATCTTCAATCTTTCTTGTCATTTTTAAAAGGCATCACTTTCTTCAACAGGAGTGAGACTATTAACAAACTTGTTTTTTCATCATTAAAACTTGTTTCAATCGACAACCTATATCGACTATATGCCAGAGGACCCTTTGTTAAGTTTTTGCATTGTCTTTTAGCAGTAAATCCAATCTAAAAAAAAAAAATCTCGAAAGCTTCAACAAAGTCAACAAGACTTAATAGCTGCATTCAGCTTTTACACTTGCAAAAGGCAAACAAACTGATTGAAAACGAAATAACTTCTTTATTGAAAGGAATAGCCAAGCATGATTAAAGTAAGACGCGTGTGAGTTTTATAATGGAGATTTAATGTTGTCAGTGATATTCTTTTCTGATGCAATATTGGAATGTAAAGCAGAATGCGTATAAGGTTATACAAACTGGTGCTTGGATCAGTTAATTCTTACAATTCGTGCCATGAACACATTGAATAGACAAAACCACGGTAGGATGCCATTGTGAATCACGTTTTCGTTCCAAGAACCTGCTTGAAACTCATAACGGATCCGGTTACAATACTGCTTATGTGCCTCCACAAGTTTCTCTTCTTAGTCCGACCGTGTGCTGATTTGACCAGGGATCAAAACTGGGAAGCGGAAAGAAGCGGCATCAGATTGACTGAATCAATAAAACAGTGGTCACTGATTCGAAATGGATTAAGTATTTCTTCTCTGCATTATGAAATAGGCTATCATCATTTAACTTTTGCAGTTTACAAGCTACGCAGGGCTAAGAATAGCCTGCATACCTTTAAATAAATCAATTGGGAGGCATCCAGAGCACAATATTATTCGTGTAACATTAGCACGTTTCCCATCAATAACAGATATTAGATTGTCATGGAGATGTTGACATGGTAAACAATGAAAATAACAACTAAACAAGATACTGTTGATGAGATTTTGAAACAGAACCACCGGGAAAGTAACAAGATCTCTCTATACTGTTTAATTTTCCGATGATTCGTAACGTAAGACAAAATGAGACACAAAACTCTTTTTTTTTTTTTACGAATGATGCAAAGGGTTAAGTTTTATTGTTATTAAAATAATAGAATGGTATACTAAAGAAGCATTTTAAAGCATAAATGCTAAAGCAGCAACAGCAGCAAGGGAAAGAATAGCCTTGGCAGGAGACATGGTAGTAACAGCATCACTCTTGAAAATGGAAGCATTTGTAGAAGATGGTGTACCAGAGGAACCAGTAGCGGCAGCAGATGGGATGACAGAGGAGGAAGAAACGGGCAAGATGGTAATAGGAACATCAGTTTGAGTGTTTGTTTTAGAATCTAAAAAGATAACTTTGTATGAGCCGACAGGGATGCTGGTAGGGATGTTGTAGTTGATAGAGTGTTCATAGTAAGTAACATTATTACTGGTTCTAACGCTGTCTGGTGATTTAGAGGTGTCGAAGGTTGTAGCAATAACAAAAGATGTACTGCTGTTGGCGGCCGAAACGAGGCTAACAGAAAGAGAAATATCTGACAAAGCAATGAGCTATTGTGTTGTCATTATTGTTTATTACCATACCTGCAGGAACATTTTCAAAGATAGTAACAGTACAGGGTAACATTTGGCCAGCAACATAAATGCCATTCATGATGGGCTTAGTGACATTATAGTTTTGCATAGGAGCAGTGATTTGAGCAAGGGCTCCAGTAAGAGCTAAAGCAAATCCAGAGACAACGGCAAAGAATTTCATTATGTTTTATAAATAGACAAAGAAAAAAGAGAAAAAGAAAAAATAGAAGATTTGCTCCTTTATTGATTATTAGATTTCAGTGTAACATGTCAATTATGGATAGACTACAGCTCTCTGTGTTTGTTTCGACAGCACGCCCATATCCGAAGACTAAGGATGTGGTTATATTCTTTCCGGAAAGTAAATTCGCGTGTGACCGAAAATAAATGCACCCAATGGTGAGAACAAAATTCATGTATGAAATGTAAATTCGCCGTTACCAAGAATATTTTCGTAATACCAGCCTTGACGTCCATGGATATACTGTATTTCCAAATTGAATATGGCTCACTATCTCATTTGACAGTAATATTAACAGGTGAGCTGTCTTGGAGTTGAAATTAACTTAATATTAGAAATAGCCCTCTTTAGTTCCCTTGTAAAAGTTTAAATTCTTTATTCGGTTTTTCCATGAAATCAGAACATGTAGTCATATTTGGCAATGCATATTCTTGAATGATCATGAAGTAGATTGCTCCTATTTGACATGATTTCTTTGTCCTAGATACCCTATTTGAAAAAGAAAAACATATAAAAACCCATTTTAACTGGGTCCTTTTTTTTGCTTCTTCACAGCAGTTATCAAATGTCCCTCTGAGTGTTCAAAGATTCACCAATCAAAACTAGCCTGTCCTCATGGTCCTTGCTCTGACTCGCTTGTCCCGCCCTCTCTGCTCTCTGGCGTGTATCTGGAACGTTCCCCAATAGTCTCTTCTGACGCACTGGGTTCTCTATGTCCTCCGTTCCTTTTTTTTTTTTTTTTGTTTTAACTTTCCTGGGTAGTTATCGCTACCCTCCCCAGGATGCACCTTGGTGGTAAGTAAAACTAATATTAGAATATATGCTCTAATACTAACATACTTTCTTTCTCTTTTTCTACATATACTCATTATATCTCTCTCTCTTTTGACATGATGTCGTTTTATTCAAACGTATTTTTCTTTGTCATCTTTTTACAATATTTTATAAAATTAACGTCAATAATTAATAAAAATACAGTATTCTTTCTAGCCACGCTTTATTCTCAATAATATAATAAAACCGCTATTTCTTTACAGCTTTTGAACAGTGCATTCGTCTGTAATTTGGAGAATTGGTGCCAGGGACGGGTTTTAAAAGTCTATTGGCACTGGTATACCTAACGGCGCTTTCACTATCTTCTTTTTCATTATATAAAAGGACACTGTACCCTTGTCATATTATAGTACTTTAGGTATCTATGTTCGCCATATCCAATAACGAGGAGCGTGAATCTTCACCACCTAACGTTCTTGTTCTTTCATCACCTTTAAGATCTTGGTGACATGTTCTAGTTTCTTCTATTTTTTTCTCATAAAGTCAATTCCTTCATTTTTTTCTATAGAGTTTATAATATTAGTTAGACCTACCTTCAATTATCAGACCAAATTGCCCAAGGCAAGAATACTCTTTACACCCGTCATGCTTTCTGGGATATACAGTTGAACGCTTTATTTTATATATAAAGTGTGTTCGAGTAAAGCTCTAGTGTTCACAAATGTAAAGAATTCTCTATTAATAATAGTTGGATGAAGTTGAATCATCAGATAAAAACAAACACTACATACCTATTGCTTGCATGTACGAAGTTTGCAACTTCATTACAATGGTTTCTTTGGCACAAAAATACACCTTGAGCGAGGTGTTAAGTATTGTCAAGGCACCAATGTGCACTTGGTATGACCATAGTCGTACTTCCAATTTCTCGTTGCATGAATTTTCTCGATTTCTCAAGTACGAGCATATCATGCTCATTATCATCAATCACACATCTATCTGCCTTGTAGTCTTCCAGGCGATGACTTTAACATACATCTGCCCAGGTATGAAGATAAACTTGACAATAGAATCTACTGCAACTTCAATTGACGGTCAAGCTAATAATTTATTTGAAGTTGCATTTACTGATTTTTAGCCGACCAAATGAGTCTTGCTTGCGAAGTAATAGCTATTTTATAAAAGAAATGCACAAGTTGTTGTTGGAATCAAAGAGATTGCGCCTTAATATCAATGAATAAAGTTGTTGATCTTTTTATCCAAGACAAAAGTCTAGACATGTAAAGGAACTATGGTATACGATGATTATTAGTGGCAAACACTAATCTCTCAAACCAGGGCATTCTTTAAAAGGAGCATTTGCACAGCAGTGCGCTTAATTTTAATGAATGCTTGACTTGTTTGCCCCTTTTTCGCCATTTCTTTGTAATTTCAGTTTCAGTTACAATAACCTGGCTTTGAGTTATTTCTTACCAGTATTTTTTTCTTTAATATTAATGAGCATCATGTAAGTGGTTAAAAAAAAGAATACGAGGACAAAAACAATGTATACTTTATTACTACTTTCGCTTTGAGGATTAAGGAAAAGATTCAACTAACCAAGCAAACTACCCAAGATGGCAGTAACAGTAACAGATAGAAGGATTTTACCAACGCTAGAAACTAATTGAGTTCCTATAGACACAGTAACAGGACTGCTATTACTTGCAGTCGGAACTGTGGATGATACAGCTGATCCACTTGACTTTGCAATAACCTGGCTTGAAATTGTACTTGCAGAAGCAGACAATGTATTAGTAGATGATGCTATATGAGGTTTTCAAGGAAGGTTAGTAAGGAGAAAGCAATTAAGGAGAAAAAAAATCTAGAGCGATTTTCATTTTCTCTTTTCGTTTTCCAACGATACGTACCTTCAGATACTAAGGAAGAAGAGGCAGATGACCAGGAAGAAGCACTAGCAACAGACAAACTTGCTTTGGTAGATGTGGCTGAATTGCTAACTGCAGAAGTAGTAGTAGTAGCAGTAGTAGTAGTAGCTACAGGAGTAATAGTGGTAGTAGTAGTAGGGACTTCGGTTATATAGTTGGAGATTTGGTCTTGGCTGATAACAGACTTCCACCAAAAGATATCAGTATTAAGAGCAGGCAAAGTAGGTTCAGCATCATTGCTGGTTTCGTCTATAATCATCTAGATTAGCACTTAAACTTTTGCATACCGCCATTGACTTCTCTCTCTTACCTTCTTGACAAAAAGCCAACTGATGAAGAGCAAGGACTGTCAATAAGGATAAGGCTTTTTCAAACTTCATGATGAATTGTAAAGAAAGGAAAAAGAAAAAGAAAATAAGTATCAATTTATATACAACATGTCTCTCCTTTCTCCTATTCTCCCCTTTCTCCCTTGTTTCTTTATCGTAAAGTACAAGGATGATGATAACGCAGAGATCTACAAGGTCAATATATACATATTCAGAGTAAAAGGGTTACATAAGACCAAGGGATAAAGTAAAGAGATGAAAACATTTATTTACAAATGATTTTGAATCTATGAAAGAAATTATAAAATACAACTTTTTCTTTCACTGTCAATGCATCATTTGAACGCACAAAAAATTAAAATAAATGTTCTCAGCACCAACGACGATCATAAAGAAAAAAAAAGAAGAAAGAATATATGTATAGGCTGTCATTTTTTAGATCCTTTAGATAAGGAGCTTTTCGATTTGAGTCTTAATGTTCAAAATTTGAGGCTTCAAGTCAGAGGCTTCGTTGGTGGTGACAGAGGCAGCAATGACAGGACGAGAAACGCCACAGGCACGACCCAAGGCAGTCTTGGAGGGAACAAAGACGTAGGGAACGTTCTTGTCTTCACAAAGGAGAGGAAGGTGAAGAAGAATTTCAAGAGGCTCGGTATCAGCTGTAAAATAAATGAATATCACATAAACACGCAGACTACAGAAAACAACTTACCAGCCATGATGATGAATTCGGAAATACCTCTGTTCAAGGTCTTGGTAGCTTCGTTAGCACCCTTCTTCAATTGCTTGTAATGAGAGGCTTGTTGAACGAGATCAAGAATGGTGCTGGTCAAAGCAGCATCAGCAAGAGGGAAAGCCTTGGGGTTAACAGCAGCAGACTATACACGAAGGGTGAGTATAAAATAAGAACATATAATCAAGGTGCTTACCATGATTAAGAACTAAAGAGAGAACAAGTATGAACAGGTCTTTTTTTTTTTTTGCTGTCATAATAATCTCTAGAAAAAGTTTTAAAGCAGTCACATAGACTGTCTTTTTTTTTCAGATTTGAACAGCGTCCGCTGTCGCCCCTTTTTTGAAACTCATTTTGTCCTTTCACTGAAGTTTACCACTATTGATTTTAATTGTAATGGAATTGATATAAACAGCTATATATAAAGAGCATGTTCCGGCAACTCTCAAATTGATTTATTGGTTGTTAGATAAAGCTTTGAAGGACGTTTAAAATGGGTATTGCTTCACTACTTAAATTTAAAAAGTTCCCTTAAGTAGCGAGAGTATAAATAAGTCGCACTTTTAGTGCACCTGTGCGCCGTAAATTTAATGTATTGAAAGCGAACTAGCGTCAACTACTTTCTTTATATTACAACACTATGTATTATGCGGATTCCATTCTACGTTTCCTTCTTCGATGTTGATAATCAAGACAGTAATAGGCTTTGCGATGGTACTCATTTTTCTTTCTTAGTGGAATAACCATATGCGTATATTTATAAGATAAAGATTTTTTTATCGTTTTTTCTTTAGCTTTATTGCTTGTGAACATTGCACTATACAATCCATAGGTTATAGTACAATGTAATTGGTTTTTTAATTGTTGTTTTTTTTTCTTGAGATAGTACATCAAATTGCACATCTCTTTCATTGCCAACAGGGATTGATTTAAGGAGCATTGAAAAGAAAAGAAGGGCTCCCTTGCATAAGTGTGTCTTCATAATTTTCTTATCGTATTTTACATATTCACATACAGATTTAAATTGCTGGAAAAGGAGTGTTTGGGACGCATAGGTTTTCAATGTAAAAGAAGCCATAATGCGATAAGCATAGTTATTATTCATAACTGAAAAGGAAAAAGGGTTGGTGGGCATAAATCCACCGTTATAAAAACGCAGCTATGGAAGGCATATTGGTTTAAGGAGTGTGTTTTAAAAAATTGTTGCAGCAATCTGTTTGATGAAACGAATGAAATGGGCGATGCAGAAACTAAAATTTTTCGCTGCATACTTTGGCTTGGTATTGTAAGCTCTACTGGCAAATATTTTAAGCTTGGCCCAAGGAAAGGTTCAATACCATTTTCATCGATGTTGTCTTTGAAGTTACCTGTTACAAACAGCTTTAGGTGTCCTAGTCCAACAGATAGCATTGAAAGGTTATAGTTTAGTATTTGTCCTTGTATCAAATTATCCAGTGGCCTGTTGCTATGGGTTATTCTCATATTTTGAGCGCAACCATCCATCTCCGAATTTCCATGGTAATATGGCTCAAGGCTTGTCATAAAAACCAGCTATTACTCAGAAGTATGAAAACACTTCAAAAATTGTGCGGCACGCTCCTCAACGGCCTCATGCAACTGCGTTGTATCCTCAAATGCATAATCCTTAGCCATTTTTGATCTGTAATGTTTCTTTCGCTTTGATCAATGTATATCCCATTAGAATCTCTGAAACGAGCAGATGCAATAGGAACCCCCAATGATTCTGTTTCCAAATTGTTGATCTCTGTCTCACCGAACTTGTAATAATTTTTTATGTAGTTTTCTTTGATTTTTTCGAGGCTCAAGATTAGGCTTTCAGGAGTACTTCCTCTGCTTCCATGTGGTTATTAGAGAAAAAAAATAAGAATCAAGTATATAGAATGACTTTTCCAATGTTCATGCTTGAATTGCTATGTAACACTCCAAGCTTATACAGTCATGCTGCTTATGAACAGCTTTTGAAATGTGTCCCTCTTCCCAAGTATTCTTATCGTTGGTCTCGATATGAATTCCCAGATCTTTGACTACAAGAGCCAAGCAAAGCTCCTTCGGTAGCTTCAAAGAAGCGAATTAACTCTCAAATGGGCTGAAAGTAATGGACTTTAAATGAGTGCTGTTCTGTGCGATGTGTCTTAACTTTCCATAGCCTTTGAAGTCACTAGGCAATACGATGTGTACCAGTGTCTTGAAGTACAAAGCTGATATGTTGTCTTCTTCAAAGCCCATACGTGCTGGTACATAGAGTACCCGTTGGCATTCTTTTCAAAGTAACTTATTGCTGATCGCAAAGTTGCATTTATCTTTCCAGCCTGGAAGATAATCGATTGTATCAATAGGTAAAGTACTAAAGAGCAAAAAATGAAGATTAGATTAGGCTCAGTTCTTGCGCAAGATTCAAAGCATACTCTAGAGTAACCATAATGGAAGTTTCCAGAGAAAGGAGATAAGAATACGACAAGATGGAATAAGGCTCTTTAGAATCATTTATGAACAGAGTAAAGAAAGGGATTCGTGGCAAAAGGGAAAATTGATATTTATATGCAAGAATAAATGTTGTCAACCAATTACATCTAGTAAATTATATCACATGATGCTTAATACGAGGCATTATATTATTATAAAGCATTATGTACGTGAGATGAAGGAGAAAAGAGAAAGAAGCATGTGGAGTCTTTTAATGACAGGGTGCATCAGTTTATTGACTACGTTTGTGAATATGATAGATTGACGCATATATAAGAGAAATTGGAAGTATCAACCAACTATAATATGTACTTGGAAACATACTATGATACATAGCATCAAGTTTATTTCTTGCACAAACGCAAGATTTCATTATGTACAGTGCTTGACTGTATCAAGATAGATAGTCTTTTACAATTGAGAATACATGTATTTTATATACTGCTTTAACCCAAGTACAACTAATCAATAATACACTTGTCTATGACAAAGTTTACGATCGTCCCTATTTTAATCTTCATTTTTTGAACTGTCCAAATTAAAAACGTGTATCTAAAGATGTCCACGTGTTCTAGAAGCATAAAGTGTTTAATCGTTAATCAGAAGCCAATCTTGATTAGTATATGTTGTATAAAGAACTTTCTAAATGTGAGAATATGCAGGGTGTCTAGCAAAACTTAAAGCTGTACTGGTTTAACAACATTTTATTATTGTTTGACAATGCAGTTACTTGTTAATTTTCTGCCAAAACAGAATATTTCTTGTAGGAAATCCCTTTTTTTACGACGACACCGGAACTCAGCTTTGTATACATAAATATGTATGCTCCACATGCTTTGCAGAATTAATGCATGCATATGATTTGCAAACTAAAAAGAAACACATGTATTTTACTAGCTAATTTTAGATTTTAATAATAATAGCATCATTTTTGCCAGCATATTCTGTCCAGCTGCCATCATAAACTGCTAATTTTTTAGCGCCTGCTCTTTCAAGAGCCATAAAAAGAATAGACGCTGTGATGCCGCTACCTGAAATTGAAATTAGTAAATGCAACAAAACTAAAATATATAGACTTACCACAACTGGTAATGATTTCTCTCGAGAGATCGACGCCTTTACCTTGAAAGATTTGCTTCAGCTTTTCGTCATCGTAAAGTTTGCCGTCAGGGCCGATTACTTCATTAAAAGGAACACTAATGGATCCAGGCATATGGCCTGAATTAAGCCCTTCACGAGGCTCCGGAGCTTGACCCGTGAATCTCGCATAAGGACGAGCATCCAACACTTGAATGTAATCTTCATTGGACTGAGCTTTACGCGCATTGGCCAGTATGGTAGGATAATCACGTACAATCTGTGTGTTGATCGTAGGTGTTTCATAATGCTTCTCTTGAATCTTTTCAGGAACGCCGCTTTCGGTAGGCCCATCCCAGGCAGGAAGTCCGCCATTAAGAACAGAGACAGTATCGTGTCCAAAGGCCTTTTACTGTTTAGCTTCAGATAAACAAATGAGTCACTTGTGTGTTACCTTGAAGGTCCAATAAACTCTACAAGCAGAAAACACGCCAGCTGTATCATAGACAACCACATGGTCATGTTGATCGATGCCCAATTTGCCTTTTTTTTATCCGTGAATAGATGCACGATTAGATGACATATTTAGCTTACCAACAGCATTTGCAAAGACTTCAGGTGAAGGAAGCATATGAGGAAGGTCAGTCGAGGTATCCTTGATACCATCAATATGGAAAAACTGACTTTTGGCTATCCTCTTCTTTAAGAATTCATCGTAAGGGTCACGGTTACTGTTCGGCATATGCCATGAACCATCCAGTATTTTGACGTTTTCAAGGTTTGACTTTAATTCCTGCACGGAGATTAGACTTGCAAAGGAACGTTTCTGCAACATGGTGTCTACATGACATTATGAAATGACTTTTTTTTTTATATTATTCAAACTCTTACACTGTCTTGAAGTCACTGTCAATACTTGTTTAAACATATAAAGTAACACAGATAAGATGGAAAAAAGAGAAAAAATAAATGGATAGCAGAAATTGAAGATTTTCTGCTTGATGACGTTCAAAAAAAGAAAGAGGGCGTACACAGTGAGACGGTTTTAATAAACAACAGTTGGTGATACCTTTTATGCAATTAATTTGTGTATACTTGTTTTTATGCCATTGATATAAATGGACCACGCAGATTATATCGCTTTTTTTTCCCTTTTTATTTTATTTTATTTTTTAACTCAATTCACTTTACTATTATCAAAATGTCAACTTATATAAACGAAAAGTCGTCTTGTCCACGGCCGTCGATCGTGCCTATGGAGACAACAACGACTGTAATAGATATACCAGATGAAGGCTATGGTAATATAATTAAAAATGATTACCCCTTAAAATAGACTTACCGAAAATTATATAGATCTAAGCAGCAAAGAACAAATGAATGCCTTTGCAAACGAACAGACAGTGCATACAAGTGGATCTAAAGAAAGAGTCATTATCATTGACGATCCACCAAGATATGAACACACACGGGATGATGTAACATCCTGTCCAAAGTCTAGAAGATTTGTACTCTGTTCAACAATGCCTATCACAAACACTATCTTGTTTCAGTGGCTACATAGGCAGTACAAAGATAACAATAACAGATATGCATTTCAAATGGCTGTGGCCTTTACGATTGCCGCCCTGTTTGTCGTTATTGATCCAGTCTCAAAAGTATTTCATAACCCTTTTTGGATGGGTATGGGAATTATTACCATAATTACTCTCTCTACTCACACATATTTATTAGGCGTGGCCGTGGTTACTGTGCTGGATAACACAGTGGGCGGATTTTTGACATTAAGCATTCAAAGAATCTTTGGTACTATCATTGGTGGCAGCGCAAGCATTATCATCATCACAATTACTCGAGCCATCTTTAATTTGCAATGGGATTGGAGAGCTGAGGTCGTTCTCTGCATCTTAATGTTTATCCAAATATTTTTTATTTCCAAAATCAAGCTGATCCCGAATTATTCTTATGCAGGAAGCATTGTAAGTAACACATATTTATCTCCCATCATTATTAACAATAGATCCAATCAGGGCTTATTAACCACTGTCATCATTTTATTATCTGGTTACGAAGAAATCACTCATGAGGGATTATCGTCAGCAGCACAATTAGGCGCATGGAGAGTGTGCAACATGATTATCGGTGTTCTTATTGCAATGTAAAACCTGATCAGTACCTTGATATTAAAAAATATTCATCATATTTATCTAGGGTTGCATCTTGCTGTGTGTTCCCGGCCCGTGCCATTGGTGTCATGCGCACTAATCTCGGAAAGTCAATGGACGAGGCTGCCAACTTATACGAGAGGTCAGCGGAATACTATCTTGATCTCACGCAAGATAATATGAACGAATCCTTAGCATCAAGATTAGAGCGGAGAATCTCGACACAGATCACGGTTGCACCCACACCGGAAAATAATGGAAATCAAGAGACACCGCAGATCTCTATCAAGGAAACCCTTCAACGTATCTTTTCGACAACGTCAGCTACTTATAAAGAACCTCCCACGGATCAAGATGTTGAGGATATATCCCGATTCTGGGACCACGACGAGATCACACGTGTTAGTAATGAAGCTATCACAGTCCTTTCTCGTTTACAGACAGAGTCAACGCGGCTAAAGAATGTATCAAATGAATACTATCTTCAAATCTTGTTCCATTTCCTAGGAGGAGGCAAGGAACGATGTAAACGGTATCTCCGACGAACCATGAGGTACAATGAGGCAATCGAGGCTATGAAACGAGTGGTCTGGCCATTGGCTTCATTTAGACTCCTCTTCCCTTTAATTAATCAATCAGGAAATGATCAGAATGCATGCGCAGTACAAGCGCGCACTACACCTACCCGTGAAACCCTCGAATGTTTTGCCAATAGTCTGACTGTCATGCGAAAATTAGCGACCATCCTTAAAGAACATAATCGACCACTGAGTGATTTTTCGGAAGACTGGGTCGAAATTCATCGGATGGTCCATGCGGGAACTTTCCATGCTCAGCAGGAACTGAAGGAAACGATCAAAATTGGTATTCATCATCACAACATGGATGGACTTAAGTTGCTATCATACTATGGTTTCATCGTTCGGTGTTCCATGATATGGGACGGCCTCAAGACAGTGGTAGATAAGCTCAGTCCATTAAACGGAACTCTAAGTCGCGCCTCATCTTTTGGTTCGAAACCTTTACCTAATCGAGAGACTTTGTATGCACCAGAATAAATAAATGATTTCCTTGATAAAAAAAATGTTGTACGAATTAGCCTCAAAAGTCAGAAAGTGCCATAATAAATATAGAAATCGGATATCCATCTTAAAACATTGACATATATGCAGTGATATTTGTCTTGTTCAACCTAAAACAATCTCCCTTATCTTCTTTTTTTTACTACTGAGCTTATTCTGCGGCCAAATTGTTTTACTCTATGCATAGATGTCCATTGGTTATCAGCAATTATTAAAAATGGCTCGTTCTGCATAAACGCTTGTTAATATTAAAATGTGAGTTTATTTATTTTGGTTAGCGCCATTTTAGGCTGCTAAAGTTTACCACAGATGACACAGATTCATATTTTCATATGAGGGAAAAATGGCAAAAAGGGGGATAGTCTTTTTTACACAAGGTAGAAAATTCATAACAGCCTTATCTCTTACTGTGCATGTATCCAGGTTACATTGCATAAATAGAAAATAATTGTTTCCATAGTTACAACTATATTTGTTTATATTAACAGTATTCATTACAAAGCCTTTATGTTTTCTAGTCAATCACATTTTATGCAAGAGCTGCAGCCGTGATTAGAAAAAAAAGATTCACACATAGAGGTAGAGTTTCTGCTATGGTCAATCATATGGTTCTTGGCACTTGTATAAAGTTAGTAATATGCTTAGCGTTATTTTTTTGTTTGGTTTTGTTTTGGGTTCAAGGGGGGTTACAGAGAGGTAACTGAGCCATTATGGATAAAAGATGTGGCACATGCAGTGTAAATATGAAAAAGATTTTCATGTAACTCAGTCAAGTATTGGTAACTGATATGGCACAGGAACAATGTTTAAGCTAAAACAAACAAACACACGTGCACACGCTAGTCTTGAGAAAGCTTATAGAAAATAGTGAAAGAAACAAATGTGCATTGGTTAATCCTTTGTATTGATACCAAATATAGAATAAAAATGAATGAACGGACAAGTTTCAGTGGCTCTCTTAAAATTTTGAGTTAAATAAACATCCATTGTTTTTTTTTTTTAAAAAAAAAGGCTCTTCTCACGGTCAAGGAACAGCATGAAAGAACAATAAGATCCAGGACCAATGGCGAATTGCATTTTTTTCAAGAACTGCTTAAAATGATTTTACCCAACGTCATTTGATAGGAACTTGAGTAAGCAACAATAGCTTATCCCCCCTTTTCTGATACCAATCATATTAGCATCATCTTTTTTATAAATCAAAATAGATGAAATAAGCAAATGAAAACCCCAAACATAGTTGTAATCTGCTCATGATTAGCAACCATCATGTATATTTTTGCTTTTAATTTTCATACATGTAATGAGTCATTATTATCAACTAACTATTAAGCATAATATATGCTCGCTCGATTAATAAATCATGTGCGCTTTCTTAGAAATAATATCAGCTTTCGGATACACTGTAGCTATTTTACAGGGTTTCAACCTACAATTGGACAATTAGAAAAATTGATTTGACGATTTATGCAATCTTTAAAAGCTTTGAGACATGTAACAAAAAACAAAGAGATACTTTATTGTTGCTTTGTGTACACGAACCAAAAGATTTGTAGACGATCGTTCGAGCAGACATTTACCTGTATGAAATAACCCTGGCGATAACCAAAGTGGTTAAATTTGTCTTTGTTTTTTGTTCACAGAGCTTGTGCTGTCATCGAGTCTGCTTCTTTTCTCTGGCCTTTTAAAGCGCGCAGGGCTTGCACCTGTCTCCCTCAGTGATTTCAGAATTAAGGCAAAATTAAGTGTTGCCGCTGTGTCTCTGTTGTATAAACGCCTTCTTTCTTCATTTTCTAAACAAATGACATTCTTGCAGCTAATAATTCATTAGCTATTATTGCCGTTTTAAATTAAAATGATTATTACCGTAGGAGACCATAGCAGATGACTGTTCCTCTGTTCACCCTTTGCTTCTTTCTTGGATTCTGAACTTTCTTAAATGGTTTCAGCTGATGTTCCTTACATTCTGGACATCAAGTCGAGGTTTTATATTCGTTTATTAAATAAACGGAGAGGCCATTCTTTTCTAATGCTCACAGCAAGCCTTTGTTGTGAGTGGGCTCGTGAAAATTCATATTTGGTACAGATCAACCACCAATCACCAAAACTGCATTTGGTCCAAACCTGTTCTTTACGTTCTTCATCTGCTTCTCATTGCACTTGTCATAATACAGCTTAAAAGGAAACTTCATCTTTCTAAAAGGGAGTAAGAACAGTTTCGACAGTATTTTGTGTGCTTCATGCATCATGTCCTTTTTCTTCTTTTCGTAGTTTTCTGTCGTTTCAAATCCACTGATATTCAACCAGCCAAGTGTTTCTTTAATGATATGTGACAGCTGGTTAATTTCTACTTCTGCTAATCCTTTCTGCGGATGATGAACGGACAATAAAAGCCGCAAATGGTAGAGAAATTTATCACTGTCAGTTCTGCTGATGAGCATTCTTCAAGGTTTCTGTCAATATCTAGTAGGAATCTACGGATATGAGTGATGAATAATAGTCGATTTCCATAATATAAATCACCACTATCAGTTACTTTAAAATCAACAGGCTCAGAAAAATCATGTGGCACATTATCAAGGGTCTCGTTCCCCTAATACTTTTTCAATATCAGTTCTACTTTCGCCTTTGCTTGTAGATCCTCCACGAATCTGGCTTGATCCACTGTTGATGAAGGAATTTCCGCTAATACAAGTTTGGCAGATTGGATGGCTGTCGACTTCAGTGCTTTCCTTAAATATCGGTAACATTTTGTATTTTTGTTCCTCTCACACATGGTGAACCAGTATAGTTCTTTTTTTTTTTTCAACTGCACTAGTCTCTTTCATAAAGTATAGAATATATCGTCTACCAGGGACTATAAGGACACTAAGGACACATTTGTCTTTCATCTTTAGTAAACCTTCATTGTCCAATTCCTCGATATTGCTGAATTCATCTTTTTCCATTTTTTTATTTGACATGGATCTATTTGCCGTAGTGCTACTGGCACTTTTTTCTTCGCCTTTGTTCTTTTGCCGGCATCCTATATCAACATTTTGCTTCAATATAGAAACACCGACACCATCGGTTTCAATTGTTCCTTGAAATCGTAACGACTTATTATTTCCTTGTGCCTTGAACGCTCTGGCAGAAAGATTTACCATCTTGCCCCATATATCAAATTTGGCATCCTTGAGATTCTTTGCACGCAATACATGGTAATTAACAATTGCTTAGTCAATTGTGACGTATAAGGGTATATACGTTGTGCGCAATGGATAGATCGCAAATGACTTGAACTTCTTCGACTCTTGATCGAACGTCAGTGCTTCATATAATTGTGCAAGTTTATGGAATACTTTAAAATAGTATACAGGGTGAGCCTTCACATCATGGTAGATGGAATCTTTCAAAAAAGTACAGTCTTCCCAGTATTCATAATTTGACGACGGGTTGTCCAGATGCGTACAAATTTGAACGAAAAGAAGATATAGGATCAAAAAAAAAAAAAAAGTTTTTATATTACTATATTTCATTTTACGCTGCACAATTCGAACTAATAAAGAAAAGAATGACTACAACAACCAAAATCACAAAGCTCGAAGTGTAATATTCTTGGTTGCCTCCTCAGAATATCTATCAGCGGTCATTTTTTGTCGAAGTGTGCCTGAATTTGTCTTTTTTTTTACAGATTAAATTCAAGCACTGCCTTACTCGAACGCTAAATTGCGAACTGATATTATTAATATACGCGGTTTTTATCTTTGTACATTCATAAAGAGCCGGTTTCTTAGCGTGTGTAAGTTTTGGTGAAGTATAATCAGCATATTCAAAGTATAAATCCTTGTGTTTTGCGGTATGTCATTGCCATAGGTTTGAGCTGCAATTTTCCATTTCCGCTTTTTTTCCCACCTCATACTTGTCTTTCAACGAGTGATAAAAAAAAATTTTCATAAAGAAATCCTTGTTGATAGATTCGTGTATACCAAACGAGCTATTGACATCGAATTCCTTCAGGAAGATGTATTTTGCAAAGGCATATGTGTGTGTGACTAGTGTGTATGTAACACCTACGAGTTCATGTCATGGCTTTTGGAATTCAGGTTTCCATATATTTTTTATAGTTGTTTTTGTCGCGATGACGCATTTTCTCTGGTACATATAAAAAATAACTATAAGGCACGGTACCATTTTTAGCTTTTGTACTTGCATCTTCACGGCCTTCGTCTTCAATATTCATCTTTCACCCTTTCAAATTATGAATAAAAGAGAAATAAGACAATAATGTAATAATACAAATCATATTTATAATATAACTTTACTGATTTATTAACAGGGCTGACAATATTAATTAAAAAAGAAAAGCTTACCATGTTGTGCACTTGTTAGATTAAAGAAACATATTCTTTATGCTATGAAGCACACAGCATGATAGCCTGAATGGATATTAATGCATAATGATGAGATCATCTTTATATTATGGATTGAAATCTCTGTAGTATTTTTAAATCAGGCAGTTGCCGAAGTGAACAGCAAAGATATGGTGGTATAATTATTACTAAAATGCCAGCTTCTCTTTTCCTTTTCAGACAGAGCAAGAATCATGCAACTTACAAAAAAGTCACACTTGCTTTTTTTCCTTCTTTCTTTGAGCTACGGCCTTTTATATGCAACCATTCAACAAATACTACCCACCTGACTGGACACCGGACAAGGTATATTCATAAAATTATAGCTTTATAAAAGACAAACTAATAAAGTTCTAGGGTTCCATCAACACATATCAAGGAAAGCATGCGTTAGGAGATAGAGCTCGAAAGCTGAAAGAAGGCATTCTAATTGTAAGGTAAGTTGTATAGATTAAAATAATCATACAAACAATTCACTCTTTTTTAGATTTGAATTACCATACAACATTTGGTGTTTGGGTTGTAATGAGCATATTGGACAAGGTGTGAGATATAATGCAGAAAAGAAAAAGATTGGCAATTACTATAGTACACCCATATACCAGTTTCGAATGCGATGTCATTTATGCAGTAATTGGATAGAGATTCATACTGATCCAAAGGTACTTTTTTGAGGGCTTCCCTATATAGCATATGCTCATAGTGAAATAGAATACAGCCTATGTTGTTGTCAGCGGTGCACGAAAGAAAGTGGAAGAGTGGGATCCAAAGGATACGGAGGTCATCCAGTTCCAAGACGAAAAAGAAAAGGAGCAGTTGGAGACTAACCCGATGTTTCGATTGGAACATGAGGTGCTTGATAAAAAGACACTGGATGATTCAGTGCCGCGCATTAGCCAGTTACAGCAACTGAACAACCAGCAATGGGCCGACCCTTATACACGTTCACAACAGCTACGAAGAAGGCTTCGAGAAGAAAAAAAGATGGACAAGGCAGCAAAGGAAGAAGCAGACAAGATACGAGATAAACATTCACTACATATAGAATTGTTACCCGAGATGCCTGAAGATATAGTGAAAGCCAAAAGTGTAGAGTATGACACAAGCCATCTACTAGATCAAAAACGATTAGAAACGGCCGTATCACCGTTATTCCGTAAAATCAAGACAAAAAATCAAGCAATTCATTTGGCCAAGATACAGACCAGACTAAAGACGGATCCCTTTTTGAATTCATCATTTTCTAATCGGATAAAACGACCCTCTGATAGTGATAATAAGGATACCAACAAAAAATCAAAAAAGGATAGCAATAATAATAATAATAATAATAATAATAGTAATAGTAATGGAGGTTTAGTGCTGTATAGTGATTCAGATACTGAATAAAACGAATAATTTATTTATTTATTTACAGCCAAAAAGAAGGGTATTAAGCTACAAGTTGAATATCTTGCTTTATTTGATATGGCTCAGAAGGGTTGATCGTTATATTCTCTACGGTTAATAATAGTTGAACATCTTCAATCGATTGATCTTCTCTCGGCATTGTATAAATAATGATTTCAACGAATAATGGAAACTGTTGGAAGAAATCTTCCATATCGGCTGTAATAAGAGGCTGACCATCTTCTAATGGATGATATGTATAGATGTGACCTGTTCTGATTTGTATAAAAATACGGGCAAGCCCAGCTAATCCCCTTACTGAATTTCGTGACTTTAGTTTGTTGACAATATCCTCTGCAATCAACTCAACTGAATCCTCCAGGATGGGTAAACGTTCATCATAGTTTTGATGATATAATTTGTATTGAAGCCAATCTTCAAACACTCGACTAATATGTGATGCAGCTTTTGTGCTCGTATTACCCAAAGTAGGTAACTGAAAATATATGTATTAGACGATAGTAATAATAATAATAATAATAAAGAACTTACAGAAATAAATCTACTTCCTCCATCCATAAAATAAGTGTTTCGATATTTAGATATTCTACTATTCTCAGGGTCTTTCATGATCTTTTCAAATGTAGCCAGAGATTCTTCTTCCTCATATAAAGGTGAATCATGAGAAATATTATCTGCCATAGTGACTACACTGCTCAATGTCTTTCCGTTATCTGTTGTGGTATCATCGTCTTCATTATAAAGCTGAAGTTTATCGACACTCAGTACTTGTTCTTTATGGATGTTAATACAAGTTATTTAAACTAATCAAGAGAGTACCTTTATGTAAATGATAGCCTTGATTTTGAAGAGAAGTGTCAATCCACATGGTTTTTGAATAATTTAGGGATAAAATAGAAAAAAAAAGAAAAAAATCGAAAGGGAATTAAAGTTTTTATTGTTCCATATTTTCCCAAAAGCGCAAAAATAAACCCTACTATTCCCTTTTACACAACATGGGAACATTCTACAACCTTATTACTACTGCTCCATCTGATTTTATAAAGATAGTCGTTCGTTCTTATTTACATCTTGTACATCATTTTAAAAAAGAAGGGGTAATGAATTTGATATGTGAGAGACATATATACTCTAACCAGATAACAACATTCTCCTTGTAATGATATCGATATCTTAAAATACCATCAATATAGCAAAAAAACATTCTTTACAAGTATGAAATCCATGTATACAATTTATCATCATGTTCATGATTGGACCTTCTCACACATAATTTCAGTGCAACATTTTACAAGTTATGAAAGCCGGAATCATATTAAGAGATAAACTCTAGATAAACAGTGAAGGGGGTGCATCTACTGACGTAGTTGTCCTACCACTTGTAAAATGCATAATCTATAATTCTATAAAGAAGAGTAACCTTGATGTACAAAGAGGATCATGACAAGATGGATAGTTTAAAGGTACTAATTGCACGATTAAAGAGCATCAATTTGAACCTTTTGCGCAAAGTATCTTTCTTTTCAAAGATGAATGAAACACTTTGTAACATTCTTAGATACATTACAGGTAGTAAAATCTTATCATGGCTGAAAGAAAACAAGAGCGTTTATGCAGCTCCTATCTGATGTTTCATGCCAAAGCAAACATTCAAAGCGTCAATAATTTGTCATTTCATTGGTTTATATAATGAATTATTATCAATGACCATATCGTTAACTGTGTCATTGCTAAAACGATAGTATATCACTTTGAGTTTTGTTGGGTCACAATGACGCTTATGACTAATTTTTTTTTCTGATAAGACTGTTTAGCGCTTTAATGACGGGCTCCCCTTGTGATGAGCAGAAAAAGTCGGAAAAGTGGCCTGCCTGTTTTTATCTAGCACTTGTATTCAATTTAAAATAATAAATATTATTTTTGTAAGAACAGGACTGAGTACGTGAAGCTAAAATGATACAAGCCCCCTTTTTTTATGGTAAAAAGGCATTGAAAGCACAGCTTAACTTTGAATACCGCTACTAAGTAAACTCTAATAATAAACATATCGTAAAGACTTTTAAAAAAGGGGAGGGGGTTTCAGAAACACGTTGAAAGTAGGATCCATCATCGATAAGTACATCAATTGGAATAGATATAATGGAACTGAGTATTGCACATCCTATTGAACTTTACAAGACGAAGTATATAATCGGCTTTGCGATACAAATAAAGTAAGGCATTAGCTTGTAAAATGACGATCACTGCTAGTATTTTTTCTGTTTTGATGATACACTACGTGTCTTTTCTTCTTGTACGAAATGGTGAATCCGCTTGACTTTTTTTTGCTTAAAACAGGAGTAAACAAAACGAACCAATTAGAGAAGGGGTAAATAAAGTACTTAACACAGTCTTTTGGTACCATTTATTTTTCCTCCTTTTCTTCTTATCCTTAATCAAATCTAAGGTAGGTACAAGAAAACCTTGTCCTTAGGAACAAGCTTTGCTTTTATGTTGGTTGTTTCAGCACTCAAAAAAGCGCTTCATCAGCTTTTATGATTAACATAACTTTGTAACTTTGGACAGTAAGTTTCTCTTTTTGTTCAACAGAAAAATGTTTGTTAGAAACAAGCAGGACATGATTTGCTGAAGAGCAGTAACTGAAAATATTCTTGATAAAAGGAGCACCCAGCTAATCATCTAGTTGTTATGGAAACGGAAAGGTATTTACAACAAATAGGCGTGTATACACTGCATAAGATTCAGCCTGTTAAATCAAGCACTTGAGTTACCCTTAGGTCATATTGAGGAAAGGGAATGAAAGAAAGGAAGAAGAAAAAACTGATTTGTATAAGATCAAGACGAGCGACTCAAAACTCTTTCAGCTTTTTCCCTGAGTTTGAGCTGAGCCAGAGACTTTTGGCCAATAAAAAAAGAAATATACATAGAAGATAACCCCACAACTTGATTGAAGCTTGTTAGGAAATTCACTTTCAGCACAAGCTAGCTTCCAGCGTCTTCTTTCAAAAAGCCCAACTTTCCCCTGTGGGACACGAAAGTTCATTTCATTTCGTGAGAGTAAAAGAAAAGAGTTCTTCTTTTTTTTTACTCTTGCCCCCCGTTTGTTGGCTTGCGAGACTAAGGACAACGGTGGTTAATAACCATCAGGTCATCATAGTACATCGAGTGTTTCTTTCACCACTCGGGGTCTCCAATCGGCTGAACATATTCTTATTATTGACATGATGAATGAAAAAAAAAAAAAACCGGGTTTATTAATGAGATTTGGGTGCAACAACAAACTTGTAGACAACAGCACCAAGAATGGCAAGGGCAGGTAAAATAATGCGCCAGGAGCTATAAGAAATACCAGGGTATGAGTGTGTGAGAGGTACGATGTGTATCACCTTTAAAAAAATAACTTACGAGCCGCTCTTTTGTTCTTCTGGTAATTCACCAGCACGAATAACGTTGACATTGTATTCCTTCTTTTGTGACTATAATAAAAAAGAAAGTTCAGTTTTCTTCCCTTATTCAATCTAGTTCAATTTCTTACAGCTTCATCTAAAACACCAATTTGGTACTTGTCAAGCATCTCACGTGCTTCATCAGAGTGTCCAATATCTTCAAATGCTTCAGTGGCATCCTTGCCTATACACATAAAAGTTAATAATAATGATCATCTTTTTTTTACCTTTATAAATTACCTGCTTCGTCAATCAAAACCTCCTCACCTGCAAGACATTAATTCAAAAGAAAAAAAAAAAGGACGTGTCATTCTTAAATCAACTTACCACCAGGATGCTATTTATTTATATGCAACTAAATTAATACTGATAGTCCAGACATGAATTGTTATTCTTTAAACTTACCTCGACGACAAAAGAAGTGATATCATACACTTTGTTATGAATAACCAACCATAAGTCATTCTTTGACTTGTGTTGAGCAACTTCATTTAAGCTAAAAACCTTGGTAGACATGTTTTAAATAAAAGAGAGAGGGGGGTTAACTAAATAGGAACTGTAATGAACAAAAGAAGAAAAGAAACTTTACTTATTTGCGCCCTTGCTTTTTTTTGGGTTCGCGGATAAACAGCCAGATCGTTCAGCCAATCATGAAGTGTGTAACAATATATTGTGAATAGAACTCAAAGATACGCTCTCTATTTTGATATATATTCCAAGTCAAGCTACGAAATATAATAGTAGTACAAGTATCTTTTTAATGACTTGGTCCATTTTTCTTTAAAGTCTTGACGGTTCTTGTGGATTATCATTTTCGTAATCAACTATTACCCAAATAAGTAAATTACAAAAAGGTCTTGACGAATTGAAACATTCATGTACATTTACGCACACACACACACACACACGTATACGATAATAGAGAGGGGCTAATTCGAAACATATGAGATGGCTTTAATAAATTTGAAAACACGGAACATATACTATGTGATTTCAGAAGCTCTGGTTCTAATTTCTGGACCATCCAGACGCTCCGATATTAAGATCAGAAATATGAATGGAGGGATCAAATGGGCCGAAGCTGGGTTTAACCTTGGCACTAAGGTACTGGTTTTTATCTGCTTGTGTCAGGTTATGACATGGAGAATAGAACACATTTCTTTTTAATACATCATATACATATTTTTTCTTTATAAAAAGAAAAGCACCTAATATTTAAGAATTATATAATGGGTTGAAACCCTACGTATGTATCTACGCACACACACGTACGCGTGTATATTTGAGACTTAAAAAAAAAAAAAAACAAGCATACCACTGAATCTATACAAACACATGGTTGTCTATATATGCGTTCAACTGCATTTACTAATATGTGTAGACTATTATTCCCTATAGTCATCTCTCTTTTTCCTTATTAGACTGCATTAGAAAGGGAGAGGTAGGAGATGATTTGTCTGCTGTTGAAAGCATCACGTCACACGTACCTTTTTCTTTTCCTTAATTATCACTCGTGGGTAATTTTAGCGCGTTATCAGCATTGTTTATAAAGAAAAAATCGTTTATAATGAATAAAAGTGACTTTATATATAATAGAATAATAAAAAAGTGAAGAGAGAGAGAGAGAGTGTGTGTGTGTGCAGACAAGACTTGCATCAAATGAACAGTAGATGAATCAAATAGACAATCCTGACCATGAGATATAAACAAATTAAGATCTAGACTACTAGTGTATCTATATACTCTTAGCACTAAATAAGGTAAAAGATATCCCTTGACGTGTTTGATGTACATTGTTTATAAAGCAATATTCCCTTTCGTCATTACGTTTAAAGCTCAGATAACACAAACATATAAAGTAGCATAACTTTTTCCTATTTTCCCTCTCTCTCTTCTTTTTTTTTTTTCTTTATCTTTATCTTTATATGACCAAGTTAACATTAGACAATATTCATCAAGAGCTTGAATCCGATATCAAAGTCAAAGTAGCAGCGGTAGATATCGATGGTGTATTACGTGGAAAGGTCATGCATAAAGACAAGTTTTTAAACATTGTCAAAGACGGTTTCGGTAAGGTGCACAAGTATAAATTAAACTAAGATTAACATAGATCAACAAAAGGATTCTGTTCCGTTATCTTTGGCTGGGATATCAGCGATAAGGCATATACAACTGCCACAGAGTTTGCGGGAGAAGATGCGTCTTTTTTTGATTTGATTGCCAAGGTTGATCTTGAGTCATACCGTCGTATTCCGTGGGAGGATAACATACCATTCTTTTTTGTCACTCTCTATCATCCTCATACCAACGAACGACTTCATTGCTGTCCACGTAGCTTACTGAAGGATGCATCTGAAGAGTATTCGAAAGAATGGGGTATCACGCCTTACTGTGGTGTCGAGTTTGAATTTTATTGCTTTAAAGGTAAAGTTCATAAAGTAAAATTTCTGGGGGCTTTTGAATCAAGCTATATATTTTGTATATAGAAACTATAGAAAACCTAACAAGCAAAGGATACCAATCACCAACACCGTTGACACTTGGAATGTGTGGATACTCTCTTCTACGTCCATTAGAAAATCAAGAGTTTTACTATAATACGTTTGACTGGCTCAAGCAATTTAATGTGGATATTGAAAGTTGGCATACAGAGACAGGACCAGGCGTGTTTGAGGCAGCAGTGAGCTATAACAAAGCAGTAGAAATGGGCGATCGAGGCACATTATTCAAGACTTCTGTAAAGCAAATTGCAAAGAAGTATGGGATCATGGCTTCCTTTATGGCCAAGCCTTATTCTGATCTTCCTGGATGCTCGGGTCATATGCACTTTAGTCTCAAGAATAAGGAGGGTGAAAATGTGTTTGCTGTAGGTGAAAAGAGTGAAAAGTATCCCAATATGACCAAGATGATGGTTTGGTTTGTGGCCGGTGTTTTGAAAGCATTGCCTAGTATAATGGCCATTCTAGCACCTACAATCAAAAGTTTAAAAAAAAGAAAGAGTTGTAATGGTTGTGCCAGTTATAAGAGACTTGTTGAAAACTTTTGGGCACCCGTCAGTGTCTCTTGGGGATTTGACTCTCGTCATACTGCCATTCGTGTCATTGTACCTCCGTCTACCTCTGAGAGTGCTAGCCGAATTGAAATGGTATGTAGGATATCATGTGTCAGATAATAGAGATAATTAACAAAATAAAAAAAGAGAGTTTCAGGAGCAGATATCAATCCACATTTGGCATTGGCCGCTATCCTCAAGTGTGGTGCTTGGGGAATCAAGACAAAGCAAGAGCTACCAACGGGACCAAGTCAGTCAGCCAAGGATGTAACACATAATGAACGATTAGCTCGTACATTACAAGAGGCTATAGCAGCTATGGAAGCCAAGGATTCTGTTGCACGTATGGTATTGGGAGATAGCTTTGTGAATCACTTTGTCAGTACAAGGAAACATGAATGGAATTTGTGGCAGGTTGCTGTGACTGATTACGAATTGAAACGTTACATGGAGTTAGTTTAAATTCTATGACTTTTTTTTGCCAATAAAAACACGGTTCCTGCCCACTGTGGATCACAGTCAATTACAATTATTCCTTTTAAGGTTATTTTAATTACCATTGTTATCTTTAGCTTCCCTTTAGCTTTGAAATAGTAACAAAAAAGAGGTTTATGATAAAGAGGAAAGAGAGTGTAAATAAGAATATAAATAAACAAAAAAGAGAAGTGTATGTAGACAATGTTTATATCAAATAAAGTATCAGCCTTCTCTCTTTTCTGGGTTTCAAACACTGCTATCTTTACATGCAATCAACGTGGAAAGGAATCTTTTTTTTCTTTCTCTTTATAAATAGTCCCCTCCCCCCTTGTCTTTGCTTTCTCTCTCTCTCTCTTTTTAGCTTTTTATCCCCTTCACTTCTCTCCACCTTTTCTTTTCTTTTTAAAATGAGTGAAAAAATTGAACCTGTCAATAGACAAGATGAAAGAGAGCTCGTACACAGATTGGATAAAAGACTCTTACTCTTTGCTATGTTTGGTAATCTAGTAAAGAGTCTAGATAATTCAAACTTGGGTAAATTACAAATACTCAATGACTGTCTTGCTGTGTATACTCATCACGTTATCTATAGCGAGTGCATTTATCAGTGGTATGGAAGAAGAGTTAAATGTACAAGGAGTGGAATATAACTGGATGGGCGTCCTATTCATGGTGGGCTATTTATCGTAAATAAATAATCAACACCAGAGCGGCATTATTTACTTATTTTTTACATAAATAGTATGCAATTACCGTCCAATATGTTATTATCAAACACGAGACCATCGAGATATTTACCTGCATTGGAACTCATTTGGTGTATTCTAACAGTTGCTATGGCTTGTGTTCAATCTGTACAAAATGTATATGTTATTAGATTCCTATTAGGTCTGGCTGAAGCTGGCTTCTATCCAGGCGTAAGTATTTGTTTATTCTAAGCCCTCCCTCCTTTTTTTGTATGATCATCATCCATCTCATTCTCTCCCTTAAAAAAATTTAGATCATTTTCCTCGTCAGCACTTGGTACACAAAGAAAGAATTGGGCAAAAGACTAGCCTTGTTAACCATATGCGGATCATTTGGAAACGGTTTAAGTGGCGTCGTACAAGCCATCATGCTCAAGACAATGGACGGTGTTTTCGGTATTAGCGGGTAAAGTATATTTTTGTACAATGTGTCACAACAACCTATTCACTCTTGGTAGATGGCGATGGATGTTTCTATTCGACGCCTCTGTTACTCTTTTATTAGCTTACCTTGGATACAAGTATCTACCTGATTATCCTCACAATACAGAATGGTTAGATAAAAGAGAAAAAGAAGTCGCCTTATGCAGATCACAGCAACAACAACAGCAACTACAAGAGTCTACTCAATTAACAGGAATGGAAAAGGTTAAATTGCTAGTCAAAAACAAATATTTGTATCCATTTATGTTTGGATGGGCATGTGTACATGTTGCAATGGGTGCGGCTCAAGTATTGGGTATAGTTATCAAGAAACTAGGGTTTGATGCTATCACTGCCAATATATTAACAACAGTAAGGAGCGGAATGTGAAGAGAGAATGAATGATCACTAAACGTTTTTTTATTTGCCAATTTAGCCAGATACACTTGTAACCATGGTTGCAGGATTATGTAACGGATTTATCAGTGACAGACATCGTACACGTCTATGGTGTATCATTATCCCTGCTTTTGTTGGCCTAATAGGCATTAGGTAAAAAAAACCCTTTAAAAAGAAATATTTCCATATTAAGTCATTGAATGGTAGCATGCTCTCTGCATTCGTACAGCCATTTGCTCTATTATATATGGCCTTTTTGATAACACATGCTGGATTACGATCATTAACTTCTGTAATATATTTCATTGTGTACAAGTATCAGACACTAACTCTCATAATATAGGTCACTATGACGTGGGCAACAGAAACCATTTCGTCTGATATGCAGGTGAGAGCCATGGCTATTGCCATTATGAACACCTCCTCATCTCTCACTTGGACATGGACATCATTATTGCTCTGGCCAGTGACTGATGCTCCTTATTACCGTAAGATCCTTTCAAAAGTACGATTTTTCATAAAGCTTATACATTACATTAGATAAAGGATTTACAGTCGGAGCTATCCTTGTCATCCTCTTCATCTTATCCATGGTTTCAGTTTATTACATGCAGCTTCAAGACCTGAAAAGACCTGTTAAAGAAGGGTTTATGCCATTGGCAACAGATGAAGAAGATGAAGAGAAGCCAGTAGCAAAGAAAATGGAGGAAAGATTTATCATTTAAGTATCTCTATTATATTTCGTCCAAAAAGCATGTATACCCTTCCTTCTTTTATATTGGCTATCTTTGTACATATTCTTTATTTATCGTCATCTTTCTTCTTTTATAAAGAAGTATAATACACGCTTTTTACATTGTCATTGAACTATATTCTGATGACATGGCGTTGGTTCCCTGTTCTTCGTGAATTTGATCACGGAGATATCGTTTGGGATCCACACCATGTGTGTGTTTGAATATATCATCATTTTCTTCGCCTCTTGATCTTCTCCTTCGCCTACTATCACCATCAGTGGATGGTGCTCCACGACGTGCCCTAAATATTGGCTCATATTCCTAATTATCATAAGCAATCTACAAAGTACAACTATGCCCTACACACACCTTGAGCTGACACTTGAATCCATCATTAGGATTGATACAGAGCCGTCTGGCCTGTACACAGTGATAAGCTTGATTGGCGTCCAGGTTGTATTTTTCCATAAGATAAGCAATCACAAAAGCAGGACTTCGAGACATACCGCCATTGCAACACAGTACAACCTTTCCACCCAAGTCAAGAACTCTGTTGATCTGTTTGAAAACATTGGGAAAATGCTGAATCAAGTTTTGCAGGATGGTATCATTCACAATATACTGTTGAAATTCAAAATGTTGTATCAGGGTATCTGTCTTGAATAGTCTTGCTTCTGCCTGATCAATAAAGCACATGATGTGTGTAATTCCTTTTTCCTTTAGTTGATCGATTCTTCTACAGGCTGAAAAGGGACCTAAAAACACTCCGGGCTATAACATGATAAGTTGTTTTTCTTTAATTCACAGCATCTTTCCCTTCTTATTACAATAATCTCTTGAATCTCACGTCGCATTTCATATTGCCAATCATCTACTCCCGCATGTGGGTTCAGTGTGAGGTCAAAATCAGGTAGACCTTGCATGGACAATAAAATATAAAAAGACACTAAAAAAGGGCACTTTTATGCCGCCTTTCTCTCTATAAAACATTTAAATTCTTTGTTTCAAAGCACACAATTTATCCGTTTTATATCCTTTTGTAGAATGAACATTGATAAGAATAGAGAGGTCAGCTGAATAAAATAATGAATAATTAAGAGACCCTTATAGTGAGTTTAAGGATAAGCAACTATTGATTTTTAAGTTGTATAATGGATTCTTTGAGTCTATTAAAATGTATTAGACTTTTTCATCAAATTTTCTGGTTTTTGAACCCATTTTTGTCCTATTTTCCATAAACCAAGCTTCAAGTCGGTTTCTAACTGGTCAACACTCGTCATGGGAAGCTGGCGAGTAATAATATTTCTTAGGTACCAGTCTTCAATCTCCTTTAGCGTCTTGCGGTAAACTATAAGAAAATCGGGTTCAGGTAGGATCTTGTGTAAAAAAGTGAACGTCATCCTAAAGTCTTGTAAGGGTGCATAGATTTCGTCTGACATCTCTGTAGTCGTTGCTCCATTATCTGTGGATAAATGCCACCAATCCCTAATATATATGTATGTCAGATGAGGATTCATTTAGAGAAAGGGATGATTTACTTTTTAGAATACGCTCTTGCATTGTTTGTCCATTCCTTTACTGCAATCTTTACAAAGACTTTTTCTATACGCTCGGCTATTTGGTTATAAGCAGCGAGGGCATCAGCAAATAAGCTATCACTTGAGCCGCTTTCCATTAAACGTGCATAAGAGAGCATTGTGTTTCTGTCTTGAAGTTCTTTTAACATACGCCTCATGCATTCGGTATCTTGCTTAATTTCAAAGTTCAAATCAATAAAAAACTAGAAAAGCAGCACATTAGTACAAATCATAATATCCTCTACTTTCACTTGCCTCATCATCATCCCAGTCCCTAAGCATCTCGCTCATTGCTTTTGCACTTGTCCACCACCTGTAAAGACGATGTAGGGCGGCCAATGTCCCATGTGTCTCATTGGCTGTCATCACCCCTGTCACGGCATCTGGTAATGCACCAGGTGCAGGAACCGAGCGTATCAGACTGAGAGCTTCAAATGAATCTACAGCACTTGAAAGCCGCTTATGGTATTGACTTAACAAATCAAGCTGTATCTCTATAAAAAACTTGAGCTTGTGAGTCAGATGGGGCACTAAGCTGTAGGTGGCTGTGATGCTTTCCAAAAGATTCATCAAACGAATGGCTGATTTTGTCTTTTTCACAGCGTTATTGTTCGTATCCTGCGAATTGATTTCAAATACTTGGCCATCCATCATGATTTCATCATACCTAGCTTGCGAAACTATATATATACATTATGTCAGCCCTTGATCGCTATTCATTCTCTTTATTTACATGTCTTCTCGGCTTGAAACCATGTATTGAACCAAATAGGGTTACCAAGTACAAAGCTAGATACAGTTATATCGTCATATGCGAATTCTTCACTAAGGCTCTTGTCAAACTCCAAGATTTGATGGATAGTATGACTAAGGATGTTGGGTTGCTGAATCGCTTGTGGTATTGATTTATGTAGCTTTCTAAATACATCTTGCAGTAGACCGTGAATGAATAGATCTTTTACAAATACTCTTTCTGGGAAAAAGTCCTTCATGCTGTCAAGTATAGGCTGTACTGTAGTCATTAGGAATGGGATATGTGTGGTAACTGTGTTTCTGACGTGCGTCAAATACCACTCAGGCTATATGTATATTAATAAAACAGTTCGTGGCTATGACTATATGTATTCAACTTGCCTTGTCTAATCGATTTGTTGGTTTGGATGTTTCAAAGTGATACTTGAATCGTAACGATAGATCCTCTAGCATAATTGACACCGGACTCAGCTCACTGACTTGTTGACCTTTTGCAGAACTACAGGACGCGTTGAGTTTTATTGAATCTCCCTCTCTTTTTAAACAGGAAACTTACGATTGCTGTAATATGATCAGGTGACGAAAAGCTGATTCGAATTTTTCTAGTTTCTCTTTGATTTGTGGACCATAAGGAGGCTTAATAGGCGTCGGCCAAGACAATGCACCAAGTGCACTCTTGAAACTCCTTTAGATGTTGAGTCAGTATCCTTTTTTTGTCTTTTCTGTATTGAAACACACTTTATCAATACCGCATTCAATTCCTCCCAAAGTTGCGTCTGTCTCTTTTTGAGATAATCACAAAGTTCACTGTATTGTCCGTCAGCCATTGGCTGGCTTGAAATATATCTTTCAAATTTAACAAGTTGTTCATAGGGTTTTATAGCTTTCCCTGGATCTGTTTCAACATAGTCAAGTGCTTGAGAACTATGGTGTGGTCAACATATGATCCTCTTTTAATTCTTTATCATTTTTTTACCTTAGCTCGCATGCAACAAGTAAAGCCTTGATATAATTTCTCGCGTTATCTACTCGTCTAAGCTTCTCTTCAAGCTGCTTCAAGTGTATTAAAAGTTCATGTTGAGATGTAGTTGGTGTTGAATGATCTGCTTCGTATTTCTCGACATGTTGTTTTATTTCTTCAAGGTTACCAAGTAACTGCTGAAGAGCCTTTTGCTGAGAGTTTAAGTTTTCTTCAGACTTGATCAGCGCCTCTTTTGAGGCATGGGCTATTTTATTCAACTATGACGCATTACTGGTTATTACCACTTTATGATTAAAGCATTTTAAATTTACTTTGGCATCCAGTTCTTTCTGTTCAGCCTTTTGGGCTTCTAATAAGCTCTTTAGTTTAGCAATTTCCAAATCGTTAGTGGATTGTATGTGTGAGACCAAGAATTGATTAGTATCATCTAATAATGCATCACTCATGTTTTATTGTTTTAAAAGTAAAATGTTCTGTCACTGTCTCACTGTCTGTGTTCCACACACATATTTAGAATTTATTAAATGACCGCACTGGGTGCGCTCACACACACGCGTCTAACGTTAAAGAGCGATTAGAACAGAACAGAAAGATGCAAAGAACCAAGTAAAATCCTGGCGAAGATGCACTGCTTCATCGCCTACTACCTTACATTCATTGTACCTAAAGACATCAGTGACCGATTATATGCTCGATCTTACATGAATTGGATCAACTACAGCTCCCTCTTTCTCTGTCTAAAGTACACATATATTCAAAGATCCCTTGAATGAATAGTTCAATTTCTCTAAGTTGTTTTATTCCAATACTGTTCTTTTTCTTTTTCTTTTAACTCTTGATCGCAAGGGGTTTTCCCTTACTACTTAGATAGGTAAATATGGCATCTTGGGGCAACGTTACTCTCCAGAAGTGTATATTGCTGATAAAATGTAACAAAAGAGCAGAAAATCTACCTTCAATGAGTTTGTAGCAGAAATATAGATAGGGTAAACGTATTGCTAAAGAAAAAAGAAAAGAAATGGTCAGCCTATTTATAATATAATCGTAGGATGTCAAACTAAAGTAAACTTCATATTAGACTTTTACGGCAGATTACTCCACATGCTAAGAGTGAATTTGGAGATACAAGCTTAACAAAATATCTTGTATACAAACGCTGAAGATAAGTGTAAATGGTTGTATGTGTAATTTGTGTTTTTTAAACTTAAATACCCTGGATACTCTATACGTGTTTGAACACTTTTTACGTGTTTGAGCATGCTGAACAAGAAATGCTGTATAAAAACCACATTTATGCCTCAGGAACGTAACTACCAACGGACTGCCTATTGCATATCATCCAATAGAAAGATAGGAAAGAGGCACATCGCCTAGCGACAAAAAATTCATGCAACAGTTCCAACTCAGGATCCCCTTTTTTGTTTTTTCAAGGTCACAGATGTAAACAGATAAAAAAGCATAAAAGGTCTTTTTTCACTCTTCTTTTCTTCTCTTAAGCTTTTCCGGTTTACCACAGTTCTGATAGTAACCTTTATGATGCTTGAAGAAGTAGGTAGCCTTTCTCTCAAAAAGGAGGGATTAGCTTATCACAATTTTTATAAAGTTACTTCGGTGGCTATCTTTTATTACTTCGGAAACGCTGTCCCTTGCGATTGTGGCTACAATGCAACAGGGTGAGCTATAAACTAATAAATAGAATAAATCTGCCAAATGATTCAAGCCTTCAAATCCAAAACAAGGGGCGTTTTTACTTTACTTTTTTTGCCATGCTTCAACGTTCACGCCGCGTCGTACCTTGTAAAAACCCGGCAGAGCGTGTAACGCCGTGGAAAATGGTATTAAAACGATAAAAGTAAAACGCCCTAAAAACTTTGCAACCATTAGTAACTAAGTTTGTGGCAATAAACATTATGAAATAAAACTTTTCTAAATGCACTTTTTTTGGCTGCTAGTAAAAATATATGAAAAGCCTCAAAATAAGTTGGCTATTCTTTTGAGATCATATGATTCTTTTATTTGCACAGCCTCTCTTTTTTTTTGTTTTTCTGTCTTTCTTTTCTGTAAAGAAAAAAGCCTTTTATTGTTGACAACATAAAAATGCCAAACTGGCGTGAACTTCCTGCTGAGATTCTGGAAAAAATATTCAGCTATGTTAAACAAGATTGGAGATACCAGCCAAGCTGGTTAACACAGTATCAGTTGACTTGTAAAAGCTGGAGTCAGACAGCAAGAGAATGCCTGTATGGTGAAATCACGTTTGATAGCGTCACAATAATGGAGAGGTTCATCAAGTGTATGCAAAATAGTCATTCAGGATGGTTTACTAGGACGATAACTTTTTATGGCAACAAAATCAGTAGGTCTAGAGATAATCCAGAAGATTATCAATATATTTATTGGACCGTCTCTTCGCAGAGTCTTTCTGAGCTTGCCAAAGTCTGCCCAAATGTAGACCACGTTAAAGGTGGGCTTACTGGCCGTGATCAATGGCTTACTCTTGGGACAGTTACAACAACATGCTGGCAAAACATCAAAGAGCTCCCTTATCCTACGCGGACTGATTCAGCGGATGACTGTGGACTTCCTTACTACATCGATATCGCCGTTACTTGTCGCCAGACACTGACTCATCTGTATTGGCCACGATATCCCTCTTATGCTGCTGCTTTAGCCCCTCAGTTACCAACCTTTAGCAACTTGACACACTTGGCTGTGAATGATGTTTCTTCTTCAGTTCTCATGGACTATGATGAGATTATCCAGTGTTGCCCAAATTTAGTGTCTTTAAGCTCAAATTGTATCAAATATGAATGGGACATAGGGTTGCCAGACAATTACTCGAAGAACTACGATATGTCCTTAATACAGCCACACAATAAAGTCAAGAAGCTTGATGTGACACTCCTCTTTCATAAAGATGTCCTTCGTTATATCATGCGTAAGTTTCCCAATCTAGACACTCTCAGCTTGAGGATTTGTTATGATATAATACTGTTTGATAATTGGATAAACGATGTAGAAAGTTACTTTGTAGAAAATGGAGATGAGCTCATGAAATACCTGACTAGATTTCATGATTATGAATTCTATGCACCAATTGGATCCTCTCTGGTTGAGAACTACATAAGATTTACGCCCAATGCAGACATCCTAATTCGTGTAGGCTACATGACTTCAGAGCTTACTCTCTGTAAAAACGCAATGAACTTCAAATGTGAAAAAGACGCAAAAGAAGAGAGAGAAAGACTCAAGCGAATATTTAGTAACTGTTACCAAAACATAAATAGCTACTCCTTAGAATATTTTGGGAAATCCAAGGATGTCGTAGCATGGATTGAAGATAGCCTCGAAGCGTGTAAAGTGCTGGAGACTTTCCATCTTGGCACTGATCGCTTATGCTTACCGTCAAGAGCAGCAATGATAGCAGGGGTTCCATTAAATTCTTCTGTGAAAACGCTCTCATTGGATGTACAAGGAATAGAGAATGGATCTCTTGCCGCTTATGCACGCTTACTACCAGCATTACGCAATCTAACCATCTCATATAGATTCTCCCAAAAGGCAATCAAGTATACAGTACAAATGCCAGATACTTCTTTTGACCACTTATGCCTCCATCTTCATAATCGTGAATACTCATGTGGTCATGACAAAAGCAACTCGATGAAACAGGCAATTTTAATAACTACAACAAAGAAGTCGGGAAAGAAACAATATTTTATTGACATGGCATCAGAAAATGGAGTAATAGGAGAATATAACGAAACAATGGACGATAAACCCAATTTCTTAATTACTCTCAATTGTCAGTCTATTGATTATTTTTCTTTATATATTGACTACGATCCTTTATCTATGGTACAGTGCCAGCTTAAAAAGTATTCTCTATTTTTATAATAAATTGAAGGTTGTTCTGATAGAACAATAAAAATCTATGTATTTTATCAAATCGTGCTATTTCAACACTATTTATTTATTGTAGCTTAAGTAGCCTTAGGATCTATACTAAACAAGATATCAAATCAATATGTTTAAACATAAGCCATAGGGCTGATTTTTTAGAAAATTGTCCTTTGAAAAATATACTGCTGCTGTTTGAAAACGAAATGTCGTAAAATTTGGAAGTTGACGAAGATGAGACAAAGGATGTAGTAATAGGCCTTCTAAGCCACGCTTTATTTTCAGTAATATAACAATATGTATAAATACGAGTGCATCGAAACTCCACATCTCAACATAAACAAGTTTTGGCTCCTCCATCTGTCAGGACTACTAAACATCTTATAAACTTATCAATCCGTTGTAACAGATATAGTAATGACAATGGCTACCTCATACCTCAACAGGTTATTGGAACGTATGACCAGTTTACCCTCTATATTTGTAATGATAAATTCAGGATATATTTTATTTATAATGATTGCTTGCATGCTATTTTTGGATTACCATAATAGTTATATATCTATACATATTTTACTTCTGGAAATTTAAACATTGATTGATAACGGCCTCTTTCCATTGGAGTAGCTTTGGAATATGAGAAACGTATTCAATTACCAATCGAATTGTAGTTGGGGATTTAAAGGATGAATGGATTTGGCGGATGCATTTGTCTTTGTGCATGAAAAGCTCTTCGAAATAAATAGTATTATCTAAAACAAACATATAGTTAGTCACTAGGAAAAAAAGTGATTATTAAAGCGCCATCAATTACCATAACATCTTGCACTGAAAAACTTTTTGGGAACGTCCTTAGAAATTTTGTTAACGATGGCTAACATATTCGTGTACAGTTTCTCAATGTCTGATCTCTCTTTACTAGCAATTGCATTGGACTTGATACCACCAGAGAATTCAATAAGGCCTATCGATACATTCTTGTTGTCAACCTTCAGCAAAATACCATCCCATTTCGAACGACCAGTTTGACAATACTCGTTTTCGACTCAATCAAGTGCTACTATATCGCTGTTTGGTAAAAACAGCTCGTCGATAATATGTATGATAGTGGATATACAAGATGTTCTTTCTTTTGTTGGCTGTAGAAGAGGGTTCCTTGAGCTGTCTATTAAATCAATACTACAATAATAAAAAAAAAAACTAAAGTTTAGTTTCGTAGTGTCTGTTACATAAACTCATACATACAAGGGAAACAATACATACACCAGAAAATATACCAGAAGCTAGATTAATTCTACGGGCGCTACCTCTACCCATTACCTATGATGCCTTCCAACAAAACCTTTGAATGTGTGGTGCCGCGCTAAGCATGACTTTATAAAGTTATCGACTTGTTTTTGTTTCTTTTCAAGAAGAAGAGATAAAAAGAAATGCTGTTATTCCAATTTTATGTTGTCAGTCGATCAAAAAAGACCACTTATGATAAATTCGTACTTACATTATTTAGCCTATTTTCTGGTGCATGTAGTGTTCACCATTGTATACTTTTAGAAAAACTCTTTCTTATTGTATTTTCGCTAACCTTTAATAAAAAGAAGATAATAGCAAATCATATTTCTTATTTTGTATTTGAGCGTCTAACCAAGTAAATCATACTGACAGCATTAAAATCTCCCTTATTCGACACTAAAAAAGAGCTACAATAACTCTGCCAATCAGAAATCATACTGAGGTCGAGATTTTTTTCTCTTTTTTTCATAATGTCAAAAATGACTACACGGCTTGCTCATGACTCCAAGAAAATAAACCCAAAATTCGATGGCTACAAGCTTCGTCCATGCTCAGAAATAGCAAATGTCCATCGTACTGAGCTTGAGGAAAATGGCATTCAAGTAGAAAATATATCTGTCAGAGATCACAGACTGGGATTCAGAGATCTTCAAGCACGTATTCGCCAGAGTCATTTGTTTTATGGACATCCCTTAGACGACAATAGAGCGGTTGCTTTTTTGATAGATAAAGAACACCAGCTGAATGCTATTGTATACAACAAGGTACATAGCGCATGTTTTTAAAAAGATTATGCATAAACGCCAATTTTTTTATCTTTGATAGAGCACAAAAGAAACACAGTTTCATCTTGTAACCCAGCTGATTAAGCCTTTGGGATCCATACCTTCTTTTAGTGAACCGGATGTACGAGTACCCATTGAGCCTCAAGCATCATCAGTGGTTGCCATCAACTCTGAATTACTTCTAGTTTCCAACGGTATAGGCCATATTGAGTTGATTGGAATAGAGGAAAAGCAAGGAAAGATACTAGGTGCCTCACTAGGCTCTGTCTCTTATACGGGCGCGGGTAATGAAGGGATCGAGCCTGTGCCATGCTATTTGCTGACAGCTCGCCAAAAGAGGAATAAAGTGATTGCAGTCTTGTACAGTCGAACGGCATCCAAGAGTACAGAGTTTAATATTGCGACCGTAGAACTGGAAATTCCTACTACTGAAGACCATAAGTCTGATGGCAGTTATAATTTACACTTTAAAGTTCTTCATATAGAAACAGGGCCTGAAGTTCCTGCTTACTATGCCATTACACCTTCTGGAGAGCGCGTTATCTTAGGCAGTGAAACCAAGTACAATAGAGTAAAACCAAAGCATGATACAATTACGGATGAGTCTACGACACCTATGGATATGGATGAACCAATAGTGGAGACCAAGGAAGTTACCATGGAAGAAAAGACACCTTTGTACAAATGGAGCCAGGAAGGACCCGACATAACTGTATGGTTTCAAATACCTGTACGCACTCCAAAGTCTGCTATTAGCTGCAAATTTATCAGCGATCACCTTAGCCTTATTGTACAAGACACACCGATTGCCTTTCCATTCCGCAGACTTTGGAGCACTGTGCATGCGGATGAATGCGTTTGGACATTGGACAGCGGCAGTGGACTACTAACATTATTCATGACCAAGGCAGATGAGCACACGCGATGGCCACAATTGTTTGATAAAGACGATGGCGTCTTGGAGACACTATCGCCTAGTGAACTGGCTGAGATCAGAGAAAGACTTGCCAAATTTACGTCTGAAGAAGATGAGAGTAACTCCAAGTATGTGAAAGCAGCTCAGCACCCAGCCGCAACGGATATGGATGAAGACATTGACGATGCTGGACAGCCTGTTGTGTTTAGTGTATATGATACCATGGGTAACGAGATTGAAGAATTTTCATCGGGTTCTTATCGTTGGATTGGAAAGTCTTTTGACATGTTTCATAGCATTCCTTCTGTATGCCTTCAGCTGGATGTTGATGGCATTGTGTTTAGGTTTGTTGAAAAACATGACCACACTGTCCAAGTTGAGCATGCTGCTACCTTCGATGCATTTGCATTTGTCCAAGCTTCAAAAAGAGATGCAAGATATATACTTCATGACCCGTCGTACCATTTTGCTTGTGTGATCGAAAGCACACGAAATGCTTACATCTACTTGCATCATAACGATAAACGAACGACAGAAACGCAAACTCTCGTTGACTTGACACAAGGACAAAACGCAGACATCATTGGTGCTCAGCTTGTACTAAAAGACACTTTGATGATCTTGACTGAATCACAAGTTATTGTTATTGACTTGTCAGAATAAAATTTCTCATACTCCAAATCGAGCTTGATGTGATAGTTACACGAAGCTGTCAGGGGGAAAAGTAATACGCGGGTATTATTAAAGCAGAAATAAATGTGGGGAAACTCCCGGCTTTCCTTTCTTTCTCTACTCTTTCTCTTTCTCTTTCTCTTTTTATGGCTTTATTTTTACTAAATAAAACCCGCTTTGTTACAAGAGCTTGCACTCAGTTGATCTACCGACGCTCATTCAACACAAGTCGAGCTCATTTTCGAAATGTCGAAACTCCTGTACCTTCTGCCCGTGGGCCTTTAGAGGGTATTAGAATATTGGATCTGACCAGAGTGTTAGGTAAGAATACATAACTATATTACTTTGAATTAAGAATCCATTGAAACACATTCATAGCTGGTCCTTACTGTACAATGATGCTTGGTGACTTGGGGTAAGCGTTAAGTAAAGAAAGAAAAAAAAAGTAACAGAGTGCATTAACGTCGAGTTGTAGAGCCGACGTGATAAAAGTCGAGAATCCCAATGGTGGTGATGACACGCGGGCGTGGGGGCCACCATTTGCCACAAACAAAGACCCAAACGATCTCACTCATGGTGAATCTGCGTATTTTCTCTGCGTTAATCGAAACAAAAGATCAGTCACTGTCAACATGAAGACAGAAGGCGGCCGTCAGCTAATCTACGATCTCGTAAAGGAAAGCGACGTTCTTGTTGAAAATTATTTGCCTGGAAAGCTCGAAAAGCTTGGTCTAGGCTATAAGCAGCTGAGTGAGATCAATCCAAGGTTGATCTATGCATCTATTACAGGTTACGGTCAAACCGGTCCGTACGCCGACAGACCAGGATATGATGTTATTATCGAAGCAGAGGGGGGATTAATGCATATCACAGGCGAACCAGAGGGAGCACCCGTCAAGGTGGGTGTGGCCATTACGGATCTGACGACGGGTATGTATGCTCATAGCGCTATCTTGGCTAGTTTATTGCAGCGCTCTACGACCGGCAAAGGACAGCACATTGATTGCTCACTGCTTGAATCGCAAGTCGCCTCCTTGGCCAACATAGCCTCTAATTATTTGGTTGGCGGCCAAGAAGCTAGACGTATGGGCACCTCGCATCCTTCGATCGTACCATACCAAGTCTTCCCCACCAGGGATTCCTTTGTCATGATCGGCGCAGGAAATGATGGACAGTTTGTTAAGCTCTGTAAACGCATGGGACTCACTCATCTTGTGCAGGACAACAGGTTCAAGACAAACTCTGATCGAGTCAAGAATCGCAAAGAACTCATTCAACTACTACAAGATCGATTACAGGAAGAAGATAATTGCTATTGGCTTGAAACACTCAACGGAGCTGGATTTCCATTTGCACCTATCAACAATATAGAACAAACATTCCATCACCCTCAGATACTGGCAAGAGGCTTAGTTCATCAAGTGAACCATCCTCGTGCAGGTAAAATAAACCTTGTGGGCCCGCCTGTGAAATATAGCGACGCAAAGACTAGTATCAGAAGACCACCGCCTCTTCTTGGAGAACATACAAATGAAGTGCTTGAACAAATTCTGGGTTACAATAAGGAAAAGATTGAAACCCTTAGAGAGAAAGGCGCCATTGGAGTATAGATTTTTATTCTAGGATCAAGAAATAAAGTGCTCTTAAAATTTAAAACTTGCATGAGGCTTATCGTAAGTGGGTGACATCAGCCCAGAACTATTCTGTTCGTATGGATTAGAGTAAGGAGATAAGCTGGCCTTTCTTGGCCTTTCCACTGCACTTGACGGGACTTTTTGAGATGCATGATATAGAGTACTCGATTTTGATAGCTTAGGTGCTGGTATAGAATAAAAATAGTTGGAATCTGGAGAAGCAGTCGTGGATGATTTTGAAGCAGCCATTCTTCTTACGGCCGAAGAACTAACAGGTGGTGTTGGCCTTAACGGGAACCCGTCTTCCTCGTTTGATCTTCTTTGGCCAACAGGCGATGTGGGTTGTGGTGATGTAGTCGAATAGTGTACTGGAAACACAGACGGTGAATCTAGAATAGTAGGACTAAGTGGAAGTTCACCATGCTGTTGATGTTGTTGCTGTTGCTGCTGTTGTTGCATCATCTTCTTTTTGGTGTTAAACAAAACACGCAAGGCGCGTATTTGAAGTGCCGTTTTGCCTGTTAGGACAGCTGCTTCATAAATCATGCTAGCTGTGTTGATCGTCAAGGCTTGGTGTAAAGCATGTGTTGAAAGCTCACCAAGACGTGGTATGTTGTAGATTTCGGAAAGTAGCAAAAGGCGAACAAGAATCTGAGGTTGGTATTGCTGAGCTGTCACCAAGTGATCGGTGTATATAAACTGCAAAAAGGCCAACGTAACAGGATAGCTTTCCGGAAACAGTAAGCGCTTAAAGCCTGAGGCAGCATGCTGTTTCTCTGCTAACACCTCAGTAAAGTGTGGCCATCTTAGCAACATAACGTTCGAATTGACTGGAATAGAGCGATTGTCTTCTGTGATGATTTCCATATCTGCCATGCTTGGTTCGCTTAGCATACTTAACCCGAGTTCTTGAGCAACCGGTGCACATGTTTCCTCAGGAAATGTGTAGATACCAAATGCTTCTAGGTCCATAACGGCAACGTGGTTAAAATTGGTCTGACGGTGACTGTAATCCTCCAGTAAATCGCGACCCCTATCACCAAGGATGACAAACTGCTTCTTCTTTTCGTATAGGACGCCCTTATTCCATGAACCCTGAGCCAGCACTGAGCCAGGATCAATTTTGACCCATACTAGATTTGCTAGATTTAGCGCCCAGATGTTGAATGCTTTATACGTTGGCGTAAGATAAGTTCCTGTCAATATCATGTGATGCCCTAAAACATGTCCAGAGGGGAATCTTAGGCCTGGGGGTAGTGAAAACCCAGACATTTCGGCTGAATGGTTCTTAAATTCGGCAGCGGGTGGTATTGCTGAAAAGCTCTCAAGATCTCTAGTAACATCGGTAAAGTTGTAATTTGAATAAATACAAACAACTGGAGTATCACTGTCGCTGTCATCCGCCCAAAATGGTGAAGCAGGCATAGAGTTTCTGTGTATATTTGATGGATAGAATGCGACGGATCTATAGGCGCCGTATTGCTTTGAGACTGGCCCTCCACTGATCCAACTACAGGTTGTCATGCAGTATACGTTGATTTCATTGATGTACTGATTTGACATATCCTGACCTCCAATGATAACTAATTTATCCTCGGCGAAAACAGATAGATGTGCATACCGTGCCTGAGGTGTATAAAGGCTAGGCTGTACTTCAGGATATTTCCAAACCATCAAGTCGAGGTCAAATAGACAGATATCGTCAAGTGCACACAAGCTTTGAGAGGAACGTTTCGTCGAATAGCTCATACCTCCAAAGACAACCAAATACTTTCCATAGTGGTTAGTTGAATGAAAATATCTTGGTCGCGGTGGTGGAGGGGAATCTGGTTCGGCAATATGTCTGGTCCAAACAAGTGCATCAAGATCTAAAATGTAAAGGTGATTGGTCATTTGTCGAGACGAGACTAATCTTCCACCAAATACGTATAATTTGCTATCAACAACTGTTGTTGATACTCCTACCAAAGGAGGCGGAATGTCGCCTGAAGTCAACTTAAACTCGGTTGTGAAGCCTGTGATTGTTTGTGTCCCTGAAGTCATTCAAGCTAAATGAACCAAACTAACAAGCTGTGCTTGAATAAATACAAAAAATTATAAGACCATTGTGGGCACGTGATGCTTTTAGAACGTCGTTTTGTTCTAACCAGTTCAAAGATGACAAGAAGTATCTAAAAACTCCCTCTGGAATCAAGAGTAAACATACTGAAGCGCCTTTGTGAGGGATTCAAGTGTTAACACGCTGATCAACAATTGATGTCCTAGCAGAATAGGAAGAGGAAAGTTCCTGAGCATGATATGAATGGTCGAGCTCGTATAGGATGTCGCATACTATGAGTCAGTGACTGTGTCAATAGGACATGGTTTGTGAAGATTGCGCTTGGCGGGCGGGGCTTGTACTATTGCTATATTTTTTTTAGTCAATTTCAATATATTTGGACTGACCATGTTTTTCAAACTTGGAATTTCTTCTAAATTGTACTTCTTTTTCTTTAACACACTTTGGTGTCATTCCTTTAAACAAATAATATCTAATAGGGATATTTTTTTAATAACTCAAACTGTTTTATCTCTTGATCTAATGATTCTATGCAAACATGGAAAACTTCTAGTTTTTCTTCTTGAATTGGCTCAATTCATTTTATATCAAGAAACATAGGTTTATTATAACCATATTCTTAATTGGCAATTACAATTACTTACACAAGTAATACAGGTAATATCTGTCTTTGTCGATATTTTTACATGTCAGCATAGTTACATGACATTTGCTATGACTACTGTGGATTCAATGAACAATCATAATTGGCAGTTTGAACCACCATATTACACTCAATAACCACCAAGAACTTATTCCCTCTCCTATATTGAAGGTAATCTCTGTCTACTCGAAGATGCCGATTTTGAGAAAGAAAGAAAAAGCCGGTAAATAAACCGTAGCTTTAAGTAACCTTGCATGAAAGTATGACTCTATTGTTTTTTGTACACTTTCTTTTTATGATCAAAGTCATATCAGGAAGATATTGCTATAAATAAGCATTGGTAGATGTAGCGACATTAGCCAGTTTTAATCCTGTTTTGACCCATTATTCTTTGTCTATATAGAAGTGACAAGCCAGTATGATATTTATTCCTGAGAATGATGCAGGTTGCTTAGCAATACAATATCTCCCTTTTAAGCGAATGTTTTTATTTGTACAATGAGAGAGCATCATGTGTTTCTTTTAACTCAACTGATAAACTAAGATAAGCTTCGAACAATCGATCATTGTCATAAAAGACTTGAGGATAAGAGATAGAATCGTGATTTAGAGTTATAGATTATGATCCAAATAAGGAAATTTGTTATGCCACCAGTAAAGCTTATTCAGTTTGATAAAAGTGTTACACTAAGAATAACAATCAATGCGCTTTGAGTACAAGAAGTAAGGGAAAAAACATCATGACTTGGATACAACCAATTGCAATAAGAATAAAAGGTCATTAGAAAACGTTACTTTCATATGGTGTTACATCTATTAAAATTGTCAACCAAGCCTTAAAAATGCTCAAGGTTCATAGGGAGCTTTTACAAATATAAAAAAAGGGTGTTACTCTAGGCCATACTTAAATACAAGCTTCGCTTTCTAATTCTTTTTCTTTCCTTTTTCTTAATACAGATAGTTTATTTTTACTTATTCCTGTTATTCTATAAACAAGTAGAATGACTCTGTTTTGTAACCATTTTACTATTTTACGCTTATTTTCACACACGCAATTTTACAAACCGCACAGAAATGAATTATATTTTATAGGATGATTTTAACAGAGTCAATGAGTAGAACACTGATGGTTTATCAAGAAGCTATAAGATAACCAAGGATATCTTTTATATATATATATATAGCTCTGTGTAACTTGATAAACAGGTCATTGATGCTCTTTTCCCCCTTCTTTTTTCTTTAATAATAGACAAAGTAAGAGATGCATGCATATATGCTGCAGTGTGTTTAGCCATCTTAAAGTGAAAAAAAAAGTAAAAGACCAATCGTTAAAAAAGATAAAATCTCTGAATCATGTTTATCAAACCAGATAACGCCTTCTTCTTTGTCTGTTATCTCTCAATTCAAAAATCAGAAACATAATTAGGGACTCTAGGGCCAACAATGTTTTTGTTTTAGAATTACCATGGAAACAAGGGTATTTGCTCCTGTGAACAAATGGTCCTTTGTTATTTGAATGTGTGAAAACTTTGAATATAAAATAAGAATCTCATTCGTGTGATCCGTTATTTTGATTGCTCGGGACAGTGATTCTGTGTGGTACAAGGGAACACTAATACTCGATTTGGTTATTGTTTGACCAAAGTGTTCACAAGAGTCTTATGCGTCCAAAATGATTTGCGGTCAACGGTTGCTGTGGTTGGACAAATTTAACTTGGTTCATCATGAGCACATGACAACTAAAACTGCTCATTTCCAAATAAAGTAATTCGGCCCTTGAATCAAGCGCTTATCATGGAACGAACTATAAAAGTCATGCCTTCGTATTGGTTTCACACGTCAATACCACTTGCTATTCCCTTTTAGTGACGCCTATATAAAGTTGTAATTGATTGCTTTTCTTTCTTCTCTTTATATTACTTTACTTTCAAATGTCATCGACACACGAAAAGTATGAGCACACAGTAGAACACGTTGAACATAAGAAGGGGACTTTCTTTGATGCCATCAACTCTCGCTATAACCATGTTGACCCTCATTCTTACCTTCGTCAAGAAAACGAAGGTGCTTTCAAATATTGGGCTCGTCGTCTTGGTCAGATCAAGCCTGTTGAATTATTATGGGGTGAAGCTGAAGGTACTGAACTCAAGCGTGCCTTAAGCACTTTTCAACTCATCTTTGTGGGTATTGGTGCCATCATTGGTACTGGTATTTTCGTGCTTTCTGGTCATGCTGCTGGTATAAATGCTGGTCCTGCTGTCACTATTTCTTTCTTAATCGCAGCTATTGCTTCAGGTAAAGATGCATATATCAAATTCATTTATCAATCATTATATTTACGTTTAAATGTAGCTTTTGCTGCTCTTAGTTATTCTGAAATGGCTTCTATGATTCCTGTAGCAGGTTCTGCATACACATATGCTTATGCTACTATGGGTGAAGTACGTATATCTCCAGAATATCTCTTTATTGTTATTAACTCTATACATAGTTTGTAGCTTGGATCATTGGTTGGGATTTAATTCTTGAATACATGGTTGGTGCCGCCACAGGTATGTATACTTATAAATAAAATTGAGCAAAAGAATAACCTTTTTCTCTATAAACAAGTCGGTGTCGGATGGTCAGGTTACTTTGTCAAGTTCTTTAATGCTGCTTCCAGAGGCAGTATTCATTTTGGTGAAAACTGGACTCAACCAACTGTTGTATGGACAGAATCACCTCCTACTATCTCTTATGTACCTGGTCACTACTTCAACGTCCCTGGTTTCGTTATTATTATGCTCATCACCATCATCTTGTGTATTGGGTAAAGAAGGAATATCTATTTTTGTCCATCAGTTGCTTATGTCTTTTTATCTAGTATTCGTCAATCTGCATGGTTTAATACAGTCGTAGTCAGTGTTAAATTAGTTGTTATTCTTATCTTCATCTTTGGTCTCTGTGGTTTCATGTATACTCCCAACTATCATCCATATGTTCCTCCCAACACAGACGGTGACTGGCATCACTTTGGTACATCGGGTATATTTGCTGCGGCAACAACAGTCTTTTTCAGTTACATTGGTTTTGATGCTGTCACAACTGCTGCCTTGGAAGCAAAGAATCCTCAACGTGATCTTCCTATTGGTATTATAGGCAGTTTGTCCATCAGTACTGTTCTCTATTTAGTCTTTTGTACCATCATGACAGGTGCTGCCCACTACACCCTCTTTGCTGGATCCCCTGTCCCCGCTGTCGTTGCCGTTGAACAGGTTGCTTTGCGTACCGGCAAGGACTTCACCTGGCTGAGTGTCCTTATTTGTCTTGGCGCTCTTTGCGGTTTGACCTCTGTACTACTCATCAATTTGCTTGGTCAATCACGTGTCTTTTATTCTATGGCTCAGGATGGTCTTTTGCCTCCTATTTTCTGCAAGGTTCACCCACGCTTCAAGACACCTTATATTGCCACTTTGACTGTCGGCTTCGTTACTGCTGTCCTTGCTGCTGTCTTACCTGTTGACCTGCTGGGTAATATGACTTCAGTGGGTACGTTGCTTGCCTTCTTTATTGTCCATGTTGGTGTCATCATCATGCGTTTTACTCGTCCTGATGCTCCTCGTCGATTCAAAATCCCTGGTGGAAAGTACCTCTCTTTGATTTTCCCTATTATTGGTATGTTTATCTCTATTGCATTGATTGCACTTGCTGAAGTGACAACCATTTGGCGTTTGTTTGTGTGGATGGGTATCGGGTGGGTGATCTATTTTACCTACAGTATCCGTCACTCTAAATTTAACAGGGACCCTGTGGGTCGCTTTGAAGGTGCATCCAAAACCGAACACGGCTACCATGTACAAGAATTTGAAGTCGCTTCTGCAGAACAAGCTAAATAGTCGTTTTTTATTCATATTTTATTTATATCTGTAATAATTTATAATTTATAACATTTAACACTAATATGTGCTGGCTTTTTTTTGTATGAAAGTGTGAGCTTTATTTCACAATTTTTTTTATAAAATAAATTATGTGTCTATAGTGGAAGATAACTTCCGCTCAAAAGGCAATGATGACAGGAATCCGCTATGTTCCAATTCGAAACTATTGACGACTGCAGTTGTATACCATGGTGTGTCATCTAAGACGCACAGCCAGTGGTATTTATATATAGTTGCAATACCCGTGCCAAAGAAACAAAGAACGTCCGTATCGTCTATGGTTTGTTCATTTACCGGGACAAAAGAAGCGAGCACAGACCATATTTCATCTGCAGTGAGGAACTTGTCCGGCAGAGAATATCTTTCGAAAATGGAGAACCAGAAGTTAAGCTTGAGAGGGCAGCTTACAAAGAGGTGGAAACTTATCTCAATATATTGTTTACAGAGTCTGCACGGTAGAGAGGTGGTCACGTTGGGATCCCAGACAAGTTGTAAAGCAGCCGTAGGAATGTAGCCATGTAACAGACGAGACCATAATATGAAGGCCTTGGGAGGTATAGTCAGGGATCAGAAAGCTTGCCAGTACTGAGATCGAAGAAGCAGCGAACGAGGCAGATCCAAAGGCGGGCGTCGAAGGTATGTGAGCAAATTGTGATCTTTATGCCAAAAGACTCAGCTACCTAATTGAATACGACTTGTGCCTTTGCCTATCAATATCACGTGCAATATTTCGTATGTAGGGAATATCTAAGCTACGTACATAATACATTGCGACGAATCTAAGTTATGACGTGTCCGTATTGTGATCTTTTACCACAGGAGATAGAGGAATAGCTTCATTTGTAGGAAGGACAGGGACTTCCACGGTCATAAATTGAACCTTGTGTCCAATGACACTACCCAATTCCACGTGCAATTGGCTTCCAGAAAACTGGTAACTTCGATTCCTGCTGTCCTAGAGGGACGATGAATAGACCTAGGAGAAGAACATGCTTTTGCCATTAACGCAGCAGATGGTTCTTGCTCCAATCTAGAAAAACATATCACGGTGGCCGTTATCCGAGTTTATAACTGTAAGCTGAAATATCCAAGCCATTGAATGCTCGGATGTAGTGTAGATTACCAGACACATCCATAAGCACAGGGTAGTTATGATCTCTTGGATCATAATTAAAACTTCTTCGCAATGCTTTCATCGCTTCCATTAGCAAAAAAAAAAAATGCGCAATGGATGAAGAGCGTGGTTCTTTTACATTAAATTATGAAAATAAGAAAGAAAAAAAAGATGTCAACTGTCAAATATAAGAACAAGATCGACAACTATAGACAGTTATGGAAGAGTATGATGATAATGTTACTGAAAGAAGAATCTGAAGTATGGTGAAGGTGATGATACCAAAAAGATCCATCGAGTATTGAAGTGCAACACTTGGAATATTTTTGGAATTGCGATGTAATAGCCTCCAGGAACATACTCCTCATTGCTCGTTCTATCTGGAATGGTCAAGGTCGACCTAGTGTCTTCAAAAGACAGCTTGTTACCTCCAATGTGGTTGCCTCGTCCCACTCCGGTGGGACGCTGGCTTAAAGGTTTTACAGGTAAAAAGCGCAATTATTATTTTTTAAAATGTCTGGAAGCTAGTGTTCTTTTGTATCTGAATTTCCTTGTTTATTTCGTCCAAAAAAAAAAAAAATAACATTGTCTGAATTAAAAGTACGAACATTGTAGAGTCTTTTAGTTAAAGAGAAATGTGTACAGAAAACATTCTATTTATTGTTTGAATGCTGCTATTTAGCAATAAAAAGAAGAGAAGTTATGGGGGAATAAATGATATTATACATAGTTTAAATCTTGAAGCCCAAATTGCGCATGCAAGTGAGGTGAGCTTGAATAAGCTCCTGACAGTTCTCTTCTCCCTTTTCAAAAATACACTGATCTCGAACTTTTTTGGTTTCGGGACAAGCACAGCATGGTTTTAATGGCTTTCCATCCTTTCCAATAGGAAGCACACCAGAATGTGTTGAAGTTGTCTTTACGGTTTCTGTCATTTGTAAAAGTGTAATAAAGAAAGACGAGGGGTTCTGCCATATTACAAATCATTGGGAGCACCATTTGAGCTCAGATGGGACGGTGCTTTGGGACTGTTTCTTTTGGCTAAAAGCTCTCATTGTGTGAGAGGGCAAATTTGTTTGTCATTTTTAAAGGCAATGGCTGGCTTAAATAAGGGAGTGTATGTTCGTGATAAATGAGAGGCTCTATTGTGCTTGTTTTTTTAGTTAAGCCTGTATATATTAAATGCTAAAGAAAAGATGGTAAATAAACATCTCTTGGTCCCTATATGTCTAGAATACCCTATAGTTCCTTTGCTGGGAGTTTATAGATCAGATGTTTCAGAAAATCTTTATTACTGTTGACTGTAAACGATGTAAAGAGACAATATCTTTATTCTAAACATAAGGCACGAGGTTCCCCTGGCAACCTGTAGGTTGGACCTTTAGTGCTGTGCAATCTGAGTAAGTTTTTATACACCATTTTCATAAATTATTCGTACACAATTTAAACCCAGCAACAACTACACTTTAGTTGGCTATCAACCTTTTCTTTATCATTAAAAAGGCAATGAAGATATTTTTGATATATATATATAAGATAAATGTGGTCAGCGCTTATGAATAACACGTAACTGAAAAAAGTTGTTAGAGACTTTATATAAATAATCTGATTTTGACTTCTTTTTCCTTTTTCTTTGGACCAAAAAGCAAGACCAGCTATTCCCCAGCTAGCCCTAAGGTATGTTATATTCTTTACTCTTGTAAGGAACTGGTATGTAGTATTATAGATCATAAAATCGAAACAGTACCGGTGCTAGTTGGGGAGTAGTTTGATTCTTACCAAACTTTGGTTCTATCCACCCCTTCAACTCCTTCCGCTCCTTTGGCCACTCTCTCTTGCTCTCTCTTGCTCTCTCTCTCTTACTTTTTCGGGCTGGTTATCGCCAACCCTTTATGATGCACTTCGAGTAAGATATTAATAACCTCTCTATATGTTTACTTACTTTTCTTGTTTCTTTTTTCTCTTATAAATCCTCTTCTTTATAATTTAAGTATTTAATATCACTGTAAATAACTGGTTTACTAATCATTTCTTTATCCATTCTTTTGCTTCTTGTGAGCTCTCTTTTATCATTATTTGTTGTCTGAAATTATTATTTTTTTTATCAGTATGCGAATAATTTGTGAATAAAGTGTAAACAGTGCTACGCTTAACAGTCACAGACGGACTACTTTTTTGCGATAGTTAAGAGTGCAAAAAAAAAAAGAGGTTTATAATCCTATTTCATGTCAACAGAAGAAAAGAACATAACAAGCGAAACTGCCACAGCAGAGGGAGCTGAACAAATTGACCTTGTTGCCAAAGAATGGATTCAAGCACAAACTGAGAAAGAAGTGGTACGGCGTCGAATATGGATAGTCATTAAATACTAAAATGGTTATATTGCAAATAGAAACGTATTCGAGATGTCGGCTCAAGTGTGATTCCACTCAAGGTTCTTTGTGAATAAAAAAAAACGATCATTAGGCTTTATTCTAATATTAGAGTAGACTCTGAATTGTGGAATTATTCCCAACTTTGATAATAAGAAGCCAAGAGCCATCAATCGAATTGAACTTGATACAAATATTGATCTATCCAAGGTCCAACAAATCATGGTTTCACCAGCCGTTTCATACCCGCATAAACAGCACTTTAACTATGTGAATGTAAATATTCTATATTGTTAAAATGATAAATACTAATAATTGTGTCAACAGCTCATTCTAGTGACTGGTCAGCCCATTCCATTCTTAGCTCCTTATCTCTATCAAACCAATCTAAAGGTGACGCAACCTGAGAGAGAGGAAGAGGGTCGTAAATATCCAAGCAAGCAAGTTATTTTGAAAAATGACTTGAGAGAATATTTACTGATAAACAAGAATGGTATTTGTGCCCGTTTTACTATTCATGAATATCACAGTGTATAAATAAAATAAATTCAGTGATAATTTCTTTCTCTCTTTCTTCCTTTTTTTAAATATAAATGTACAGCAACAATCGTCATCAATATATAAACGCTTACGAGAGTCAAGAGGATACTGAGTTTTTGGATAGTTCAACTGATGTTGCAAGTGATGCCGATGACGTTGCAGATCGAAATGACCATCACCGACGAAGAGCTCCACTTAACAAAAAGAGAATTGCTACATATGATGCATTAACCGATGAACAAAAAGTAAAGAAAAAGAATGTACAATAGTATAATTTGTTGAAATCTCATTTATATAATCATAGGGGATTCTTCGTCGTCAACTTAAATCATCAAGGTTCAACAAGTATCCTCCTGAAGTACCACCGACGAAATTAGCCATATTTGACTTTGATAACACACTCTTCTTCTCACCACAGCTCAGTCCAACAATCTGGAGTAAGCGATTTCTTGGCCTGGTTGCTGCCGAAAGCGTCTGGGGACCAGGCTGGTGGAGAGATGAGCGCAGTCTAGACCTGGGGCCCTTTGAAGAACTCAAGGCAAAGGCTTGGGAGGGATACTGGAACGAGACGATTGTAAGTAAGGCGCGGGAATGCATAGCGGATCCTGAGACGATGACAGTCATTTTGACCGGACGACGGTATCACCCGTTTCACAAATATATACCCATCATGCTGGACTCCAAGGGCCTCGTCTTTGATCTTATCGGACTACGGCCAGATCCTGAATCAATTTCAGATGTTCATTGGATTGCAAACGATTATGGAAGAAAAGTGTTGACGTACAATGTCGTACCATCCGTGTTTGAGTCAACTGCACACTTCAAAGAGGGGTTTATTGCCAACATTTTGCATAAGGTCAAAAGCATTGAGAGCATCGAGCTGTGGGATGATCGCGTACCTCATGTCAAAAATTTTAAGATCTTTTTAAAATCTCTTCGTCAAGACGGTGTTATTAGAAGTAGTAAAGTACATGGAGTGCCAGGCGTGAAGCCGGTATACAATCCTGAATGGGAAGCTGGAATAGTACTTCGCATTATCAATTCACACAACTACGCACTAAAGGCAAAATACAATGGTGCCAGATTTGAATATCGTGATGTGGTTGAAAATACCATGCAAATTGAAGATGATACAAATCCCATTTGTTTTGCCAGAAAGTACCTGACGATCGTACCGACTGAGGATTCAACTGGTATAAGACTGAAGAACGAAAGCCAAGCGCGACTCAAGAGTATGTTTGAACCTTTATTCAAGGAGAGAATGGAGATCTATTACCAAAAGCACGGCCACTTCAAAGGACAGGAGGAGCCTGTATTCTTTGGAAAGTACTGTATGCTTAATGAAAGAATAATCAGACACACCTGCTGTGGTTTTGTGGGTTACACGTCTAGACTTCGTATAGATGGCATTTCGCCTCCAGGAAAGCCTTGGCTCCTTTTAAAGGTCACTGTTCCCAAAGATGATCCCAGCGAAGAGCATGGTCATATTCTTCCACTATGGTATAAACCCTCAGATGAAAATGTTTTTAGAAAATTATCCCATCACTGGGAAAACATCAGACAAGAATATCAAACTGAAGTTGAAGGAAAGATTACCTATGATTATAAGCTAAATGTGCAGCAGGCAAGATGGGATACGATAAGAAAACAAAGAAAGAAGGAAAAAGATAGAGTGAAGGCAGTTATAGACCATACATATGACAGAGGGACCCACAAGATGGATCACCCACACAGTACAAAGAATTGGAGAAAAGATCATCGACAGAACAATGACCCATACCCTAGACACCATGGTCCTTCAAATAAGCATCCATATGATCCAACCAACTCTCCATATCCAGACCAGTCTTCTTTTACAGGAAGATGGAAGTAACTAGGATTCAAGAGATCAAAATACCATTGATATGCATTATTTTCATCTTTAAACATTTTGTAGCAGCATTCATTCAATGCAAAAACATTTATGCTTCATATCAACCATGCTAATAAAAGCTACAAATATTAAAAAAAATATAGAAAGGACATGAAATTGGATTTATATACACTTTTTTATTGCTTTTTTGTGGCTTTTTATGTTTACAAGAAAGAACCAAAAAAGAGGGCGAAAAGATTGTCTGTCTACCCTTCTTGTTTATTCTATTGTTTGCTGTTGATTTCTTTTCAGCTGTTCTATTTCCTTTCTTAAGGCTTCATTTTCTCGAACTAGCTTTTCTCTCTCCTTTGATGAACTAATCAACAGCTGTTGAAGGTGTTCCATGGTGGCAGTGATATCTGCAGACAAGTGGGCAGACGCTGTTGATGAAGATGATGAACTTGACGGTCTACTGCTAAGACTATACAAAAGATGAGTTAATAAGAAAGGCTATTGAATGTCATGGTTACCTTTGATCATCGTTATGTACATTGTTATTCATTGGTTTTTTGAAAGCTTCGGAAACAGTTCTACTACGGGGAGTTGAGGAAAAGGTTGGTGTATATACCGAGGGCAGGGTGGCAAGTAAGCTGTGAACCATGTTTTTTTGTATCTCGGTTTGCTTGAGCAGGTTATCCATATGAGAGTATACCATGTGTGGGAAGTTTGAGTCTAGGATACGATGAGCTTGTCCTCTCGAAAGAGAACTTGAGGGTGAAATGGCGGGAGAAGGAGCGACTGTAGATTGTGGAGATTCATATTGTATAGATTTTTCTATAAAAAGAAGTATAAGTTAAAAAAAAAAGCTCCTTTCTCAAATGAAAACTTACCATCTTTATCTTGTTTACCAGAATCGCTTGGCGTATTTGAGCCACCGGTTAACTCAAAACGACCTTTCTTTCGGCACTCAGGGGGCAACACAGTGGGTACTTCGCAGTATGGACCGGCCATTAATTCTGGTTTCTCAATTGAGAATCGACTCACTTTGCTGCTGATAGATGGATCTCTGTAAAGGACAGACGACTGAGAGCTTTCCCTGGTAAGGGGCGCACTGTGTAACGTTTGAGTCTCGGCAGACGGCGCCGCACAACAGGCATTGCTACCATTACTGTTGTGGCTCACCTCAAACCTTGACTTACGCTCCATTAGACTGTCTTGACGGCAAAGGTTTTTAGCATCTGACCAATGCAGTTCATCAGATGCAGGTGTTGTCGGACGAGTGACAGATGGAGTCTGGTTAACACTGAATCGACCCTTCTTGAACTCGCCTTCTTGCAAGGTGCTACAGTTACTATTGATGGTTGATACAGCCGAAATGGAGCCAGCATGAGAAATACCAAGACCAACGCCTGGATGGTTAATGTCAATATGAGCAGAGGTAGGAGGGGAGTAGGATGAAGGCGAGGCCTGGAGGTCGGTCGTGTTGATAGAGTGGTTGTAATCTTCAATGACAAATCGGGATTTTTTGGGAGCTGCTACTGTAGGTGTAGACGATGGCAGCACAGGTGTCACGGGTTCATCTGGCGATTTATCAGCAGACGGAAGTGGCGCATCCTTGATAGTCACATCACCAAATGTGATGTGTTTCTTTTCAGTCCCATTATTTACAGATTTGGTTCTGTCTGGTTTAGGTGGGTCTTCCTTGAACTTGACAACTGATTTGGATCGACTAGGAGCGTCTGCTGTTGCGGCCGGTATTGTTACTGCAGGCGTAGTTACTGTTGGTGCTGTGACCGGTGTTGCTACTGCTAGCTCAGTTGCCACGGGTGTCATCGTTTGTTTAGTTGAGTCTTTTTCATCTTCAGGACTATCAAAATCCCAATTCTGGTCACTGGCTGAAAACATAATGTGCTTCTTTGGTAATCGTTTGTGGGGGCGCATATCCAAGGGAGGCACAAGGGCAAGAACAGATTTCACAAGATACTCCTTCCTCTTGGCCTGCTTAAAGAATGGATGAAGCAGCAATTTGTCAGCTGAAGGTCGTTTGGAAGGATCCTTTTGTAAACAAATGTCGACCAATTCTTTAAACGTTTTGGAGTATTTGTGTTTACAGTTCTCCCGATCGAGAGTAGGTGGTGCATTTGAGAGCGTCATCATCAAGACCTTCATAGGAGGATACTTGGCAAATGGAGCATGACCTGTAGCCAATTCGTATGCAGTGATACCAAAGCTCCATATATCTGCCTTATAATCATAACCAGACTGTTCCATGACCTCAGGTGCCATCCAGCAAGGTGTGCCCACAAAGGTTTTTCTCATTTCATTATTCTCCGTTAATGAGCTTGAAACACCAAAGTCAGCCAAGAGTACAGTGCCTTGGTCATCCATCAGTAGATTACCAGCCTTGACATCACGGTGAATGTGACCATTTTTGTGCAAATAGATAAGGCCTTCTAATGCTTGTTTGAGAATAGTAGCAATTGAGATTTCATCAAAGCCATCCGGAAAGCCCGACTTCATAATGTCCAAGCAAGAGCCAGCTGCTAAATAGGGTGTGACAATATAGAGTTTAGATCCGTTCACAAAAGACCCATAAACTGGCAAAACATTTGGATGTTTTGATAAAGCCATTAATGCTGTTTCACGCTAATAATAAAAATCAATATCTGTCGGTTCGTTTCGAAATATGTCATCTATTTTTACTCGAAGTTCATCGATTTGATTCCTTTCAAACATATCCAAATCGATCATCTTTACGGCCACCTTCTTTTTCAATGGCTTGTACATTGCTTCATAGACAACAGCGGAAGAGCCGTAGCCTGTAGTGAAAATGAGTTTATATAGATGACTTGGTATATGTCTATATTTATATGTACCAATTGGTTTTCCTATTTCAAAATCCTCGTACTTGTTTGCCCAATTTGATTCAGTAGGTACAGCCTGTTCTGAATCAATTGAGTGTATGGGTATCTTCAGATGAAGACCTTCAGATACACTCAAAGAACGTTTTGTCTGCTTGGGAACAGGCAAGTTCGACATGAATTAGAGGCTAATTGATCTGTTTTTTGGTCGGGAAAAGGGTGATTGTTGTTATCTGTGTAATGTAGTAAAATGCTTATTGTTCTCTTTTTGTGTCGCTTTTGTTGTGGTCGCTGGTTCTTATTTTGTGTGGAAAATAAAAAAAAAATAGAGGGAAAAAGAATATAAAAAATAGATTTTGAAATTTAGTTTTATCCAATAAAAAAATATTTTTTCCTTCTCTCTCTCTTCACAGGCTTAAACTCAAAAGGACAATAAGAGTGCAGCATTGAATAATGCCCTAGGAGAATTATTGTCACGATGATATCAGAAAGAGACATAGTTTTATTCTATCATCAATGCATGTGTCCGTTCATATGATTTGTTGAAGCTATTTCGTTCAATATGTCAGTTTATTCTACAAGCTATGCTTATTGAACACGAGCATTCATGCTAATTGACTCAATACTGTCGTTTGTTATAAACCAGATAATGGGGGGGCCATTCTATGGCAATGATGACATGTTCACTATATTTGGATATAGCGTACCTCATCGCCATATTTTACTCTCTCTCTATTATACTCTGTCTTTGTACACTGAATGGAAACTACGGGAATATTAATCAGCAATTACAACATGTAAAGATAGTATTGAAGCTATATGAAATCAATTAGTCACTATTATCGAATTGTACGTATGAACATCATCCGTAGTATCTGTCTCTCTTTTTTTGCTCTCGCTTTCTCTCTCACAAATTGATCTTTTCCAGGCGGCATTTAAAAATTGACTGACTGTGTTTACTTTTTAACCTAAGACCATTAGAAAAATTTTGTGAATAACCGGAGATTGAAGTGAGAGATTACAGACATTAAATATGGGACAAACTGTCTATGTAATGAAATACTCATGTCACCTGTGTCTTTTATTAGACCTTTGCATTATTAAGACATGAAAAATGAACTAATGTTTAGTTTTCATCTTTGTCTTGGTTGATGTTGACATTTTAAAGTAGTTTATTGTCAAAAACAGTCATTAAGCCAAGAGATACCAATCTTTTTTCAAAACACGTGTACTGTATAAAATTGACCTATCTATTTTGATTATAGATGATCATTCATAGTGGTAAAAGAGGAGAAACACAACACTAATACCATCAATACTGCCTTGACTTTGCTTTAGCTGTTTATTAGCTTGCAAAAATATCGTCAATAAGTTCGGCTGGACGCGTCTTCTTTTAATATGCTCATAAACTGACTTCAACTGCACCAGTCATCCCGTGTTTCCTCTTTACTTTTGCTCAATAGCTACTTTCCTACAGAAGGGCGCCATAACATAGAGTCTAAATTTCTGGGTATATTCTGGGCTAGGTTGCACAGGAAAATGTCCGGCGGCTTGTCCGAGGGAGAGATGAAGAGATGAGAAGGGGGACAAGAATAAGTCTCGAAATTTTTTATTAAGACCACACATCCCATTCAATCCCTCTCTCTCTCTTTTATCCTTTTATTTATAATTAAAGATGGTAAGCAAAGTAATCCATAGATAATGCATCCATCTAACACTATCCCATAGGCTCGTGGTCCTAAGAAGCACATGAAGCGTTTGGCAGCTCCCAAGCATTGGATGCTTGATAAACTTTTGGGTATGTCTTTAATTCGAGAGGGAAGACAGTGAACATTTCGAAATGGTTAAAATGATGACAAAAAAAAAAATCAATAGTCAAGCTCAACAATCGTAATAACAATTGACGAGTATTTTCTTAACTGATAAACTTTTATTGAAGCAACTGTCTCCCTCTCTATAACAATGAATTATATTCTAACATACTCTTAGGTAACTATGCCCCTAAGCCTTCTTCTGGTCCTCACAAGACTCGTGAATGTTTACCCTTGATCGTTTTCATTCGTAACCGCTTAAAGTACGCTCTTAACGGCCGCGAAGTTCAATCTATCTTGATGCAACGTCTGGTCAAGGTCGACGGTAAGGTCCGTACTGATTCCACTTTTCCTGCTGGTTTCATGGGTAAGTGTTAAAAAAATGGGGTATAGGCTTGAGTTTTATTGACGGCTAAGCTTTGACGAATCCCGGATGCTCTTTTTTGCTTGCTTTTTTTAATTTGACATAACAGACGTTATCCAAATTGAAAAAACTGGTGAAAACTTCCGTCTCGTCTATGACGTTAAAGGTCGCTTTGCTGTTCACCGCATCACTGATGAAGAAGCCAAGTACAAATTGTGCAAGGTTAAGAAGGTTTTGGTTGGTGCCAAGGGTATTCCCTACATCACCACACACGATGGTCGTACCATCCGTTACCCTGATCCTTTGATCAAGGCTAACGATACCATCCGTTTCAACCTTGAAACTGGTAAGATTGAAGACTTTGTCAAGTTCGACGTCGGTAACGTCGTTATGGTCACTGGTGGTCGTAACATTGGTCGTGTTGGTCAACTCATTCACCGTGAACGTCACATTGGTGGCTTTGAAATTGTTCACATCAAGGACGCTCTTGACCGTGTCTTTGCTACTCGTATCTCCAACGTTTTCACTATTGGCCAAGGTACTAAGCCTTGGATCTCTCTTCCCAAGGGTAAGGGCGTCAAGCTCTCTATTACTGAAGAACGTGATCGCCGTAGAGCTGCTGCTACTGCCACTCACTAAAAAAATCACGGATTTTTTTAGAATAAATCATCATTTTGCTTTGTAGGACCTCTCTCATTGTTCTCTTCCCTTGTTCATTATCATTTTGCTATTGTACATAATTATTATTTTATTATTAAACAAAAGAAAAATAGTATGTTTAGTTTTTATAAGAATTGCGTCACGACGATTGGTGGGGTTGAACTTGAGTTGAGCATGAAACCCACATCATTATGCAGAACTTTTTTTTTATTTCTATTTTTTTCTTTTACACATTTTCTTATCCCCAATACACATACAACAACATATTTATACAAAATGACAATCATTGACACTGAATGTATTTCAAGGTAAAGGGAAAAAGAAGGTGGCTTAACCAAACGTAACTTTAAACTAAACGACAAAACACAGTGGTACAGACATGTTTATAAAGCCGAGGCCGATTGTTCATGATCAAAAAGTGACCATCCACCACTGGTAAAGAAAAGACATCAAATGTTTGAATAGCGTATCAACGTTTGACTGTAGGCAGTTACGAGATTTATTATTGACAGATAAACAATTTGAAAATGAATTGATTGTCCCGACGGGACATGATATCTATAAAGTAATATAAACATCACATAGTAAAAAAAAAAAAAAAATAGTTAACGTCTGTCTGTAGTATAACTATATTACCGGACAAAGAGGATATCTCATGAAGGGAATTGGATATAACCCTACTTGTATGGCATCTGGGTAAGTACAAGAGGGGTCTATTTGATAAAGTGAACATAACCTATATATTTATCAGATATGGATACTGGGCAGCTGGTGGACAACATGGCGATTTGACAATCAAAGATATCAAAAGTGACTATCAGATGTAAGAGAATAGATGGACATGGTTGAACAAGGAAGCTCAATTACGTAATAGGCATATAACTTCCGCACCAGGTTGCACGATTAACAATGGACTCTGTTTTTCTCGTTGCTTAAACGGAGAAATAAGGTTATTGGTGTCAAACAACGATACGACAATTCGTGTATTTAGTGTACCAGACTTGAAGCTGTTGGAGACACTAGAGTTTAGGACAGCTGTAAATCATAGTAAGCTTGACCATATATCATATTGTGTGTGAGTTAATAATAATAAAAAAAAAGCGTCTGTCAGTCCAAACGGTAGGAAGATGGTTACTGTCGGAGACGATAATCGGGTATTATTATTCAATATTTCCTATTCTGGGAATTATGAATTAATGCAAACAATGGCAGGTAAGGGAAAAAAAAAAGACTTGCATATTAAAAAAGCTAAATCAACATTTTATAGTATCAAAGGATGCCAATTTCTCTATAGCATGGAATCATACATCTGATAAATTTGCAGTGTCGAGTCAGGATGGGTCTGTGCACGTGTGGGATATTCGACATTCAGATCCTCTCGCTAAATTTACAAGTGTTCATGTAAGAAACAAAGAGTAAGAAAAAAAAGGGGGGGAAACGAGATTGACGAGATGTTGTAGCCTTCGATTACAAAAGGAGCAGCAAGATGTGTAAAGTTCACACAAGCGGGAGCCATCGATCTGCTAGCATTTACAGAGCACGTATCTCACGTTCACGTTATTGATGCCCGAACATTTGATGGACAACAAACATTAAGAGTTGGATCAGCTGGACATGATACACCCATTACTGGTTTATGTTTTTCTGCGGATAGTAAAAAAATGTTTATAGGTAGATAGGGAAAGAGAGAGAGAGAGATTGCTCTTTAAGAAAGTATTGCTGATCGTCTAATTAGGCTTAGAGAACGCGGTTTTAGATTTTAATGTGGATACGGGTACACGAAGACGATTTCCTGGAGGTATCTTGATATAATGTAAATTGTTCATATGTATAAACTTCTCTTTGTATATTCGGTTTTTTAAATTAAAGCAATTGTGTAATAAAAATGGTTAATCTTTAATTTTATGTAGCACATCCAAGGCAGATCGACAGTTGCATGAATTTATTTTGACAATAGTTCATTGGACTGTTGCTATAGTTGCTAATATATCATATTTTATCATGACAACCATACGTTTAAATAGCGTGCTATGCGTAGAAATACACTATCTTATTCAGTCATAATGATGGTGTTTATTTTGCTGAGAAGAAGAATAGTCTGGAAAATTTTCTAGAAAGTACTTAAACTATGTCATATGCTTGTTACAAATAAGACAGTGACACTTTACATCAGACACCATCGGAGTTGATCATCACGTACCTGTTTTATATCTGGTAATGGCTATGAAATCACCAATTTTTTTTTCTTTTCCTCTGCTCCCCCCTTTTCTCCTTTCACCCCACTACTCTACTTGTATATATAGATACACATATAAGTCACTCTTTTTTCTTTCTTTCTTAATTTTGCAAGTATCTGTGGCACCCATGGATGACAGCTCGAGTGAAGACCTGTTTAGCTTAATTAATTTCAGTGGCGAACAAGAGGAGGATTTAAATGAGCCACCACAACCGTCTTCATCTACCTCTGTGGCGCCTCATAAACATATAACCTTTATGGAACCCAACATAGACGTGTTGATAGACTATCCTGTAAATAAACTATACGAAAAATACTTTAGACAAAATGAACTTCCTTGTAATATAAAGTAGGTGATTTGTACCTATGTAGATTTAATAGAATTAACCTTCTTTATACTAGTACATATAAACTAGAAATAGCGGAGCAACCTGTACAGTGCCGGATTAGTAGTGACAATGACAAAGACCGAAGACCGATCGATCCTGCGCCGATAATTAAATTAACAGTTTTAGACAAAGACAATCAAAGAATTCAAGAGTAATAGTACACAGTAGTAGAAATTGCAGCATAAGCATCAATTTGTTTAATCACATGTTGTTATTATAGTCCAGGGGAAAGTCCGTTTTATGTTATGCATGTCTCGCTCTGGTCTGTGGACATGAAGACACAGTATGATCTTGTAGAAAATAGTCGAGTCTTGACTGGGTCACTCGTCAGCTCCCCTTCGCTTCTTAAAGACTTACAAGATGAATTCGCTTACTTTTTTGCGTTCTCTGACCTGAGCATACGATTGACAGGTCGATATCGATTACGATTTAGTCTAGTTCATATAGCAAGGTATAAAAAAAAGAGGTCACTTGTAAAAAATTACTTAAACAGGATTGAGTAGGAATGAAATAGTAGACCAAGTATTTTCTGATCCATTTACGACTTATTCAGCAAAAACCTATCCTGGAATGAAGAGTAGGTGTTTCTATGTTTTTAGATATTTTTCGACTGTCTAATTTTTGCTTTTGTTAGAATCAAGTGAATTGGCTAAACATTTGGCAAAGCAAGGCTTAAAAATAACCATTCGTACACAAACAAGGTCCAAAAAATAAACTATGTGTCACAATGATTAAACCTTATTACCCGACCTTATTACCCGTCTTTCTATAAATGGGTTGAAAGATTGAATATCTGGGTACTCTACCATTGGATAGATTTTGTGGTTGCGATGAGTATTCCCAAAGTCTAGATTTAGCACAAGCTTGAGCAAAATATACACGGTTTATAATTAATCGTGAATAAACAAAAAGCCATGAGTGTCTTTTTTGTATGTTTTACTTGATTTCAGTGCAATCAGATGTTGATTTATAACCGATTTCAGGCTGTTTTCTCTTTTTCTTTTTTCTTTGGAACCTTAAAGAAGAAAAGATTCGGGGTTACTTAAGGATCCTGCCATTGGTGCACGAAATGAATGAAAACCAGAAAAAAAAGAGTTTACGACATAGCGAATCATCGAGACTTGGTTAGAAATCACAAAAGTACAACACAAGGGGTTTTGCTACATGAGCAGATGTAGATACAGGTTTATTTAATAGAAAAAGATAAAAAATATCCTAATCATGAATAACTACTCATTGAACATCACTTTACAATAGCTCTTTGCAGCCATTCGTCATAACCAACCTGTCTCAAAAAATTTTATTCAAGCTCTTCCAGCCTTTCCTTTGAGCCAGAGCAAAGATTATTTTGGATAATAGAACATAATTTGTTTGATCAGTATCTATTGTTGATGTTCATTTTGTGGAAGCAATCTGTCCGTAGCAGTCCATAACCATCATCGTGCGCACTTTGTAATTGACTGATTGATTTTTTTTTTTGTTTTAAATTGCCAAAAGGTTCAGAAAGAAGCAAAAGATGCCTTTCTTTCTCTTAGGATCCCTTTATTCGCCTGCACTTTATCTTTGTAGTAAAAGAAATGGATGCTGTCACCTTTTATATGAATATGATCAGATCTGATAACCCTCTTCTTAAAGAACAGGATACTATGTAGACTAAACATGTTTTCTTTCTTTTTTTTTTTTTACACATAAATAATCATTAAGTAGCAAAGTGAGATCGTTTTCATATGCAGATTCTTCTTCAATAGTAACTCC